AGGACGTGAACTCAGAGCCAGAACAGCGGTTTGCCCTTTGACCGAGACCTGGAATAGCTTGACGGGCTTCGAACCCAGAAAACGTGTACGGGTATCGGAAAGTTCACCGGTCACCTCATCCAATACTGTTCGGAGGTAAACGCCAGAGTACAGACCGATGTGAAGATAAAGCGTCGTCCCGCCAGAGCTGGAATCAGACATGGACATGATGTTCAAGGCGGACGGGGCTGCAGTAAGGGCCTGGACAGACTTGTTTTCCAAAGTGGAATCAGGGTCTAAGCTCAGAATGCGGACTGTGGAGTCGTCACATCCGACAGCCAAAAACGAGCTCCGAACACGACCTTCAGGGACCTGCCCCAGACTGAGACATGTCACAGTGCCGGACATCTGGCGACGTTCGTCGTATTCAGCAAGTGTCCCATCAGAATCCATCTCAAAGTACACGATCTCCCCGGAGCTCAATGCTACAGCGACTTGGCGCTCATTTGTCGCGGCTGCCACGATGGATCGATGTTGAGGTGCAGGCCACTCATTCACTCGACGATCGACCATAATATGACGAATGCCTCGAGGGTGGATTTGGATTAAAGAATCCTCCCCAAGCTGTTGAACGGCAAGAGTAGGGGCAGATGACAGAAAGCCAGTATCAGTCACCTCCTCCACGGTTTCACCGATACTGAGAACGAGAGTGCCATTCGCGAAGGAAAGGATAATGTACGCATCAAACTCATCAGCCCGAGTAAGTTTGGTAGTCCAAACAGCCGAAGGCACACTGGGGAGTTCCGAGTCGACGATTTCGGAGACCTCCAAGCCATGCTTGAGCGTCCTGAACGTGCTACGAGCACCAGTTCCAGAGATAGTATAAATCTGGGGAGCATCTTCTTCAGAAAGGTTGGCAACCTTGCTATCAATTAACGGATTCAGGGAGTTGATAGTCTCAACGAGATTCAGATTTTCCGCACTTCGAGGTCTGAAATATACTGGCTCAAGTGGGACAGAAGGATCCGCAGAGAAGTCTTCACTGCTGAATTCAATTTCCTCGTCATCATCACCGAGCTTCTCAAATTGGTAAAAGTGGTGATTTCCTGCCTCACTGGCAACATACAGGAAACCACTTTTGAGGATCAGCAAGTTCGACGCGACCGGAACCGTGTCGAAGTACTTGATCTTCAGTCTCTTCACTTCGCCAGTCAGTTGACCATTGTCGTCTTCAACCATGTCAATGTTGAGTTTGAACAGGTCACCATCTTCGGTCTGAAGGAGGAAGAAGAATGCACCCCTCATCTTGTGCATCACACCGGCCGTGACAAACCGTTTACGTTCGGGATTCTCTGTTGGACCACTACGCCGGGGAATCGGTACCCTAAAGGCATCTTGGTTTGAGTGTCGGTATGTGACGCTGTCCTCAGCACAAACCAGGACTCCGCTAGGGCCATCGGCACCTCCGGGCACCTGGAAAAGCATCGACGACGTGCGGTCGACAGGGTCCGCCCACTTGCGCACGACATGATTCAGTCCTAGGTCCAGTTCGTAGTACACTAGAAGCTTCTCAGCTTCTTCAAACGCCTGACCCGTAGGATCCTGATCAGACTCTGAGTAGTCCACCTCAAGCGCCGCGAAGATCGGGTTTTCATACCCTACATCCAATGCCGACATCGCAAAGACTAGTGTCTGTGGCTTGTGTGCTTCAAGCGGTGAAGAGATCGTCAACTCGGCCTGCGAGTTCCGATTCAGAACATAAACAAGCTTATTCTTCTCAACAGATGCAATGAGACAAGCTCTGCCTTTTGGATCAACCGCCAGATATTGGCCCGGGATCACACGGCGGACACCAGATTTGCCAAATGTCTCCAAGTGGATACGGTTGAACCGATTCTGGGAGGGCACATACTCAATGATAGTGATGCGTCCAGAGTCGGAACCAATGATGATGTAATCTAGATGCACCTTTCAGCAAAAGTCAAGGACTAGCACCCAGCGTCAACGTCGCTGACCGGGGCACGTCCCACCTCCAAGGTGGTCGGCTCGGCAGTTAAGGATCGTGCTGCCCGGAAGCTTGAAGAATCACTAAGATGATCTCGGAATCACACCAAGGGGAATGTCGAACATACCTTTATTACTCCCAGCTAGTCGGAAAGCAGCCAGAGAGCGAATGATGCCAAAGACATCTTGGGAAAAAAGCGGGGTGACTTTGCCCTGAGTGGGATCGGGACGATGGATAGTAAGCTTTGACCCCGACGCGGTGACAATCTGCTGTTCCTTGGTACCTGCAAACTGACCCAGAATGGCCTGTGTAACAGCAGTAGGTGGCTGGATTGTCAGAGAGTACATGAACATATGCGAGGTGGTAGCCATGGTGGGTAGCTAGGCTCCTTCCAAGCCTGGAGCAGAGAGACGATGTTGTGTTTTGTTTACTGCACAATTGCAACCAAAGTTGACTTTAACGTGATACCATTCCCATTGCTGCAGATATAGAGCTTGAGGAAGAGGACTCTCGAGAACGAGTGTCCTCGCAATGGGTTTGCGTGGGAGTCTTGAGAGCAAGACGCGACAATTCACCCGATTGTGTCCTAAGGAGAAAGTGAAAATTCCGGTGGGAAGAGAATGAAGCTACTCTAGTTTGACGTGTTTGTTCCGTATCACGTGCACTGTATTGGTAATACCCCCAATGTCATTCTTCGCCGCAATTTTCCTAACTCATCGCGGTATGTAAATTACCCACAGCGCAATAGGTCTGTCCCGCATTCCGAAAAGGCGGACGATGGGTTTCTGCCACCTTCTACTTCTCCGTTCCGACTGACGCTATCAGTACCTGGTAGCCTGTGCCGAGAAGTGGCATTGTTCAACTACTACTTACTGCGGCTATTCTGTTGCTCACTTACTCTTTACTTCATCCCCTTCCTGCATACTCTCATTCCCCGACGGACTAATTGAATATATACCACCATCCTTCACTTTATCTGGGGCGGTGGTTTGCTAGCAACCCTTAATCTAAGCCCCTCCTCCCCCTCGGTCTACTTCCCGAACTTACGTTATAATGGCTGATGACACCGCTACGGCGGAGGACTCGCCCGTCACCTTCAATATCAAGTCTTCAAATGATGCGAAATTCACCATCACACTTCCATTATCTGCGCAAGTGTCAGAGTTGAAAGAAAAGCTTGCGACGTCGGAATATGCGGATACCCCGGCAGAGCGTCAGCGCCTAATCTACTCGGGAAGAGTGTTGAAAGATAATGAAACTCTGGCTACGTATAAGATCAAAGATGGACACACCATCCACCTGGTAAAGAGTGCCGCTAGCAATCAGCGCCAGGCCGGTACTTCACAGGCTGCCTCGGCCTCCACGCCGTCAGGCACCTCTGCTCCTCCGGCCGCTGGTGTCCCCACAAACCTTGCGGCTGGCACAGGTAACAACCCACTGGCCGGTTTGACTGGCGCACGATATGCTGGTTTTGCGCAACTTCCAGGGGCGGGGATGTTTGGCCCAGATGGTGGTGTAAGTGATCAACTGCATCAAATTTAGCCTACTGAACGATGCTAATCATGATGTCTAGATGGGCCCCCCTCCTGATGCCGACTCTATGCTCCACATGCTCGAAAACCCTCAATTCCAGTCTACTATCAATGAAGCTTTACAAAACCCAGCGATGATTGATATGATGATTCAACAAAACCCCATGTTGCGCGAAATGGGTCCCGGCGTGCGGCAAATGATGCAGAGTCCTGAATTCCGCCGTATGCTTACCGATCCCAATTCGCTTCGCCAGGCGATGCAACTTCAGAGAGCCATGGGCGGTGGTGGTGGGCTTGGTGGTAGTAGCGCATTCCCTGCTCCAGGGGTCACAAACACAACACCGGAGGAAAGCCAGAATGGCCAAAATAACAATGGCGCCACTCCAGCCCCTGGCGCACCCGCGTTCAACCCATTCATGCCTCCGGGCCTTGGAGCTGGGAACCCTTTCGCTGCCCTTTTCGGCGGTAATCCAGCAATGGGCGGCGCGAACCCACCGAGTACATCAACTGCAACGGGTACCGGTCAGACTGAGACTGCACAGAGAGCCGCTGGAGATACTGCTGGGGGAGACACTACCACAGGAGAGGGCCAAAATCAACAAAATGCTCAGAACCCATTTGGGCTCCTTTTCAACCCCGCCATGTTCGGGGCACAAGGCGGTCAGGCGAACCCTTTCAATCCCCAACAAAATCCTTTCCTTCGCGATCCCGCTCTATTGTCGCAGATGATGCAGGCAATGGGCGCACCACCAGGAGAAGCTGGCGCGGGTGGACTTGGCGCCAATCCCTTGGCGGCACTCCTCGGAGGCAGTGGATTTGGGACTCCCCCTCCGCAGGACAACCGGCCACCTGAGGAAAGGTATGCAGAACAGCTTCGCCAGCTCAATGATATGGGATTCTATGAGTTTGAGAGGAATATCGAAGCGCTGCGACGAGCAGGTGGCAGTGTACAAGGCGCAGTGGAATATTTGTTGAGCCATCCTTCTTGAGTTCTCACACTGATCTGTAATGGCGTGTTGGCCAACCGGCCTTCTTTCGTGGAGCGATTGTTTTCATTATTTAGCCCCGTACGGAGTACAGCACTGGTATGAGAGAAGCACCCAGAGTTAAATCAATATGAAACTCACAATTATAAGCGTAAGTAATTCCTACATCAATATATTATACTTAGCCAACCCCATTCATTCCTTAATATTAACCAGACAAGCAGCACAGAGTCTACTTGTACGTACGTAGTAGTTAGCTGTAGCTGAGCTTAGTAAGCAGTCCTGCAAGAATAAGTAAATGATACTAATAGACTGTAGAAGCATGCGTTGGGGCAAACACGTTCCTGATCTGAATCCACCTTTCAGATGCCTCGGGTCGCACCTATATAGCTTCCCGCCGTTACATAGCCCCCCGTTCCTTCCAGGATTTTTCACTGGACTACCTATTCAAGCTCAACTACAGTGCTTTCCAGCTCAGCTTCTCCATATGACAATGCCTCACCGCGCATTAGCCCCGGAGAGAACCACTGGCATTCGACACCCATGGAGGACCCAAACCTGGTCCACCGGCTCTACCCTAAACACTCTGTCCAGAGACCCGAGCCGCCCGCATTCAGTTCCGACGAACACGGCTTTTTCGAGTTCGATAGAAAGAGGCTTGCACATGAACTGATATTTAGTCAGAAAGTCACTCGTTGGCCTAGAAGCAAGGTCCCAGAGCGTCAGCCTGTCCTGACCAACCTGCTCCGCTGCTACGCAAATGGCACGGAGTAAAGCGACCGTTGTCTCGCGCGTCGGCCTCTTCAGTTGATGTTGATAATGTTGGCGATACCTCATTTCTGAAACCCAACCGCGTAGAAGCATAGTCACATTCTCCCTTTCGTACAGTGGTTCGTGGCCAGCATCTTCTGGCCAGAGTCTTTGGCAGTGCTCTTCCAGGATCTGGTACCACTCAAGTATGGGCAGCTCGTAAGAATCCTCCATTGGTCCAATAAATCCGATTGTGTCCACCAAGAGACCTTGGACATAGAGAATCCGGCTCTTCAAGTCAATGGAGGCGTTCCTTGCTGTAATAGAGCCACAGGCCCGGCTCGCATTGACTTGGCTCCATCCGACAAACTGATGCGGCATCCAGGTTGGGAAGTCATCCCCTCGGGGGACAGCATGATACGGCCCCCTATCAGAGAAACATAATAAGTCGACACTCTTGTGCCTGTCTATGAAGAGACTGAAAACCTGCAAGCAGAGCTTGATGACAGGTGCGGCGTAGTCGACCCTCATCTTGCTCTCGTCGGTGTACAAAGCAAGCCCCAGGATGCCGTAAACCCGATCTCGAGGGTCAGTCATGTTCAGACCAGCTGTCTGGAGAAATAGCTGCAGAAGTGATGAACCTAAATATCTTCTGGTGATTTCGAAATGCGTCATTACATCATTACTCTGTTGATGGTGAAGTTGGATCCCCAGAAGCCTGTCGGCCTTCGCATGAAGGATATTACTACCTAGCACCTGAGGAGGCCACCTTCCCTTGTCAATGTAGTTGGAGAGCCTCCCCACATCGCCGGATACTTTGAAGAACGAGTTATTATTGATTCTTTGTTGAAAGTGTAAGGGCTGCTGCCCATCAAAGACATTCCGCTGGCAATATATGTTGATTTCTTTGGCCAGGATAAGCTCCTGCTGGGCCCACAGCCTTCGCCAGTACGGATTTCGAAAAATATCGGCGACTGGATACCAGTAGGGCGGATCATAGTCATCAAGCTCAATTTCCTTGCCGAGACGTGCAAGGTCTTCGAACAAGACATCCATTGGCTGCACGCTGTGATCGAGCCAAGCGCAGACAACCTGTGCACTTGAGTATATGCTCCGCATCAGCTTGATCTGGTGTGCCTTTTCTGTATTGTTTGGCTAGTTGATACATATGGCATCCGTCCAGAGAACACGAGCTTGTCAGGCTGGCGCAGATCGTCCAATGCCTTCCTCAGGTTCCGATGCACAGGAAATGCCCTGTGCCCATTAATGGAGATGTTATAGGTTGGTTGAGGTGGCCCCCAGGTGTAGCTCAAGGCTTCGAAGCTGGGGCTTTCATCCAAGGAGACGTTGAAGAGGCGCCCGACCACCTTGCTACCAGGCTTTCCTGGCCAGAGCTCAAATAGCCTGATTTCACGCTTCGCAGGATCCAGGGGTTCGTACTGAAGAGCTCTGTCATTCTTCGACTTCCATTCCCTTGGTATTCGACCTTTGCTGTGGCACTGGAGCTCGGGGTTGTCTCCTTGGTCGTAAGCGATCCACAACCTTGGGGATGGCGGGTTGGAGCCCATGACAGCTGTGGATACTATATATTGGGTAGGTATATACTGGAGGAAGTTTCTACATATATTGAATGTGTGTATAACTTACTCTGCCCGTGAGCGATTAAGATCCTTTGAGGTACTGAGAACTGGCCAGGTCTAAATTACCGCCAGATCCAGCCTTGTTCGGTTATATGATACTCCGGTGACACAACATCCTTGGGCTGCACTCTTTCCATCGTTAGGCAGCTGTTTTCTTCGGAAAAGACGAATGGTTGGGCAATTTGGGATGACCACAGAGCCTGGAATGTGTGGCGTTGCGATTAGGGGTGGAGAGCGATAGCGACGAGGAAGACGACGACGATGGTTGAAGATGACCTACAACGGATGTTTCTACTTTTATGCAGGATCGAACCCAAGAAGATACTTGCCAAAGCTGCCAGTCAGCTATAGAACCCCGCATCTACTGGAGTATGTATGAGTCCTTGGAGGATTCTAAGGAAAGCTGGCGGTTAATGGAGAGCCCTGTTTCCTTAGGGTCACAATATAATCCAATCAAAAATTATTCCCGGGCACTCCACTCTCCGTACCAAGCTTGTTCAATACTCTCAATACCACCTGGAATGTTTCATGGCTTAACAGAAAGGGCGTGCGTATAACAGAACTTCATGGTGTTGGTGTTATGATAGTCTAGGTCTGTCCGATGTCCTCCCCGTTCCCGGTTTAAAGTGGCTCTTTGTCGCATTCAGAGGGGCTGGCGGTGAGATGATCATTTTGGGAATGGACGCTAAACCTATTGTGAACGGAATCGGCCGGACTGTTCGATGCCAATGGATTGATGGGGTCTTGAATTTAATCTCCCCTGCAACCACTCAATTAAATACTTTAACTACTGCTACTACTAATAGTAGCTGCTATCCTGTCCACATCCACTTTACACCCCCCCTGACACCTTACCATTCCCCCTTCCCTTGTCCTTATTTATTATCTATCTACTTCCATTCGATACATAGGCATTTTATGCCGATTACACTCGTTACATCAATTCGATCTGTTAGATCTCGGATTTTCCATTCTCCGTCGCATTCTGGACCGCCGGTTCCTCCAGACAGCAGACATACATCTTGTACCGCATTAGCCTTTCCTGGATGCTTGTTCATCCTTCTTAACATATTACTTTCGGCATCGCGCATAAATTTACTATTTACGTCCTTCTTTTTCTTCTCGAAGTGGCCTGTTTAATGGGGACGGTCTAGGGTAACTTAGGTTGGGTTGAACTAAGTTACTGATCTACGCTTGTGATTCACGTACCCGCCACGTACATCCGAATTTTGTCGGTGCATGTTTCCTTGATAAAGCACCTGTTCTCTCTAATAGCGAGGGGTAGCCCCCATTTCCCCCATCACCTCAATAATGGAGCTGAGACGCTTGTGGTGCCCTCATCAATGGGCTTTGTGGTTGTTATTCGTCTCATACTCCTGCGCGTTCTACATACCTGGTAAGCTTTGATCAGCCTGTTAGGCCCATCAGGCTCTACAACTGACACGTTTATGTTTGTAAAATAGGCTATTCAGTCAAACGTTATACTGATGACGAGTCCATCCCCCTTCTTGTGAACAAAATCTTTTCCGACCATACGCAGCTTCAGTACGCCTACTATGACCTGCCTTTCGTCTGCCCCCCAAGTGGGAAAACGCATGGCGGCTCACCCTTCGGCTCGGGGCATAGCGTTTCGCTTAACTTGGGAGAAATTCTACGTGGCGATCGGATAATGACGTCTGACTTTGAACTGCAGATGGGAAAGAATGTAGAGTGTCAAGCCCTCTGCACGGCGGAAGTAGGGCGCAAAGACGTCAAGTGGGCTCGTCAGCTTATCAACGAAGGCTATGTCGCAGAATGGATCGTGGACAACTTGCCTGGAGCGACTAGCTTTGTCACCGTCGACCGTAGTCGCAAGTACTACGCAACCGGGTTCAAGCTTGGATCGCGGGACCTCTCACCTATAGACGGCAAACCACATTACTATATCAATAACCATTACACCATCGTGATCCGCTGGCGGTCGGCACCTGAAGGTGGCAAGTTAATTGTTGGTTTCGAGATTTATCCGAAGAGTATTCGCACCGAGGACCATGTTGAGAACGGCTGCCCCAAACAAGTACATGAGCACCACGACGGTCTGGAGCTATACATCCCTCCAAACACAGCAAAGCTCCGTGAGATGTATCCTGGCTCTTCATATATTCCGGAAGACGACGGGGTTGATGACGGAACTACACTGAAGATTCCGTATACATACTCCATCTATTTCAAGGAGGACAACAGCATTGACTGGTCCAGTCGATGGGACCTCTATTTTAGCAACCAAGACGATAGCTCTATGACGCACTGGTTTGCGATTCTCAATTCCTTGACTATATCTAGCGTTCTTGGGGTGGCTGTATATGTCATCTGGGGACGAACAGTCCAAGGAGATATCAAGGGTCGAGGAGACGGGGCAATGGATGAAGCTAAACTGAAGGCTCGAAGCGCAGCCAAAGCAAAGACTCATGAAAGAAAAGGAGACGGCATCTTGGACCAAGGATCGGATCTTGAGCGGGATGCAGATTTGTCATCCGACGACGAGGGTCTCGAAGATGTCAGCGGTTGGAAACTCCTGCATGGTGACGTTTTCCGAGTGCCGGAGTACAGCGGCCTACTTGCACCACTTGTTGGCTCTGGTATGCAACTATTGTTTATGGCCTCGGGACTTCTTCTGCTCAGTTGCCTGGGTATCTTAAACCCTAGCTTCCGTGGCGGATTCGTTAGTGTTGGAATGGGTTTGTTTGTATTTGCAGGCCTCTTCTCCGGCTACTTCTCCGCAAGGTTGTACAAAACATTTGGCGGCGCCAATTGGAGAAAGAACACGTTAATTGTAAGCCTATCTCGACCGGATTTCTGCTTTCCCTTCCGAAACTCGTGGCCTGGACATTGCTAATGATATTAGACCGCTCTCTTCATTCCTGGCCTGACCTTTTGCCTCATATTCATCCTGAATCTCTTCGTTTGGGCACAGGCGTCCAGCACGGCAATCCCGTTTGGCACCTTGATCGGTCTTCTTGCACTTTGGTTGCTGATTCAGGTTCCTTTGGTTTATATTGGTAGCTGGTACGGTTATGTACGAACGACGCCGTGGGAGCATCCAACCAAGACCACGTCAATCGCTCGACAAATCCCGCCGCAACCCTGGTACCTGCACAACACTTACGGACCCGCTCTGACAGGGCTGGCACCGTTTGCTGTTTTATTCATTGAGCTTCTGTTCGTGTTTAAGAATTTGTGGCAGGACAAGAGTGGCTACTACTACGTGTTTGGCTTTTTGAGCGCCGTTTCGACTATCCTAATGGTCACGGTGAGTCAAGTGACCATCATCGCAACCTACAGTCAGCTTTGCTCCGAGGTATGCTATATCCATTACATTTAAAGGGCCGGGAAGCTGACTGAAGCAGAACTACCACTGGTGGTGGCAGAGCTTCCTGACCGGCGGAAGCAGTGCATTCTGGGTCTTTGCCTACTGCATTTGGTACTACTTCTTCCACCTTCATATCACTGGCTTCGTATCTAGTCTGCTCTTTTTCAGCTACAGCTTCCTGGCATGTGCAGTATACGGCTTGTTAACGGGGACCGTTGGGTTCTTGACGGCCTACGCGTTTGTCCGACGGATTTACAGGTAAGCAGTTACTGGTGGTGTCGTGATTATTAGATGTTGGAGCTAATCATGGCACAGCGGCGTCAAAGTTGATTGATCAATTTCAGGAACGCATATTTGACATCCACGTCATCCTTCTACCCAGACGGGCTTATGTGAAACGGCAACTGGTACCAGCATTCCCTATTTATTTCCTTTGCCGCTTTTTGGCACATTCTTAAGATATCCACCTTCCCACTCCATGTGCAATAAGCTACCGTGCTATTATTGACTTGTAATGTCATTTGGCCCGTGGCCGTTATGTACTTTATATATACATATATATTCCGTTTATTAGCGAATTCAATCAATATTCCTCAGTCCCAGCGCGTGTTCCAGTCTTGATCTCAATTCCGTTGTATTGCTTCTCGCTAACCGCGAAGCAGCTTAGTCGAGTATAGTATCCCAATCACATCTACTGTATCAAAGGTACCAAAACCAGCCGTAGCACAAATACTCAACAAACACTCAAACGACACCCCTAATAACTGCTCCCTCACAAGATAAAAGTAGCACTATTCACAATCCCTCCCCCATCAAAAAAGAAAGAAAAAACGGCCTCGTCGAGACCCCGGGAAAAACCACCTGACTCATCATAGCGCAACAACCAGATAGACTCAAGTCAATTCTTCCCCGAAACGGCATTCCCATCCAGCCCCTCCCCCCGGCCACAAAACCCCACGAGCCTTAACATAACGCCTCTTAATGCCTCCCCAGCCACCATTTCACTCCAAGTCACACACACACACATAACAAAATACAAGTTCTCAATACATTGAAACCCCCGTTACACTACCACATCCACCTGTGTAACATGAGAACCTTTGAGAATGGCTACAAGTCGAGACTCTTAACTATATGGTCCGCGTGATGTCCAATCTTAGGAACGAGGATAACTGATGAAGTCCCGTGATTGAATTGATGGAAGGTTTCCAGTCTCTGGTAAGTATTTTTCCATGGATGGGATGGATGTATCTATGACTTTTGTTTTAGTGGGGTTTGTGTGATTGGTTGGGATAAGGTCATGTGGCATCTATGTATTGAGTTCTGGGAGGTTGATGCTTAAGGGGTGATTTTGGTGGAGTTGTCATTGTCATGGTGTACTCCGTACTTTAAGTCTGGTTATGGGGCTTTTCTGGGGTTATCTATTTTGGGGATAGTGAGCGTTTGTGGGGTTTGTTTGATTGATGTAAGGGGTTCTGTTCTTGTGCATGATCATGGGTCAAGACTCAAAAGAGAACACTAGTACAGAGTAGATAGATGTGTCTCATTTCCACCCAGTATGGATATGCGTAGTAGCCAAGAACAGGTTTCCAGACCGTCCAGTTACATATCAGATGCGAATGAGGCAGCAGCATTAGTTAAGGTAAGAAAAATGACAGACATGAAACGAGCAGGAAAAACGCAAAAGCAAACCTGATTGCGTCAGCTACCTATTAATGAGATGGCAGAAAACAACAGTCCCGAGGATATGAATGAAAGTAAAAGTTCCTGTGACTCGGCAGGTTTGTTCAGGCATTTTGGATTTAAATTACATAGACTTTGTTTCAAATGTGTTACAACCGCTAGGGCAGATTTATGATGAGTGACCAATACCAATACTTTTTGTGTTTGGGTGGATTTTTTAAAACATGGATGTAATCCAGGTGCATTAGGGCGTGCTTTAGTGTTACTGAATGTATTACTACTGTACTACTGTATACATTGCAGGTATGTATGTATGTATGTATTGTAGTAGAGTAACTTAAATAGGAGGTGAATATGCCCCATTAATTGAAAGATCTCCAATCACCGTCTCTATTGATAAGTTATCTACTCCCATGTCAGGCCAAGATACTTGATCAATTGTGTCGGATGGAACGGACTCCGTTTCAGCCCGACTCCAATGATTATCGTGATCGTCCAGATGAAAGGGTCAATGACGAGGTAAGACATAGAGTACTCCTTACTGTTCATTGGAGGAAGTTGGAATTCTCCCATCTGCGGACTTTATAAACCAGGTGCACAGGCAGCAATGCACAGTCCTCGACTTCAAACGGGCGGTAATGAATCATTCATTTGTGGAGATGTTTCGCCCCCTTGATGGCGTGATCGGAGGAATGAATGATGCGTTTTTCCTCACGTCGAAGGGCTCGGCATCCGAATCCGGACGAAAGAATGAGCTTCTTTTGGCTGCGAGCCTCTCAATGAGCAAGAAGGCGGAGGGATCTATGGCTCATGTCAAATTGGCATATTATCACGGGAGAACCGCAGGAGAAATGACTGAGGAATGTAGATATCTGGTACGGAATGGCCTGATCTCCGTGAAACTCCGGAACCCGTAGTAGATCCCATTAGCCAAAAGCTTATCAGCAACTTCATCAACAGAGACCATGGGGAAATGGCCATTCGGATGATCTTCTAGAAAATCCTCATCGCATACGTAAGGGCGATGGAATATCCAACACGTAATGCAGAGATCGACGAATGACAGACGGAGTGGAGATGATGCCATCGACCCACGGAATTGGTATAACGCTAAGCACGGCATCTGCAGGAAGCCTATTCTCTTGACCCGTCATTGGTCTCCTGATGTTAACTAAGGTCTGCAGCTTCTGGGGTAAAAGGGTCTGTGCAATACTGGCCATGCATACGGTATTGATGAGTTGAGTATATCAGTGCCAAGATGCCATTCATTCCGCTAGACTTGGCATATGTTTGCCGGCTCAGGTGACTGGGAGAGTATCGATAGGGCGAGATTCTTGATATGCTACGTTCCAAGAATAATGGTATAGATGTATTACATATGTATCGCGGAGAGAATAGCATGGTTCACAATTCAACATTTTAGTCTCCGTCCTTGGTAGCAGAATATCTATGACTCGTTCGAGAGCGCAAGCGGTTGGAGCGTTGAGATCTCAATTCTAACTGACAACGAAATTAGAAGCGGTTGCTACATCCTATGTACTCAAAGCAGCTCGCTCCACACCATCTCTCCTTCCTTTTCACACCCTGACGCGAATATGTGTCCACTTGCAGGGCTCCTTCATTACTAGTTGTCGCATGAGAAGTAGTTCTTAGGATCTATGCCGATCGGAGTTCAGGAATAAAAGAAACACTTGTGAACGACTGTAGAAATGGGATTGACAGAAGTCAACCACGTGATGATAATAGTGGTTGGACCAGATAACCCCAGAATGTGCCACATTTCATTGTGAACTGCCAAGTCCGTCATCAGAAATGAAATGAGACACAGCGTAGCGGGTTGTGTGGCTTTCGGATAACAGTCTCTGGGCCCAATTGAAAGTAAGGATCATAGAGCCGCCTGAACCAGCTCAAATACGAATGTGTCATGATGATGCGTGTATCATGTAAATATCATTGAGTTCTTGGTAAATCCTGGGGAACCAGTACATTGTCCTGCTGAGCATGCAAAATATGAAGCCTGTTGATACTGTTAAGTGGTGGTAGTCCGAATAGTAGTACGCTGTAAGCCGTATGGAAGGATGAAATTGAGCCCAAAAATTGGCACTGAAATTAAGTTACGGGCGCGCATTAGCCTGCCAGTCGAAGAGGACGATATTCACCGCAACCTGAGGTTTTGCTGAGAAATGTTGTCTTGGCTGCCTGAGAGGATGGCACATGACCCCTGACCCGAAAGAGGGAGATGGATCCATATGGAAACCTTCAGCCGTATCGAGCGATAATGACACATGAATTCCTCTTTTCATTGTTTGAAACTCTCCCACTAGAACCAGTATGCGCTTGTAACTTTCTAACGGATCAGCCCGTTTTCCTTACAAGGGCCTTAGTCTGTGGCACTAGAACTTGTTTAAGGAGCTACCCAATGAACTGTCGTGGCGAACCAGCTGACGAGCCTAGTTCAGCGAGTCAACCTGTGATGTGCTGGGGATCCTTGTCGGAACCGGCCGGGGGTGGAATTCAGGAACCAATAAAACGATACTAAAATGCCAAGCGCGCCAAGATTTTGGGGAGCCCGGACTAGTGAGAAGGGGGTTTGAGACCCCAGGCCCACTTCGGTTAGTAGGCAGGCTAGTTTACCCGTCCTAAGCGAACTTCAGTCAACTACGGAGTACTTCGACTCTGGAAAGGAATGCGCACAGAACAGGATCAAAACCAATGACGCTTCGTGAAGGCAATCTTCAAAGTCTTTATCTATTAGTGGGGGAGTGGTGAACGGATGAAGTAGAACGGAAATTGCAAAATGAGATAGGACCTGCGGACTCCGACGACCACCCGAGGGCTTTCGTGGCAATCTGACCAATCCTTTGGTACTTGCCGGACCGCATTTCTCTGCCGGGAAATTACATCCTTACGCGGCCCTAGTAATCGGTACCTCGTCACAAAGTGATCGTCCGTTCGTCGACGACATGTACTACCGAGTATGTATGTACTACGGAGTAGTACTTGACAAGGCAACGTGATTTTGGATGATCACAATCCTCCAACGCGAGGAATCTACAAGTGGGAAAGAAAGATAATCAATATTCTTCACTTGAGTCATTGGTCTAAAGTTAATTGCCCCTGCGTTCCAGCTCGTGGAGAAATCACACCATCGTCCCCGCTAATGGTTCCATCGCTGCGGTGACATCGATTGTACCATTGTACCACACTTGATGTAGATCTCCACTATTTCTCAATACATTCATTTCATACCCACATGTAATTTTGGTTCTGGTACAAGTATGTACATGCGAGCAATTGTTTTTTTTCTTTTACTCCCTCTTATCTTTTCTTCTTTTTTTTTTTTTCCCTTTCTTTTCTTTTCCTGCTCGGCCTGATTCACCCTGAAAGCAATATCCGCTCCCCCTTAAGGTTACTTATAACTTGTCTTTCCCTTCTCCGGCTTTCATTCTTTTCCTTTCTCTTCCTTCTTCATCCGGCACACCTCTTCTCTTATTCCGGCCACCAACTCTTTGGCATAGTTTCTATCATTTAGATTAGAGTGTGAGAGGAGGTCTCACCAATCATCACCATGGCTACCAAGAAGCCCAACATCCTCTACATCATGGCTGACCAGATGGCTGCTCCCCTTCTGGCCTTTCATGATAAGAATTCTCCCATTAAGACCCCCAACCTGAACCGATTGGCAGATGAGGGTGTCGTCTTCGACTCGGCCTACTGTAACTCTCCGCTATGTGCGCCGTCACGTTTCGTCATGGTGACCGGCCAATTGCCCTCCAAGATTGGAGCCTATGATAACGCCGCCGACTTACCCGCTGACATCCCCACTTATGCCCATTATCTGCGCCGGGAGGGCTATCACACCGCTCTGGCCGGAAAGATGCATTTCTGTGGGCCGGACCAGCTACACGGTTATGAGCAACGTTTGACGAGCGACATCTATCCCGGTGACTATGGCTGGTCTGTCAACTGGGATGAGCCGGTAAGTTGTATTCTTAGTAGTTCGAATTCAAGGCAAGAGATTTCTGATTGTGTATAGGAAATTCGTCTCGATTATTATCACAACATGTCCTCTGTCATGGAGGCGGGTCCTGTTGTGCGGACCAACCAGCTTGACTTTGATGAGGAAGTCATATATAAATCCACCCAGTACCTCTACAACCATGTCCGCCAGCGCGGTGATCAGCCATTCTGTCTGACGGTGTCCATGACTCACCCCCATGACCCTTACGCCATGACCAAGGAGTTCTGGGACCTGTATGAAGGTGTTGACATTCCTTTGCCGAAGAACGGCGACATGCCACAGGACCAGCAGGATCCCCATTCTCAGCGTGTTCTGAAATGCATTGACTTGTGGGGCAAAGAAATGCCCGAAGAACGGATCAAGGCCGCTCGCCGCGCCTACTACGCGGCTTGTACCTACGTTGATACCAACGTCGGCAAACTGCTGAAGGTCCTAGATGATTGTGGTTTGACCGACGACACAATCATTGTGTTTACTGGTGACCACGGAGACATGCTGGGTGAGCGCGGTCTTTGGTACAAGATGACCTGGTACGAGAATTCGGCGCGTGTGCCCATGATCGTGCATGCTCCGAAGCGTTTTGCTCCGAAGCGTGTATCCCAGAATGTGTCGACGATGGACTTGTTGCCCACCTTTGTCGATCTGGTTGGCGCGCAGTTGGTTCGGGAACTACCCCTGGACGGTGTGTCGTTGATTCCGTACCTGACAGGCGAGGACGGCCTCAAGACTGATACCGTACTGGGTGAGTACATGGGTGAAGGAACACAATCCCCGGTAGTGATGATTCGTCGCGGACGCTGGAAGTTTGTGTACTCGCTGATTGACCCACCCATGCTCTTCGACGTGGCGACAGACCCTGAAGAAAAGGTGAACCTGGCGGCCGGTTTGCCTGTTCCGGTGCGACTGGGTGCAGCTAAACATATCTCGGGATCGCAGTTGCAACCGGCGTCCTTGCCTACTCCCGCTGAGTCTCCGCGTGTGTCGCCTCGGCCGCAGCGTGGTGCATCGTCGGCATACCCATTCCCTAGCCCCCCACGGACTCCTAGTCCAGGCAAAGGATTGTCTGAAATGCCGACCACTACCGAGCCTGCCAAGGTCCTGGCATATTTCTTAGAAGAAGCGCAAGCCCGCTGGGACTTGGAGAGCATCACGGAAGATGTCCTGCGGTCACAGCGCCGGCGACGCTTGGTTTACTCGGCGTTGATCAAGGGCAACCCGGCTATTTGGGACTACGAGCCGCGTATTGACCCCAGTACACAATACGTGCGCAACCAAGGCAAGGGTGTTTTGGATGATGTCGAATTCATCTCTCGCTGGCCTCGTGTGTTGCAGCAAGCCGCCACTTCAATGGGCACAAAGGTATAAATCACAGTTGAACAAAAGACTTGAGAGAAGAAAAGACAAGGCAACGAAAAAGGACATCATTCATTATATCGGCATTGCTATGCTTTCAAGTTGATTCGGTTTTTTTTTTTTTTTCTCTTTTTGGCTTCCCGTTTTGAATTTGTTCCGATGAACTTCATTTCTTGATGATTTAGTTAGCGAGGCGCTATACCCGGCATTGTTTGCATTCCCAGCGTTTGCTCGAGTCTACCTATCGATTGGTGAATGCTTTTTATTCGGGATCTCCTGCAGATTGGTACGGCAGTGCTGTACATAGGATTGATTATATAGGAGAGCTGCCTGCTTGTATGTATGATAGACCAGAATGACAGACAAGAATGAATGTAAAGAACGATGCTTTTTTTTTTTTTATTCTTTTATCCGGAGATAAAATCCGTGGTAAAACGTGGAGAGAGAGAAAGAAGCGGGTCTCTGACGAATTTTCGGTGACTCACCCGGCGATTGGTCCGGCTTTCCGGGATTTGATATTCATCTTTAAATTCCCCACATCCATTCATGGCTTCTTTAACAATCAACAGAACAAACAATCTTATTGATTTACCAAACATGCCATCCAAGATCACCGTAGGCGTTGCCCAAGCACGCACCCACAACACCGTCGCGGAGACTCTCTCCGCCCTCAACCGCATCACCCGTCATGCTGCCTCCCGTGGCGTCCATCTACTCCTCTTCCCAGAGGCCTATCTGGGCGGATACCCACGTACCTGCAACTTTGGCACTGCCATTGGTGCACGTCAACCTCATGGACGGGAACAGTTTCTGAACTACTTCCATTCTGCCGTGGATCTCGGGGATACCCCCACTGGAGCAGGTGATGACTGGGTACAGAGGAAGTTGCCCGTCGCAGAGGGCAAGAATCATCGCGGCGACGGCACCAGAGAAACACTCGAACGGATTGCGAATGAGACGGGCGTCTTCATCGTCGTTGGCGTTATCGAGAGAGCTGCGGGCAGTCTGTACTGTTCTGCGCTGTACGTGGATCCTGCGAGGGGAGTGCTCGGAAAGAGAAGAAAGGTTATGCCTGTAAGTCCTAACATGAACATTTCTTTGCCGTATTGATGCATTTACCATGTATACGGTGCAGAAATGCTCGGTTCAAAAGTACCAAATTCAAGGGAAAAGATAAGTTGACAACCCCCCAACAGACCGGAACGGAACGTCTCGTCTGGGCTCAAGGTTCCCCATCCACCTTGAAAGCCGTGACTACTCATCTCAACGGTGTTCCCGTGACTATAGCAGCAGCTATCTGTTGGGAGAACTACATGCCCCTTCTCCGCCAGAGTCTGTATTCACAGAACGTGAATATCTACCTGGCCCCTACAGCTGATGCCCGGGATACATGGCTACCCCTGATGCGGACCATCGCATTCGAGTCACGGGCATATGTACTAAGCGCAAACCAGTGCGTTCGGTATAACGAATTACCGGAGTGGGTGACTAGCCCAGAAGATGAGAGTAAGTCCCCTATAATCATCACCACCATCTAATTGCGCCAAAATCGGTGACTAATAAATAAATGAATAAACAGAATCCATCTCAACTGAATACGTCTGCCGCGGTGGATCCTCCATCGTTGATCCTCAAGGCCAGGTTCTTGCGGGTCCTATCTGGGAGGTCTCCGCTGACGATGCGTCTGATTCTGCGGCGGATGCCGTAGGAGACGGATTGATTATCTCGGAGATCGATGTAGAGGACTGCGAACGGGGTAGATTGGATATGGATGTAGCGGGTCACTACTCGAGAAGTGATGCGTTTAAGTTGACGGTGGAGGGGCTGGATCTCAACCCACCTCCTTTTTAAGAATGTAAAAACGGTATATATGTATTGGGTGGGAACTTGTGTTTTTTCAGTTGCATTTAACTCTCCGTAAATATATACCTAGAGTATAAACTTGTGCATACCCTCCATATCTCATTCACTCAGCCGCTACATCACCAGTAAGAATAACTTGATCTGTGAACATTGCTAGGATATTATATATAGCCTTATTATAGCACACAATAGTATGTATTTAATACTTATATTCTATCTTAGGGATGGTAAGGGAGAAAAAAAAAAACAGATCAGGTGTTTCTACTTTAGTCCTATCACAGCTCACCAGATGTATCCCACCGAGCACATACGTAGACGACTGTTGAACAGCCCCGAGCTACCTAAAAACCAAACATACACATCGGGAACTTCAAAAGCGAGATCATTCATCTAAACCCAGTCAACACCCCCTAACCACTCCGAATCATCCAAACCAAACAATGGAATCTCCTCATCAAACCCAAGATGCCGAAAGACATCCCGCAACCCCATATCACACTCTGCTTCATGAGGCGGCAGAACCTCCTCCTGAGTCGTTGGCACGCGATGAATATCACTGACCTTCTGCCACATCAACCGAAAGCTATTCAGACATTTTCCAACAGATAGACTAAGGTGCTCGTGTGCACTGAGGACCGAGACAGCTGTGTTCCAGGACTCCTGGACCACCGTTGCGAAGATGTCAGGTCGTAGCATTGCGGTTATCAAATGCTGCATTGCGATGTAGAGGAAGAAAATACGATACCACCAGGGTACGATGATGAGTCCGGTCTTGTCTTGTTGTGAGCATGATGCCTGGATCAGTGTAATGAGCTTTTGGGCGTTTGTAACGCATAGTGTGGCGCTTGTTTGGTTGATGTGGTCGCCTAGACTTGGTTCGCCTGATTTCTGGGTTTGTAAATGTGGTAGACAGAAGTGGGCCATTGTGGGTCTGAGGAGCATGATACGTGTGTATGAAATGCTGGGAAAGCGGAGGGCTTGGTTAGCTATGCATACTGACCATAAGGAGCTATAGTAATTAGGGACTGGGGAAGACTCACCGGAGACGAAGGAGGAGTAGTTGGCGGTCCGCGGATTCAACATTAGGGCTATTGAATGGGATAGGAGGAAGGCTGTTTTCTAATCCAGTTAGATACTCGTCGATTTGTATAACGGTATAGGATTCGGGTTGGGTTTGCATGGCCAAGCCTAGGCCCTCGGCCGAACTACTGCTGGGGAGTACTTGAGAAACGCCAATGTAACCGGTGATCTTAGTTAATTCTTGCATTTTCTCCGAAATTGGAGTGACAGTCTCACTGTCGTAGCAAGGCGGGTTGAACAAGAAGGGTACTCTAGGCGCTGAGGAAGGCCGCCCAAGCGACCAGGAAAGGCATCTGAACTCGAATTAGCAGAGCCATAGGACTAAAAATGGGAGGACATTGCCCAATACCTGTCCATAAAGACGCATTGTTGCCAGACATCCAGTGCCACGCTATTCTCCCTCCGTGATCCGGATATATTCCCCCCTGGTCGGCCAAGTCCAATGCTCAGGGCAATCCGGAGAGCGGAACCCAGGGCCATCCATGTCTGTTGCAAATTAGGGGTACATTGGAGGTATCTGGTCATAAGAATCAGGCATTGAACGGTATCCAATGAGCCGGCTTTCCAGAGGATGTTCTCTGGACGTAACAGATGCCAGGCTCGAAGAAAGAACGTTCTGCTGGAACTGTGTCGCTGTTCCGGGGAAGTTGATTCTTGTAATTGAGTGGACAAAGCGAATACAAGATTGAGCACGCACAGAAAGATTTGTCTATTGCACTCTATCTCCCTCCCATCAAAGAGGGCCTGGTAGGCAGCCCAGAAAGATTTCTGATCGAGCAAGGGCTCCAGAGGATCCAGACATTGCCAGTACAGGTTCACCAAGTGGTCGGCATGTCTGCGCGACGGAAGGACATAGTCCGCAGGATTAACAATAGCTTCAGTGATATCTAGGATAGAGAGCAAACCAAATAATGGAGCATCTGTCAGAGGAATAGGGCAACGCCTTTTCGGCGATGGTAGCCCCAGTCGGGTATCAATCGCAGCCTTGACCTCGAAAGAGAATTCTCCTGGATTACCGGGGCTGCGAGCGCTTGGAGATCTGATGGCATTGATTTCCTCCGAATTTACTTGAGCAGACGTAGCAGGAGTCAGCAGTTGGGAGGATATTGCAGCTGATGAGTGATGGTGGTTGACAGTACTGCTACGGCGGACTGACGCAGCAATGTAAGTACAGGTTTCCTGAAGCTCTCGTTTGTTTTGACATCTTCCACACACTGGGAATAACAGTAGTCAGCACTTGCGACTTCGAAGATTGGATTGGAGGCCGCCTGCTGCGAAAGAAAATGTGGAATACCTGGGCGGAGACCGTCGCATTTGACCTTGCGACGACGACAGGTCGCGCAGGCAACGACGGCCTTGTATCTTCGGTGCCGTCGGGAGCTGTGCGGCTGGGCTGAAGTCGAGGACATACTGCCACCACTTATCATACGTCGGATTTCAGTGCAAACGATCAGGATTGTCGTACAATCTCTTGACCAGCAGGAACGGAAGTCAGCGGAGAAAATGCGCCAGGCCAGCTTCCACGCACTCTGTGAATAACATCACATCCTCTCTCCGACAGCCAATCATTGGCCATTCCGAGCAATTTCGGGGTTGGGAAATGACAAGCCGAGCTGCAGCCCTCATTGTCCGATCTCAACATCGCCATCGGTGTCCAGGAATTGGATATGGCCTTGAGACTTAATCATAACAGACACAGCATGTGAATCCCGAGCTTCCAGATAATGTTCGGGTTCGTTCCTCCTATATTTCTATCTGGCCTTCCTGGATATCACCCACGGCTACACGCCTCCATCTGAGCTGCATCACCTTGGTTTTTTTTTTTTTTTTTTTTTTTTCACAGTGAAATTGAATCGCAAAACAGATCAGTCATGGCTGAAAACGCTCTTCCAAACCCGAAACGCTACATTACCGACAACGACAATGAAGGCAACTCTGTCTTCTCGAGGACCGTCAACGAGTCCCTTCCCGTCGTGAACGATCTCGGTGGAGCTCTCGTGCGTCTGGGTTATACCACCAACAGACCGCCCGTCGTGCTCACCAATGGCACCGACCTCCAGCACTACGAGACCTCCACACTCCATGAGCTTCCTCCGCTGGTCACTCAGGGTGGCGGTGCTAATGTGTGGTACATTGATACGCCTCCGGACTCGGAGAGTCCTCTGCATCGGACCGTGAGCCTGGACTTTGTCATCCAGGTCGCAGGCGAGATCGAGCTCACGCTTTCCTCTGGTGAAACGCGTATCATCAAACCGGGGGACATGACCATCCAGCGATCTACATTGCATAAATGGCGGAATCCCAGCAAGACTCGGTGGTCTCGCATGGTTGGGGTTATGTCAGAGTGCCAACCAGTCGTCACTAGGAATGGAACAACTCTAGGTGCGGAATTCCCGAAGCATTGAGGTGACTACGTGGGTTTGTGGGACCGAGATGTATTTCTATGGAACTACCCTCAGATACAAACTATTTGATCTCGTGTGTGGAGAATGAGAGGCCCTTTCCAAGGGATTCAGTATCTTGGTTTAACAATGGCCAATAACACCCTCTTTGATTAAAGGATCTAGAAGGGAATTGACACCAGGGATTGCCATGACGTCTATATTGCTTTGGCCCAGGAGCATCAGTAGATCTAGAGGATTGATCAGCCCATCCAGTATGTGACACGTATAGCTGATCAGGACTGGTCGGACCAACGTCATCTGTGCGTCGTATTTTAACTAGTAAGTCTAGTATTCACTGGTATAGTTTTATTACTTACATCATGATAAGCTATCATAGACATTTCTAGCGTTATGTTAGAAAGCCGGGCGTATATAGATGAACATTACTAGATGGATAATGAACCAACTCTCGATACCTATCTTATATTATAACCAAGAACTGAAAGTAGCAAAGCAAACAATTCCAATCCATAAACACATACAATAGACATCTAATGTTCTGGTATTAACGCCGTAGAAAAAGGTGACGTTTAAGTAAAGTTAGAGGCGAACCAAGTTTCACAATTGCACGTCACCATGATGAAGAGGAATTTCCCAGCCAAAAACGCCGCATAAGAAGGCCCATTAACAGATGTAGTCCGCATAACTCCTAGTCCTATTTTTACTAAAAATGTTCGCGCAACATAGTAGTCGCGTATTCAGATTACAAACACGTAGGACTAGTGCAGTAGTCCTGAAACCATACAAATTTCGCCCTCAAAATCACCCTCATCTCCCGCCCAATGGCAACAATCGCCAGTCCAGAACAATGGATGAATACCTCCGGGGAGACGACCCCGGTATGGGTGCATAAAATGCCCTTCTCCGAATACCCTCAGTTTGAGACATTGTCGCACGACATCCAGACCGACGTCTGCGTGGTCGGCTCTGGAATAGCGGGGATATCCACTTCCTATGAGCTCATCACGCGTGGCAAGAAGGTGACGATGATCGAGGCTCGGAATGTGCTTTCGGGCGAGAGTGGAAGAACTAGCGGTCATTTATCGAATGCCTTGGATGATGGCTATAGCGCGATTGCGAAGAAGCACGGGAAGGAGGGAGCGAAGATCGCGGCCGATAGTCACACCTGGGCGATTGACCGCGCGGCGGATATTGTCAAGAAGCTGAAACTGGACTGCGAGTTCCGGTATTTGCCGGCGATTGAGATCTCCCAGTACCCTCGCGGAGATCCGAAGCATGACAAGGAGGTAGGTGTTATGCGAGAGGAAGTTGATGCCGCTACCAAAGCTGGATTGCATGCGTCGTTCCGCGAAGGCCTTGCGATCCAGGGATGGGATGGGGGCATTGATCAGCGTGATGGGGCTTTGTTTACTGGTCAGGGGACGTTCCATCCGACTAAGTACATGGTGGGTGTTCTTGAGTGGTTGAAAACCCATCCGAACTTCCAGTGCTTCACGCATACGAGGATGGCATCGATCGAAGAGAACGACCGTGTTCAGGTTCGCACGGCTAATGGCAACACGATCACGGCCAGTGATGTGGTTCAGGCGACCTGTGTGCCCATCCAGAAGTTAAGCGTCATTGCCGAAATGGAATATATGCGGACATACTGTATTGCTATCCGAGTCCCTAAGAACTATATCGAGGACTGCCTTATCTACGACCAAGCAGACGCATACAAGTATATCCGCTTCACCGATTGCGACGAAAACGACGACTACCTCATTATCGGAGGCTGCGATCACAAAGTGGGCCAGGATCAAGTAGAGGGTCGCTTCCAAGAGCTGGAAACATGGGTGCGTGAGCGATTCACCAGGGCCGGCTCCGTTGACTATAAATGGAGCGGACAGATCTTTGAGCCAGTAGACTACATGGCCTTTATTGGAAAGAACCAAGGCACGAACCATACCTATATTGTTACTGGCGATAGCGGAAACGGACTCACTCACGGTATACTGGCGGGGAAACTAATCGCAGACGAGATTGAAGGAGTCGAGAACCCATGGGCAAGCCTTTACAATCCCAAACGACTAACAAGTGTTGTCAAATCGCTTGGAAGCATGCTGGAGCATGACATACAAATCAACACCCAATACAAGCGCTACCTACAAACTGACATTAAGGATATTGAAGATCTGGCGGTGGGAAGTGGTGGTGTACTTAACAAGGCCGACACATCAGCGCCGATGGCCGTGTACAGGGATGAGGGAGGCCAAACGCATCGCTTCAGCGCTATCTGCCCTCATATGAAGGGGGTGCTCAGTTGGAACGCTGCAGAGAAGAGCTGGGATTGTCCGGTGCATGGAAGTCGGTTTAGCTGCGACGGTGTCTGCGTTGAGGGTCCAGCCAAGTCGAACCTTACGCCCTTGGATGACTTTTCGAAAACCAAACAGCAGGAGCAAGAAGCATTGTAATGCTGTTATCATGTATTTAATGAGGGTCGACACCTCGTTTAACTTTCTCATAAGCGAAATTTGATGTTTCTTTTCGATTATTTGTACTTTGGTCTGATTACATATTAGGGTCATATCACGAATAACAGGTGTACGGCGGCGATATGAACACCAACCCATCATAGGGCCCTGGTTTTTGGACACATCCAAGTAGGTACAGAAGAAAATCATTCAAATTATGAAATCAAGATAGGCCGCGAAAGGATATATACTACGTACGGTCTGCTGCTCTAACCCATGAATGCGCTTAGGGCAACATGACCCAGTGATCTACCCCAAGTGTGGGGAAGTCCAGGCTAACCTCGGCTGCCAAACAAATTGACCCCATACTTACTTCCACTCCCTTATTTAATAAACTGCTACCTTCTTCAAGTCACTCAATTGTGCAACTAGCTATCTGTATTTTAAATCGATAAATCAGACACAATGTCGAATTCCACCCCCAGCTACCCAGCCATTGCCCAGCGTAAACAAGCCCACCTTGAATCGCAAATCCCAGCAGAATGGAAGCTCTCCGCTTCTCTGATTCCCTCGGGAATGCTCTCCCTGGAGGATTCTATTACCAACGCTAAGCAGTATCAGCGGGTGAACGTGATGGATGTCCCCAGAACATGCGGCTTACTCACAGGTAAGGAATTGGAAATTACCGAGAACTGGGATATTCGGGGTCTCTTGCGAGTCATCGCCGAGAAACGGTATACGACGGAAGACGTGGTCAGAGCTTTCTGCAAGGTAGGTACCTTCCCCATTTTTTTTCACCTGTTCTTCTACATCTAGTCTCTTCTAGTTTTACAATTTGGTTATATGATAAATAGTAACATCATCATCAGCGCGCGGCAATCGCTCACCAAGTCACCCGCTGCTTGAGTGAACCGCTTTTCGACCGTGCCCTGCAACGGGCCAAAGACCTCGACCTTCATCTTCAGAAGAGCGGGAAACCAATTGGCCCCTTACATGGTCTGCCAGTGTCTGTCAAAGACTCTTTTCATGTGAAAGGTGTCGACTCGACCACAGGTATAGTCGGACTCGCATTCAAACCGGCTACGGAGAACTCGCCTCTAGTGGATCTCCTCGAATCCCTAGGCGCCGTGATCATTGGCAAGTCCAATGTTCCCCAGACTATGGGCGCACTGGACAGCTGCAACTACCTCTTCGGCCGGACACTGAATCCCCTTAACCGCCAGTGGACAGTGGGAGGCAGTACAGGCGGCGAAGGCGCTTTGATCGCCATGCGTGGATCCATGGTCGGCTTTGGGACGGATATTGGCGGCAGTATTCGTGTTCCAGCCATGTGCAACGGCATCTACGGTTTCAAGCCCAGTGTCGGCCGCGTTCCCTTCGGAGGCCAGGAAGGGGGACAAATGCCCGGCAAGGGAAGGGTGTCCTTGCAAGCGGTTGCTGGTCCCCTGGCGCGTTCGGTAGCTGATCTAGGTGCTATCATGGAGGAAGTTGTGCTCCGTGCGGAGCTTTTTGGAGAGGATTGTATTCCTGGTCGATGGAATGGTGAATTTCCTTTCCGGTTACCCGAGACGCAGGCTCGGAATGTCACCATCGGTGTACTTCGATCGGACGGTATCGTCGAGCCCTTGCCTCCTATCGCCAAAGTATTAGATGAGGTGGCTCAGACACTGCGGAAGACGCCCGGTGTTGAGGTGGTCGAGATTCCTGTGCCAGCAGCGTTGACCAAATGCCAGGGCCTGGCAGGCCGACTGATGGGTGTAGATGGGGGAAACGCCATGATGGGCTTGCTAGAGAGTACAGGGGAACCACTGATCCCCTGGCTGCAAGGTCGAATGAAGCGGGGACGGGAATTGACGCTCTCGCAGCTGGGACAACTGCAGGCGCAGCGATCTATCGTCGAACGAGAGCTACTGAAGATGTGGACTCTCAATAGTGGGACTGGGCGTCGCATTGATGCTATTATCCACCCTGTGGCTCCGCACCCAGTTCCTGAGATTGACCGCTACAATGCCGTGGGTTACACGTCTAGCTTTGTCTTGCTAGATTATCCTGCGGGAACCATTCCAGTACGACCATTCAGGGAGTCCGATCTTGCAAGCGGAAAGGAAATGGACGCCCCTCTGTTGGGAAGCTGGGATAAGGCAAACCGACAGTTGTGTATGTTTCTCTATCTATTACTCTTGATCACCTTCCGTTTTAACGCTGGTCCAAACAGGGAACGAGAAAACGGTTGATCGCCGAGTATATCTTGATTCACCGCTGAGTATCCAGGTCGTGACCCCCAAGCAGCACGACTATGAGCTGTTCCGAGCTATGGAGATCATTGATAGGGCTGTCAGGACACCGGATACAGGGAAGACAGCAGCCAAGCTGTAGAGCTAGCTCTAAAACATATCCATATGTTCAAGTACTTCGATATATAAGAAGACATCAAATATAGCACTATATACAATCACGAAAGTATAGCGATAGAGCATAACCCCGCTACAGGTTGATCTAGATGAAACTCAAAGCTTTCCCTTCAAGTGACTTCCACCATCGGTCGTAATAACCGCTCCATTCAGATGGCTAGATGCCCGACTTCCGAGGAACACCACCAGGCCCGCAATATCCTCCGCACGACCCAGTCTCTTGTTGGGAGAGTAGTCCTCGAGCGCCTTCAACCCACCCTGCAGACTAATCAGGCCATCGGCCATCTTCGATGGGAAGAAGCCAGGAGCAATAGCATTGCACAGGATATGCCTGGGACCCAATTCGACCGCCAAGTTCTTGGTCAAGTGAATGACAGCCGCCTTAGAAGCAGAGTAACTGAAAGTAGCATTTTCCCCAAGACTGCCGACCCCCAGACCAGCGACAGAGCCAGTGACAATGACTCTTGAGGGTTCCTCACGCGTAGCCTTGACAGTAAGCAGAGGAGCAAACCTATTCACCAGTCATTAGCAATCTCCGATAGTCACTCTCCAAACCAAAAGGTAACACAAAAATAAGAAGAGAAAAGAAAAGAAAACTCACTTCTGAATCAAATAAAACACACTCTTCACATTCAAATCCATAACCTTCGAGAACATCTTCTCAGGGTGCGTATCGAACTTCTCACCCCAGGTAGCTCCCGCATTCGCAAAGAGAATATCCACATGGTCCGTAGTCTTCTTCACTTCCTCAACTAGTCTGTCCAGTTCAGACATCTTCGAGTTATCGGCCGCCACTGAGATGGCCTGCGCACCGGGTCTCTTGTTAGGGAGGGCATTGAGGGCCGCAACGGCTTCATCGCAGGCCTGGGCTTTACGAGAGGTAATGTAGACTTTTGAACAGCCAGCTTGGAGCAATCTTTTCTCATACTTTTTGTTAGTGATACATGTACTGTGTATGTGTCTAGCGGGTAGAGAAGATAATGGGGATACGGACCCGCTGGCAGCGTGGAGACCTAGACCCCTGGAGCCGCCGGTTACGACGGCGACTTTGCCCTCAAGGGAGAAGATGGAGCCGAAGTTATCGAGCTGTACTTGGTCGGCGACGGACATTTTGGTGGTTGGATGATATTTTAGGATAGTCTTAGGGGTTATGGATGTGATGGTATAGAATTGAGGAGGAATTGAGAGGGATTTGGCTTGAGGTCATGGTGGAGGTGGATTGGGGTACAGTTCAAGATACCGAGGTCGTTCGGGCCAGCCGTTGGGATTCCCCCGCAAAAACGTCTTTTATGATCTCGGTCGATTATTAATCAGGTCGAGCATAACTAATTATGTTTTGTCTATGTTGAATTAGCCCTAACTCTGAGTAGAGTTGGGGTTATTTTAATGACATGATTGTGGAGTATGGATCTCTCAGTTTCTAGAGCTGGGGTCGTTATATGGAGTTGAAGTCATTTGTCAGGATATTGACGAAAGGTTCTTATATCTTGTTAATTTGAACTCACATAAACTCTTAGACCATAGCTTCTCCAGTCCCTTAGTTTCCGTAACAGTTCACGTCCCCTGCCTTAGATAGATGCAATTCTGAATGATTGTTGCCCTTATACATGTTCGTTTCATTCAGTATTCCCCAGGCTACAGGTCTACCTCCCATATACCTAGTTGTTGCGAGCTCCGACGTGTAGATGAAGGAAGTTACCCAGATCACAATATGGTTCTACCTTCCCAAATCTGGAGGCTCACTTGTCATGACATCTTAGCCCGTGACTCGTGGGAAGTCGGAAATATTTATACCCCATGCTCCCCGCAACTTGAAGAACAATGGTATCAATTAATTGTCCGGGTATTGTACATAGTATGTTTCTGGTGGGGCGATAGTACTTTGCTGGTGCTTGGAGACCGATATGCTGTACAGCACCTGATAAACACGACTCAACTCATGATAGACATAAATATCTACGCATATCGTAGTCAACCTGGTCCTATTTGTACTCCACATCCACCTACGAATCACATAGACGAAAGGAAGAATGTGCTCAATCGTGCGCCAAAGGTCCCCCGAATCCCCTCAAACTCCCTCATAGTCACATCCCGCCCATTTGATTGGCCAGATGAAGGTACCTTGGGGGTCCTCAGCATCCATTCCAGGCTTATATTCTCTCTCGTCATGATCATTGACCTGAATTCCCTTACAACCCCTCTTCTCCCCTCTTTCTTCCTCGTTCTCACAGTCTCATCTTTCCCACCACACTTATACTCTCAAAAAACCTCAAACTAGAATACCAAACCAGACCAACCAAACCACCCAAAATGGCCACCACATTCTCCCTCCCACCCCTTCCCTACGCCTACGATGTAACCCACCCTGTCCCTCCAATCCAAGAAAGAAAGAGCCCAACTAACCAAGCCCCCTAGGCCCTGGAACCCGTCATCTGCAAACAGATCATGGAAATTCACCACCAAAAACACCACCAAACCTACATCACCAACCTCAACGCCTCACTCTCCACCCAATCCTCCGCCCTCGCAGCAAACAACATCCCCCAGCTCATCAACCTCCAGCAAAAGATCAAGTTCAACGGTGGCGGCCACATCAACCACTCCCTTTTCTGGAAGAACCTGGCTCCTTACGGCTCCTCGGAGACGAACATCGACGAGGCCGCTCCCGTCCTGAAGGCTGCCATCGAGGCCCAGTATGGCTCTGTGCAGAAGTTCAAGGAGGCGTTTGGCGCCGTGCTTCTCGGTCTGCAGGGGAGTGGATGGGGTTGGTTGGTGGCTAACGGGCCAGGCGGGAAGTTGGAGATTGTTTCGACGAAAGATCAGGATCCTGTGACGGATAAAGTCCCAGTTTTTGGGGTTGATATGTGGGAACATGCTTATTATTTGCAGGTTGGCTTTTTCTTCCGTTCTTGCGTTTCTTTCGTGTTTCCTTTATCTGGTGGACGTTTCAACTGACTTTGCTTTAGTACTTCAACAACAAGGCCTCTTATGTAGAGGGTATCTGGAAGGTCCTTAACTGGCGCACCGCGGAGGACAGATTCAAGAATGGCGTGGAGGGCTCTGCACTTCTGAAGTTGTAGATCAGTGTCAGTCTGTCGAGGTCTGTCTGCTTAGCAATTTGAATAACATGAATATGAACATGAACATGAACATGAATGTAATCATAAGATCCCAATTCCCTTCCCAAAGAAAATATTAATAAACCAGTCCCATAGCACCATAGACCCAAATACCACCAACACCATAAAACCAAGAAAGACCTCAATCAATCATACCCCACAATACCCATCCCAATCCCCACAGACGACTGTCCCTCCACCATGACCGTAACCTGCCGTCCAACGATCCCCGTCTCCGAAACCCCCAAATCCAATCTCTCCGGCAATTCAAACTCCATCTCAGCCTTTCCCTTCCCACAAGGCTGTAACCGGAACTGATGAAGTGGTGGACTCATACGAGCAGATGTGAGATCTCCATATCGTCTAACAGCCAGGCTTAATATCAGCAAATTATCTCTTATCGAATAAATCCAGCCTAGCATCACTTCTACCCTCCTCAAGATCTGATCCAAGTAACCCAAGACCAAACCAAAAAAAAAAGGGACAGTAACAAGAGAGGGAGAAAAGTAAGAACATACTCAATCCGTAAATCAATCCCCCTACACCCCCTGAAAACATCAAAGGTGTTTGCGTCTTCAATACGAAAGACAGCTTTCGTCCCGGCGTCCATTTCCCGGAAGAATAAGGAATACGGACTCATGGATTTTGTGTTGACGGCGGGGAACATCACGGCGATGCGGTGGCCGGTGCTGGGTCGAGCGATTCCGCACATGGTTATATGAGTATGGGTTTTTTTAGGGTTATTTGTATTTGTCTGTATTGTATGGATGGATGGATTGACAGAGGTGGTTTGTATAGTAGATTGCAATAAATATAGGGTGAAGACACGTTTTATATATTTTCTTATGATTAAGGGGGAATGAGGATAATATGGTGAGTTTTCTTTTCAATTCTACCCCTACATTTGTCTTTGCTCTATTTAAATACTGAATGAAACCCCTTGGACAGTCCCCAAGGTGTAGCCGTTGGACGTCCCAAAGGTGCTCAAATCTGCGCAAATCCGCGACGGATAATGTGGGGCGCCTTAGCTGGCCGATCAGAACCACTCTGTTAATCCGGGTGTGATCTGGTTTTCGGGTTCTGGTTGATTGTTGGAGTGGGTTTGAGGGAATTGTTTTGTTGTATTTATTGTCTTTTATTTTATTGTATGGTTGGAATTGTTTGAAAGAAAGAGTGGGTGTTTCCAGGAGTAGTATGATATATTCTGTTTGCCTTGGGTGTCTAAAGGAGATAACGATACATACATTAGTACAATGAGCCCTAAGTCGATCAATAGAAATAAAGATATTTGTTACATAGACTAAAAAAGGACTCATTCTAAGTACATGTACTTATATTATTAATTTTTTTTTTTTGCCTATGGAACCTAAGAGTACCTATGATATTCGCGGTTAAGTCTGAGCCACTCCCTTAGGAATTATCTTCCTCTGCTATTTTAGGGGGGAGTCGCTGGGCAGTGATTGTTGAATCAGTGATGCATTCCTTGCCTAAGATCTTGTAGCCTATCCATCGACGGTGTAGCATCTAGGCACGTTGAAAGGGGGACAATGTAATGGAGATTAATTGGCACGGAGTACGAAATTATGTATTGGACATATTGTAAAGGATATAAGACATAAAGCTCAATGATTATTTATATCAATACCGGATTGTAGACTGCTATGTACAACTACGCCGCCACCCTAACAGGATGAGCCTCCGTGTTGTAGACAAACTTGTTGCCATTGCCGCGCTGGACTTGCCATTCGTTCTCTGTTTCCGTTAGATTAGTGTCTTTTTTTACTCTGTCCATGATTAAGACTTACCAGGAGCAAAGGTCAGGTACACGTATTTCAACACCTCGGCGAAGAGGAAGCTCTCCTGGTTATCGTACCGGCCTCCACCGTTGGCAGCGTTGACGTTGGTCAGACCCGCAAACCCTGAGCTGGTGCGGCAGTACTTGTTAATATTGACAAATGCGTTCCACACCCACTCACGGTACTAGTTTTCTGTTAGTGCAAGCTCACAAAAAGGTTACGGGCTCTGAAGGCACATACAATTTCCTGGCCAGTAATACGCCAGGCGTAGTAGAAACTCTCGATCACCTCCGGACGAAGAATATATGCGCCACTGCTAACATAGAAGCCCGCACGCTCGTACAGCTCCTTCTGGTCTGATGGTACTTTCTTGGGATCCCATCCGAAACTTTCGGGTCCAATTCCAGTCAGGGTTTGGTTATAAGTCTCGTGGCATCCCTTCACCAGGTCCAGGCCAAATTGGATAAAATCGTCACGATCCAGGACGGTTCCACCAAGCAAGAAACTGCCGCCGTCAAAGCAAGTAAGATGCTGGGAGCTCAAAGTATATTGGCCATCGTTGTATGACGATAGGAAAGTCAGGTCCGGGCGAGTTGACGGGTGAGACGCCAAATGTTCGATGCTGGATTCTGCCGCTTTCACCCAGCGATCTCCGTAAGTGCTGAACCTTTCAGGATCATACACGTACATCTTGATAAGGTATTCGTAGAACGAGTCGTCACCTCCATTCCAGCTCACCATTCCATCGGCGAACGCTCCGTTTGAGATGTTGATATGGCTTCCGACCAGTCCCTCAAACGGCTCTGCACTCTTTGGTGAAGGGCTGAGCAGATAATCCTCTGCCTTCTGGCTGAGTTTAGCATACTCCGTATCACCAGTCAGGTCTGAAAGCCGGGTCCATTCGAGAACTAAGGTACCCGTCACGGCCAGCCCATTGGTTGTTGCACCATCATTTCCGTGCGAAGTAATGTTGATATTGTTGTAGGGAATACCACTGGGAGTGTCAAAAGCGAACTTGAGTACGTCCGCTAGGTTTTTCGACTGAGTCAAAAGTTTCTCAACTTTTGCAGGGTCCTTGACAAGGTTCGAGGCCGGTCCCTTCAACAGGTCATAGCCAGACAGCATACCACCCAGGTATCGGATCGTTGTTTCAAACAGGCTCACTTGATCATCAGTCTTAGAGTAGTCAATCCCGGCAACATGATCCAAAATCTGGTTGACGATGGTGTCATTGCCCATAATGACGGCTGTGGATAGGGCGTCCACGGCGGACGCACCCCAGCCATTCCGCGAATCACCGGCACCGTTCGAGATAGGGTGCAGCTCATCATGTGGGTAAGCATACTGCATGTAACCATCCCAAGCATGTACGAAAGCTTCCTTCACGGCATTTGCACGGGACTCGCTGGAGTTACCCCGTGCAGCGCGCTGTTCAAACTTGAGCTGGGGATAGGCTAGAGAAGGAGTGACAAGGCTCAAAGCCGTGAGAGGCAATGAGAGCGATGAAAAATGCATTATGGAGGTCGTAAATCTGCAATGAAACTGGAGGTAGGGAGTGTCGGTTATTAAGAATTATCTCCGTATAAATAAAAGGAATGACAGCCTAATCAGGTAGGCGGATGTTACTAGAGATATATACTGTAGGTATGGTCGAATTGACAAAAGAGTGGAATCACTTCGACATGGAAACGGATGTAAAAGAGTGACAAGGAGGTGTGTTGCGAGAAAGAGAAGAGGAAAGGAGAGCAAGGGAGTTCATGTGTCGCGTGGAGAAGCGAATGATCATATTTTTAAAATTACAGATTGGCATGGAGAATCAGCCGACCCTTTTGGGTAAGTCATGGGTGCGATCATCCCTCATTTGCCGAAACTACTACTTTTGGTCGTGAAATCAACAAGGATAAAGTTCCAGACTATGTTCGGTTACAGGCACCATCGCCTATTCGGGCGAACTAAGCCATATCGATCCAGCCCCACGCCGATCCGGGGTCCATGATTGGATCGATCGCGTGGATGCTATGCAGGGGAAAAGACTCCAGCTATGGCCGAAAGAATGTGGATACTCAGGAGTTATTGCTACTGAACATAATGGGATGGTTAAGTATATGTAGTACTTCATCGAAGGCTACTCTGTGTATAAGTTGATCGACTTATATATTGATCATGACAGCTTTGTTCTTTTCATGAGGTATCATCTGTTCGAGTCACGCTGTTACGACGCCAGGTGACTCGTACCTGAGGAATCAGGCAGCACATAATTTATGCAGCCCAGACGAGGCTAAGAATTTGACTGCGGTTGAACTTAAACTGCGGGGTCACTCGACAATCAATATTGAAATGGCTCCTTTCAGGTCACATCGACGCGGAATATATGTGACATGAATATATTACTGTGTATGTACTAGTACGTCCATGGTATGACCCTAGTGGATATATCCGAGTGTCTGTGGAGATGAGATCCACTCGGTATATAAGTAACTTCATCCTCAGGTAAACTTCTCCGTATAACATTTTTTTTTTTCAACACCTGTGAGTTGCTAATGATACGATCAGCTATTTAATAATATACTAAGATTTCGAAAAGCAATGTATCACGGGACTTCAATATGGTCTCTGGTCATGTTCGAGCAAGATCTAGCAATTTATCATCTGAATGACGGGCGTGACACACACACACACACACTCGACGGTCGCGCGACTAGTTGACTAGTGTGGAAAGGTCTCCATACTTATTCTTCCTACACTCCAAGAACCCCGATGAGGTCAATGCGCCCACCAAAGGATGCACAGAATTCAAGATGATATTTGATGAGTCTGGTATCTCATATATGGAGTCGGTTCGTATTATGGCTCTGCCGAAAATCAGATAAAAGAAACAGATCCCCGAAATGGCTGATGGGCGCTTGAGAATATCTGATCCAACTCGCATCGCTTGAGAGGTTGGCCCTTTTGGTGATATAAGCAGAAGATAAGCGAAAGAAAGGCTAAGGATTATACTTCAACCAGCCCAAATGCTAGCCAAGACTAACTTTAGGATTATTCTTCCTACAAAGTATACTCCGTTGTAATGTTCTGGTGTTGACGTCCATACGAGGAAGGCCCTTGGGTGAGAAATAATATGACTGAGGAATAATTCTCTGTCCAAATCAGGTGCATATCGCCGTATCTGTGGAACAGGTACCGATAGGTTAAGGATATAGGTACTGTCTACTATACATATTGTCCGCCAACTTTACTAACGGCGTCCTATTGGTTGTCATGCAAGCACGAGATCAGTAAGCACGGAATTACATGGCAGCTACCTCAGAGTTGTGAGGTGCAAGGCTAAAGGTTTCATCGAATCCATGCAGCCTTGAGAGACGCCCTCTTTGTCTCTCCTTCCTAGCTCTGACCTAAGTCCTTCACATCTGCATTCGACTCACCTACGATGTCGTGGCATCCAGTGTCGACAAATCGCTATGAGCGCGCATTCGATTCCCTGGAGAAGTTCTATTGGGGCATTGCAGAGGCTGGTGCCCCATTGCAGAAGCAACATCATTTGGTCTCGTGTTCCCTTAAACTCCAACATCTAGCCCCTGTTAAGGAAGTGCGGCAGGCATGGAAAGCCTTGTGATGGCAGTATCCTCAGATTGCGGCCGTAGCAGATGAAACCGGTACACGGCTGACCTACACCGTGCCATCGCCGGAAGAACTCGAAGCATGGGTGTATGATACTTTCCTGATAGTGGAGGAGAGTTCCGCTACACACCTGTACCAGACACTGCCACCATCTTCACTGTTCTGTCTGTACTACCTCCCGAGACCCCGCGAGCTGCTTTTCCGCACCCCGCACTGGCGCATCGATGGCATCGGGTTGATGTACCTGCAGACCGCCTTTCTTCGCATTCTGGCCGACGGCCCGGTCCAGACGCAGCTGGATGGCTCGGAAGCCGCCCGTCTAGCACCATCCTTAGACGAGGCTGCCTTGGTGCCGCCAGAGGCCACTCCAACCATGTCCGAGGCGGCGGATGCCGAGTTGGAGGTGCTTCTGAAGGGCCTGCCTGGGGTACCGATTGCCACGCAGCCGAGGATCCTCCTCGCGTCAGCGGCAGGTACACGCGGTTCAATGTCATCGATCTTCGCAAGTACCTGTCTACCCCGTATAACGGGCCTGACGCAGCAGTCACCGTCTACCACACAGGCATCCCATTCAGCGTGGATCTGGCCGCCAGCCATGACTTTGCCTCTCTTGCAGTGGCGTTCGCCCAGGGATACAAGCGGGATCTGAGCCGCGATGAACCCCGGAACATCTTTACCTTCCTAGCGGAGTATGTGCGCAAGATCCTAGGGTTGCTGGGAGCAGCTTCACCCGACCCATTACAGGCGCCGGCGCATCCTGAGCTGAGCTCGGTCGGAGTTGTCAACGATTATCTCCCGGCCGAGTACGAGGGCATCGCGAGGAAGCTTGAGGTTCAGGACTGGTGGATCGCGGTGGAATGTATCAATCGCCTCCTACTTACTAATGTGTGGACTTGAAATGGCCAGATGCAACTTGCGGTCAACTGGAACAAGTCGTTCTATGAGGAGGAGTTTGTGGCGACATTCTTGGACAGCTGGATGCTATCTTCTATATCAGTATTCTAGGTTTAGGCTCTTTTCGGGGAGTCGTATAGTACATTTGCCCTTGGTAGATGGCTGGAGGTATTTAAAAATGCTTTTAGAGGGATTAGAGTGGCTCAGGTGGCATACTAATATTGCGGCAGAATGAAACCGACAGAAGTTGACGGTCATGGTTGGGGATGGGTTCAACATAGGGCAAGGTGAAAGGGAAAGAGAGAGTGGATAAATTTCAAACATGACTAGTATTCCACTAGATAGTGATGTACAGTCGTGGAAAATCCTCTAGAATGATTTTAGATTATGTTTCTAGGGCTATATATGTCAATGGAAGACTTGAGGCTTTCAGAGTATTTAGGGTTCTACGGTAGATATTTTAAAGTTAGGGTGGTTTTTCCCATTCCCTTGGGTTGTGTAAGATATACTTTATAGACTCGATGTAGAATGTTACAAAGAATGGATTCAATGAGGACTTGTTATGAATTTTTCTTTGTTTGTATGGGTTGGAGTATCTCTACTATACTATACTATACTATACTATACTACATACGATTACTTTATTACTATAAAATCTCGGCAGTTGTGTTGGGCTTAGGGTCCATCTAAAAAAGGGTCCCCGCCAATCAGGCCAAACTTTTTAGGTAAAACACCTCTCCGAGGTTCAACTATGGATTCATCGAGACAACATAGTTCGGGGAGATCTTCTGTTGGTGTCACTGATAAGGTAGAGGGAGTAAACGAATACAGTTCTCTTAATTCAGTATTGTTTGACTCGAATATACACCCAGTACACCCATTTCTAATTCTTTGTTCCTGAATTTCCAGGCCCCGACCCCCGATGGCCTCCGAACTGTCCGATTGCGGGGCCCGAAAGGAATTTCTTTTTCCATGGCGATGATTCATCCCGCAATCGTCTAGACATACTCTCTCTCTCTCTCTCTCTCTCCATTACTTCTTCCCCCAAGGCACCGGGGCTTTTTGAAATCCTTCTTTCTTCTTCAATTCCTTCATAGTTCTATACTCAATCAGTCAATCAACTCTCTTGACCTGTCCTGTTCCCCAACACCTCCCTCCCCTCCTGCCCCTCCCTTCGCCCCTCATTGAGTCACCACCATGGCGACTCCATTCCTCGTCTCCTTCGACCCTTCGGCCAATGGCCTCTCACTCAAACAGATTGCCTACTTCGGCCGTGTTCTGATCAAGGCCTCCAGCGTCGCTCAAGCCGAAGGATTCCTGCGTCAGAACTTCCGTCTTCTGGACGTCTACGTCGATGCCACCGCGATTTCCACCACCGGTGACCTCGTCGATATCCTCAATGCCGGTGCCGCGAAGATTTTTATTACCCTCGACCAATTGACCGCTCTCTCCCAAGAACAGTCCGTTCCCTCATCACGGGTCGTCGTCTATACTTCCTCCGACAGCCAGGTGGACTCCTTCCAGAAGTGGGTGGCTGAGGATTCCGAGCGTAAGGATGCCGGTCTCTCTACCGATTCGTCCGCCGTGAAGGCCTTGGTTGACAAATTGGGCCTGAACCCCGAAGCCCAGAGCCTTTACCGGACGTACTCCGGCGCTGTCACCGAGGAGACCTTGAAGGATACCTTGATCCAGGGTGCGGTGAGCATTGTGCCTGCGCAAGCCTTGACCCTTGATCGCAACCAGGCCGACGGCAAGATTGCTGCTGCTTCTTTAATCGCAGCTCGCGCAGTCGCTGATCAGAGTAACGGCCTCTACGCCACCACGGTCACCGACGAGAGAGGAACTTGCTTGGGCCTCGTGTGGAGCAGCGACGAAAGTATTTCTGAAGCGCTTCGCACGGGTACCGGTGTTTACCAGAGCCGTAAACGGGGCCTGTGGTACAAGGGTCAGTCGAGTGGCGATGTGCAGGAACTCATCAGAGTTGGCTTCGATTGCGACAGCGATTGCTTAGTGTTCGTTGTCAACCAGATCGGTCGAGGCTTCTGTCACCTTGGTACGGCCAGCTGCTTCGGTCCATACAACGGTCTTTCGCGTTTGCAGAAGACCCTGCAGGCCCGCAAAGCCGATGCCCCCGAAGGTTCCTACACTGCTAGGCTCTTCAACGAGCCGAAGCTCACCCAGGCTAAGATCATGGAAGAAGCCGACGAGCTATGCCGCGCAAACACCAAGGAAGAGATTGCCTTTGAGGCTGCCGATCTCCTCTATTTCGCTCTGACCCGCTGTGTCGCAGCTGGTGTCAGCCTGGAAGAGGTCGAGCGGAACCTGGACCTCAAGAGCCTGAAGGTGAAGAGAAGAAAGGGCGACGCCAAGGGCCCTTGGGCAGAGAAGGCCGGTCTGGCAGCTCCTGCCTCTGCCCCCGCTCCTGCCCCCGCGGCCGTGGAGAAGAGCCAGCCCCCGGCCAAGGAGGACAGCCGCATCGAGATGACTCGTGTCATCACCGCTTCGACCCCGGTGGAGGATGTGAAGGCTTACCTGAAGCGTCCTTCGCAGAAATCCAACGATGCGATCATTGGCCTTGTCCGTCCGATCATCCAGGATGTCCGCGAGAACGGCGACGCCGGTGTTCTCAAGTATACCCACAAATTCGAGAAGGCTACTTCCCTCACCTCTCCCGTCATCAACGCCCCATTCGCACCAGAGTTGATGCAGGTGTCGCCTGAAACCAAGGAAGCGATTGATGTCAGTATTGCCAACATCGCCAAGTTCCACAGTGCGCAGAAGGGTAGCAACGATGGCCTCAAGGTCGAGACGATGCCTGGCGTCGTTTGCTCCCGCTTTTCACGAGCCATTGAACGTGTTGGTCTGTACATTCCCGGTGGAACCGCTGTGCTGCCTTCGACCGCCATGATGTTGGGTGTCCCTGCCATGGTTGCTGGCTGCAAGAAGATCGTCCTCGCTTCGCCCCCTCGTGCCGACGGCAGTGTCACGCCTGAGATTGTCTACGTTGCTCACAAGGTCGGAGCGGAGAGTATTGTGCTTGCCGGTGGTGCCCAGGCGGTTGCTGCCATGGCGTACGGTACGGAGAGCGTCAGCAAGGTTGACAAGATCTTGGGTCCCGGTAACCAGTTCGTGACCGCCGCTAAGATGCTGGTCGCCAACGATACCTCTGCGGGCGTCAGCATTGATATGCCAGCCGGCCCTAGTGAAGTCCTGGTGATTGCAGACAAGCAGGCCAACCCAGCCTTTGTTGCCTCGGATCTGCTGAGCCAGGCTGAACACGGTGTCGACTCCCAAGTCATTCTGATTGCCATTGACCTGAACGAGCAGGAGCTGCAGGCCATCGAAGATGAGGTGGACAAGCAGGCCAGAGCACTCCCCCGAATGGACATTGTCAAGGGATCTCTGGAGCACTCGGTCACCTTTGTGGTGCGTGACCTTGCCGAGGCGATGGCTCTCAGCAACGAGTATGCTCCAGAGCATCTGATCCTGCAAATTGAAAACGCAGAGGCCGCCGTTGAACAGGTGCAGAACGCCGGAAGTGTCTTCATTGGCCAGTGGACTCCTGAAAGTGTTGGCGATTACTCGGCCGGTGTGAACCACTCTTTGCGTAAGTTCCGATTATTTCTCTCCCAATCATGTACGAATAGCTAACTCGGATCCAGCAACCTACGGATATGCCAAGCAATACTCTGGCGTGAACCTGGGATCGTTCCTCAAGCACATCACCAGTTCCAACCTGACGGCTGACGGTTTGTTGGGTCTGTCGCGCACTGTTGAGCAGTTGGCGGCTGTGGAAGGCTTGGATGCACACAAGCGGGCTGTGAGCATCCGGGTGGCCCACATGAAGGGACAACAATAGATTCACAGGCCTGGGATATGCGGTGTTTCTTTTCAGCTTTTCACGACCTCGACGGTTATGGTAATTTGACCTGTTTTACGAATGCTTCTCAGCTGTGGTTTCCCAAAATTGAGCAACTTTAATTGATGGAAGAATATCAAATAGCAATGGTATCCTGCAGTAAATCTCTATACAAGTACACGACCCATGTAGAATACTTTTCCCAAGCCATACACCCAGAAACAGCCCAAATGCAAACACAAGAAGAAAAGAAAAGGGAATGTCGAAGGAAATCATCAGTCGTATGGTGAGAATGATATCAAATCACTTCTTCCTCTCGCGGATCTTCCACTTGATCCCATTTTTGTTCGTGCCTCCGACAGTGTTGTCCATCCTTCCACGCTGCCAATCCAACTGGCGCTCCGCAGCGGTGATATCGTTGTACTGCTTCTGAAGCGCAGCCAGCTTGTTCTGCCTCGCCAAAGCAGCACGCTGCTTGAGTTTCCGCGCGCGACGAGCCTCCTGAAGAGCCAGACGATCCGCCTCAAGCTCTCTCGCCGTCTTTTTCCGCTCGAGATCCTCAAACGACTCATCCCCACCACTACCCTCTGCCTGAACCCGCTTCATCTTCAAATCCGTCTGCTCCTGCTTATCATCAACAAAGACCATCTTCTTCGGCCCAGCCTCCTCCTCGTCGGACTCCTCATCAAAATCAAAATCAAACCCATCCTCATCCTCATCCCTCACCGGAGCCTTCTTCTTGTTCTTCGGCCTCTTCCCCACCAAACTCTGCACCATCCCATCCTGCAACTGAATCTCCTGCTCCAGCTTGTTCATCTGCCGCCGAATCCGCTCCCCAGTCGTCCGCAAGTATCCCGCATCCTGCGTCTTCAGCAACTTAATCGCATCGTGACTGAGTCCCGCCGCCGACTCGCGCGCCGCCGTCCCGTGCTTGCCTGCCTTCTGCGTGTGCGAAGACATCATCCCGAAGGCGAATTCATCGGGATTACGGTCGCGGACTTTTTCTTCCAGACGCTTGAGCTTAGCTTTCTTCTGGTTGTAGTCTTTTGCTCGGAGAGAGTAGTCCTATATTTGTTTTTTTCCATTTAGTTATTTTCTAGTTCTGGGTTGAAGGAGGTCGAACTGGAGGAGATGCTGCTATGTACCTTGTGCTTTTCGAGGATACCCCATTTTTCACGGCCTCCGACCTGACCTCGCTCCTTGTGATTCCGTCTTTGGACGGCATTGCGCATGGACGACATTTTGGGTGATGGTGATGGTGGTGGTGGGTTTTATTAACTATTATTTTTTGTTTTTTTTTCGCTTCTGGTTCGTCCGATGATAAATCCCGTATATGAATCAGAGTATAAAATCCACAGAAGAAAAAAAAAGAAGAAAGATAGAGAGGGAGGGTTGTTGTTAAGAACCTCCGAAACACTGTCCAGAAAAAAAAGGGAAGAATAGGTTTGCAGTTTAAAAAAAGTTCTCCGACTCGGCCTAAGCGGAGAAGAAGAACTTCACTTGAACTTGAACACTTAAACTCTACCTAAGCTTGGTGTGGAACCAACTCAACCCAACGCAACTCCCACCCTCACTCTCACTCTCACACGCGCCACGATATCCTGTCGAATCCTATTTTTCACAATCTGGAGTAATTGTACTCCTGGGATCGAATTGAAACAATTCGAAATTGGCCAACACCAACAATTAACTCTTACTTCCTAACAACCCGGGACCTGTCGAACGCAGATCACCTCTCTCTCTCTCTCTCTCTCTCTCTGTCGCGCGTGTTCCTCCGAGAGGAACAACACCCTCAAGGCCTTGTTTTATTCTACCAGTATATTTCGCATATTAGATCAATCGGTATAGAACGACCTCGCATAGCAAAGTACATGCAATAAACAACCATGGCGACAACATCCACATCAACACCGTCAACAAAATATAACCTCCGCAATCCCCTCCCCCTCTCCGCAACCCAAGAACAAGAAGTCAAGAAGATCTTTCACAAACGGGTACGAGCGCATTGCGCGGAGGAAATTAAAGGTATTTCTTTATTTACTACCTACCTACCTACCTACCTATCTATCTATCTATCTATCTAGTTATACTTTGTCTTCTCTTCCTTGATGCTAATGATATTGTGGATAAAAAATAGCATTCGCTCAATGCGCGGTCAATCGCACAATAACTGCTACATGGGTGTGTCGGAATCAGCGACTGACTATGAATTCGTGTATGCTTGCGCATGCGAAGCCGGAGGAGGAGGACCGGGCGAGAGAGGAGTGGTTTGCGACGCATGAGGAACGGCGGAGGGAGAAGGAGGAGGAGCTTAAGAAGGTGGAGCAGAGGAGGGAGGAGATTATTCGTATGATGAGGGCGGATGAGGCCAAGTCGAAGGGAAGCTGATTTTCTCTTTTTTTTTTGGTCTTTTTCTCGTGGTTCTTCTTACTTGGGAGTGTGGGTGAATGAGCGAGTGAGTGAGTGGTTTGGGGATGTCGACTTGTACTATTCCTTGTTCATGTGTATGTGTGTTTTTGGGTGTGAATTGGGCGTTTCATGTTTCTTTTTTTTTTTTTTTTTTTTTTTTTTTTTTTTTTTTTTTTTGCCAGTCTCTGTTGCATTAGGATTGCCAAGTCGTATATCATTATGTACAGTAGATCAAGTCTGTTGATATCCTACAGACTCAATGAAAACAAATCTCCTCCATCAGATCGGTTGGCTGGCTGATAGTATAGACAGTATATAAGTTCACCAAGCGCCGAACTCCCAATCGCCAGTCCATCCATATAATTTTCTTTTTTTCGAAAGAGAGCAAGAAGAGGGCGAAACAACAGATTTAGACATCCGTCATGTGTTTGTCTCCATCATCATCTCCATCCCCCATAACCGCATCCTCTCCGAAAATATCCTCCATCTTCCCATCCTCATCATCCTCACCTCCATCTCCCTCCTCCTCACCACCCGCACCAGCAGGATTACTCTCCTTCAGCTCCTCCTCCTCCGCCGCCTCCTCCTCCGCCTCTACCTCTTCCTCCCCTTCACTCTCCCACTCATCCTTCATGTTCCACCCAACACCCGTCAAACAAAACCTCTCCGGCGGCAATCTCATCCCCCCCATAAGAACACTCTGATTCGCCGCCGGCTTCGCCTGACCCTGATCATACCCCCTCGTAGCACCCGGCAGGGCAACGCGATTCCTCTCCGCCGCAACATCCATCAGAAACTCTTTCGGCAACCCCGTCTGAAACTGATAATGCAGCCGCGAGGCAATACTAAGCCGCAACGCCGGCAAGCTGACGGTATTCACCTCCGGCGGACCCCTCGACGAGCCGGCCTGCTCGCCTGCAGCGCCGGCGTAGCCCTCCGTCGCGAGATGGACCGCGTCCTGTAGGACGCCGGAGGTGTAGCGGTAGGCGAAGTCGAGGAGCTGAAGGGGCACTCGTTCCTGGTACGCAGTGACGCCTAGGGAGGAGAGGAGCATGTGGATGAGACGGACATCTCGGGGGCGACGGGACTTGCCGCTGTCTTTTAGGGAGGTGGAAGGGACTTGTGTGGGTTGTGCGACTGGTGCGGCGGTGATGGATCCGGTTGCGGGCTGTTGTTGGGAGGAGGCATTGGTGGTGGTGTTGGAGGGTTCGGCGGGGGGTGTGAGGGGTTGGGTTGATGGGGCGGCGGTTTGCGATTGGTTTGGGGATGCCATTGTCTTGTGTGTTTCAGGTGGTTATGAGAGCCAGGTTGGATGTGAGCGAAGGTTGCTTGCTTAGCTGTCTGCGGTGGAATTTAGTGATCGTGGACGCCGTCACTTATGGCCAAGTCGGCATGGCCACTATACGTCGGTACTGTGGTGGGATATTATGAAGGTATTATTATTCTATGTTCTTCTCGAGAAAAGACTGAATAGAAGGTAAAGTGGTGTTGCGGTCAGCGAGTGAGCTGGTGGTGAAGACGCGAAGAACATTGAAGGTCAATCATCCCGATCGGCGCTAGCCCGCTTCTGGTAAGTCAGTGCTAACCTACTGATTTCCTTATAAACCCTCTCTCAATGCAGAGCTTCTCTAGTTTCTCTACTCTATTATTCATTTGACACTTTAATTCACACAAGACAAAATTATGTATTTATGTATATATATATATAGTCTAAGAGTCTATCTCCGGTAGCAACCATGCAGCGGCCATGGAAAACCGCAGGCTTTTCCTGCTGCTTGTATATCACACATGAAACCTGGAAACGCTCAGCATATGAAATGAATCAGGAAAATCACCCATGCAGCCTGTTAAAACGCCAACTATGCAGTAAGAAAGAAGTAACACCACACAATGCAAGGGCCAATCTCAGTTGCCAGAAAGGCATATAAAAAGTATAGTCAACGCCGGGAAGGGTATCTATGAGCGTTGAAAGCCGCGTATAGTTATTACACTTGTTGTACGGAGGCCTGGCCATTCTCAGCGTTTAGGAGAGGGACTAGCACCAGTAGTCGCAAAGCGACTTGGTTTTGGAGTCACGTTGGGCCCGTCGTCCGCGCCTTCGTCGTCCGCCTCATCATCTTCTAGGTGACTCTGGCTATCGGCGGGATCCAGTGAGGCCTGTGAGATATAGCTGTTACCAAGGTCTTCCTCGGCATCCTCATCAACCTCACTGCCTTCTTCATCACTCAGCTCCGCATCATAATCGTCTTCGTCTTCGTCATCTTCGTCCTCTTCCTCTTCGTCATCCTCACTATCTGAGCTTGAGAAATCGGCTAGCTCTGGTGGAGGTTCACGCCAGTAAGTAAAATCAGTGTACTCTTCACCCCCAGCCTGAACAAGTAGACTGACGGGCGGGAAGAAATGGTCCAGGAGCTCCTGCATAGTAACATAGCTGCTCTTATACTTGTTCAGACTGAGAAGATCTAGAGAAACCTCGGCATTCGAGTTGATTGTGAAGATCCTGGTAGACGGGATATTGACAGATCGGTAACTCAAAGCGTCGGTCAATCGATTGCCGAATCCAGCATAGAAGGGGTTCTCTTTTCCATTGAAGAGGTTCAGAATGTCCCGAAGACATGCCATCTTAAACACTTCTGGTTTCCTCAGGTAAATTTCTCGCCTGAGGGCTGCAATCATCCGGTCCGGGCTCGTGATAACGGGCCCTTTGGGCAGTCTGTATCCGTCCTGGTTAACACCGTAGATGTATGCGCGGGTAGTATCTGCCTGGCCAACAGATCGGCTAGTAAGGTACATAATATTGTAGCCGTTGTTGACAATATCTGTGTATAGCTTGGCTACTCCAGCGTGTGTCCAATCGCGGCCAATCATATTCAAAACATGGCCCAAAGCGTCGGATCTACCAGGTATATTAGCCAAAGATGGGCGAGAATAGTCAGTCTGCCTCGTGGTAACTCACTTCGTAATGGTACCATCAATATCTGATATGACAATCGGTGTGTTTCCGTTCCACAGATACATGGTCGCCGTACAAGTGGCTCTGTTGACGCTGAATGACATGTCATTGGCGCCTGGCTTCAAGTTCAAAGCCTTAAGCTGGTCGCTTGTCAGGCGTAAAGTCTTCGCGTAGTTGCGAGTTGTTTCTCCAGGTGTCGGTGACTGCGGAGGGGTAGGGATACCCGGCTGAATATCAGATTGGGTCCGATGGTGACGGGTCTGTATGGGCGAGTCACGAACAGACTTATCGCCGTCACTATGATACCCGGGGTCGGAAATAGCATTGTCACTCATTGCAGAGCCAGGCCGCATTGAGCTAAACGCGGCCTGACGGTTAGCGGCTTCCTTTGCTTCCTCACTGCTATAGATCCACAGGTTTCCGTGCTCGTCAGCCCCTATAAGGGCACCAATGTCGTAACACCCTTCCAGCTCCTCGGATAGAATCTTACGCGCAATGACCTCAGCACGGAGGGCATCCTCCTCGTTGCTTTTGTAGCCAGTCATGTCAAGCATAAGATCGCCCGTCTCGGTCACATGCGAACGGATATTTGATCCAGAGAGCTTCTTTGACAGCGCTGTTGCACGCGAAACAGCCTCTTCCAGAGACAAGGGGGGAGGGCTTCGAGAACGGGCCAGATCAGAACCATCGGTCGACCCTGCTGCGTGCGACCCATAAGCATGGTCTGCCACACTCGGGTGCGTTTGGCTCAGCAGAACGTCATCTGAAACCGCACGGTCCAGTTTCCCCGGCTCCGGGTCATCCCCAAACGAGCCCTGACGAGACCTACTCGTACTGGAGTCACCTGGCGACCCTGACAAAGGTGTCATTGTTCCTATATCCCAAAAAACGTTAGCTCGAACCCATCATGGGAGTAGCATACTTTGGCGCACCTAAATCACTGGATGCCCGCATGCTTCTTGACAGTATGGGAAGACTTTTTGGCTCATTGGCATTTCCATTGGAAGACGATCGATCTAGATCCAGATAGTCGGGTTCTTGGAGAGAGCCCGGGAGATTTTCTTCGCTACGCGTTCTCGGGCTGCCCGTGGGCGACACTAATGGCGAGGTCTGTAAGGAAGCGGGGATTTCATCTGACGTCTCAAACACAAAAAAAGCCTCCCCGCCCTCCCCTAGCTTCATAGAGTAATTTTGCTTGATCCCATTGACTTTAAACTCCACCTTCAGAAAGCGCCGTCAGATGAGGACCCGTTGATCCGTGATGGACGTATCATACCTTCTTTTCATAAGGACGGAGCAACGAGAACTTGCCAAAGCGAACGTGAAAAGGAGAACACGCGAGCGTGCCTAGATCCGACCGTTTAGCGATAATGGGATTAATCAAATGGCGCGCAAGTAAACGAACCATCTTCTTGTTCTATGACGATCACATCAATGGCCCCGCTCAAGGTGGCTGGATTGATAGAATTCCACGTCTTGGAGACGGAGCCGCTGATACTGCGCACGTACTGCATCCTGCAACGTTGGATGGGGAAGACCCCTCGATAATTTCAACGATCCGTGAAGAAAAAGTGAACGATCGAGTAAAACGCGGAAACAAAAAAAAAAGGAATGCAAAAACAGTGATTGAGGGGATGGTAGAAGGAATCGGATGGTCGCAGGAATTGCCGCCTACATACGGCCCATGTGACAAAGCCCCAGAGGCATGAACGAATGTAACCGCTGTATAGAATGACAGTTGCTAAAGCAAACCAAATATGAAACAGTACCCCTCATAAGTGAAGCGAACGCAATGTGGCAGTCGGAGAGAGGGACAAGTCAGTCAATTAGTAAAAAAATTGGAGCCAGGTTGTGAAAGATCTAGATGTTGGCTGTTGGGAGTCCCTCAACGGCCCAACGAGCAAGCCAAGGTCACGGGCTTCTTGCCTTTACAGTTCCTCGGCATGAGCCGGACGAGGGTGGCGCTAACCCGCATCCAGCAGGCATTACTGGATGGGGTTACTGTCATGATCGGCTTAGTCAGGGTCTGCAGGTGACTTAAGATTTCCACGTCCGAGTGGATCACATGACTGTGCCCCACATGACTGCTTCCGCGGATACTCTGTTGGAGATGCACCTTTAGTTGCCGACCGTATTTGACTACTGCCCCGAAAAAAAGTGGATTTCGAAGAGGCTGGCTTCTCTCGCCAATCTGTCTGTTTCCCCTCTTCTGTCATACCCGTCTCCATGGGTATCCGACGCTGGGATGTATGAGCCACTGCATCTCTCTTTTGACGCCTACCCTAGCGTGGTCCCTCGAGTAAGGGTACGAGGCGTCATGGCTCTCTTCCTAGCGGTCACCATTCTTTGGGCCTTGATTTGGTACGTTCCTTCAGCTTCGATATCCGACACCGTTCCCCATCTAATGGCACTGGGCAAAGGTTATTGTATCGCGCATGGCAAGTCTGTCAGACCCCGAATGATGTCTTAGTGGAAAAACTCGGATTGGACATCCCTCCGCCACCAGAGGTTACACTAGAGCAGATTTCCCCCCGTGAGATTCGCATTGCTTGGAAACAACCTGAGTTTCACAACTCTATCCATAAGCACATCATTCAGGTGAATGGCTCAAAAGGTAAATAATTATCTTTCACCTGCTCTTGGCGCCGTCAGAATTTCAGTAAGGGCTGACGGTCATTCTTAGTGGGCGAATCAAAACGAGCGGAAACCGCGGTGGAAATCTTAAATCTAGCACCAGGCAACATATATCATATCTGCGTTCTTTCCGTCAGTGCAGCCAACTTCCAGACGCCCAGTGCTATTATCCATGTACGGACGCAATCTCTTCCTTTGTCCCAAGCTCAGCAAAATGCGCCTGTTGGGGGTCCCACTATTCGGGCGTCCGTCCCACGATCGACTGCCGGTCTCGCAGCTCCCTCGGCTCCCGTCATGTCTCGCGAGCACAGTGGAGGGCAACTTCCGACGAAACGATCTTCAGCTGGTCGAAAGCAATCTCCTGCCGCTAGCGGGCCGGAATCCTCTCATGGCAACATAGAAGACTTGCAGAAGAGTACAACAAATGGGGATCGTGACGAAACGCTCGAGAAACTCGCCGATAGGTTAAAGTCATTGCAGCAGGAAAACGAGAATGTTGAGAAGCAAACCGCCGATGAAGAAGAAGAGCACATCGCGCTCTTGAAGGAGTTGGAGAAGCAGCGTGATGACTTGAGGAAGCGAGTAAAGGAAAAGGATGAAGCTAGCGGCGATCTAAAGAAACACGTTTACAAGTTGGAAAGCGTCAATCGTACGGTGCAAAGCGAGAAAGCGAAGCGTGAGAGGCTTCTGCAACAGAAGGAATCCGAGCGCAAGAAGCGCAAGGATGACATTGTGCGATGGCGGGACCGGATATCACGAATGACAGCCGATGCTGCGCAGGCAAGGGAGGAGAAGACACGTATAGAAGAGGATGGGAAAAAGCGTGCGGATGAGGTACGGGAGAAGATCGCAAAAGAGCAAGCGGAAATGAAGGTTATCGACGATGAGATACAGGACAAGGGGGGGCGGGTCAAGAAACTTGAAGAAGAGAGACAGGGGCATCAAGGTCCAGATGGTGAAGACGGCAAAGAGTTAGATCGAATTGACAACGAGCGTGCTCGGCAGTGGGAAATCAAGCTAAGCAACCTACACGCCCGATATGCTACCCTAGTGAATATTCATGCTCAGGTTTGTGACTCACGAAGGCCAATATTTGAGGCAGATACTGACTTGTGCAAAGGCTCAACAACAATATCAGGAGGCCCAAGAGCGTCTGAAGTGGCTGACAACGCAAGGACCCGGAAGCACAGGGCCTTTCTCTCTGCCAGCGCTAGATCTGGACCTGTCCAACACAGCAACCATCCGCCCACGTCGTCATCGCAGCTCTCTGACCAGCAATGTTTCGTCCCCTATGAATTTTACGGCTATGGAACCTTCGTTTTCTGGTGGTATCAGTTACAACCCCCCTTCCACGAGCTCGCCTACCTTTGGGCCCAGCTCCGCTTTCTTCAATATCAACAACGGAATGACCATCCCGGGTCTGTCAAGTCAGGCCGCCGATGCAATTTCCGAACTCTCGTTCAGCAACCCTCAAATGAGCCCCCGGGCTGACGCGTTGCTTCCGTCCGATCTCCTTGGAGATGAGGAGTCACCAGAGCTTCCCCGGCCAATCGCCCGCCCTCAAATGTCTGATATTGAGCAGTCGAGTAGCCAACTTGAAGGTTTCCCACAAGGTCCGCCATCGCCGGACTCTTCCGAGAGCCGGCCTGGAAGCATCTTTGCTAGTCCTCATGAGAATCAGAACCAGGAGGCTGACTCTCAGCCCTTACGCCTAGGGGATGCCGCAGAGGCTCCGAAAAGTGCCTCGCGGCGACTCTCTGGTCTGTTCGGCTTCCATCGTCCTCGCGGTAAAACGCTCGCAGATGAACCGCCTTTACTAGGCACTTTGAAGCCAGGACAAAGTCAGTCTTTTCCACGAAATCTGGATGAAATGGATCCCATCGGTGCCAGGCGCCGCCGTCTGAGCTATACAGGAAACTGGGCCAATCCGATGTCATTGTTCCCAAGGAGCAACACCACGGGTGTCACCACCGATAGTTCTTCCGATCATATGCCGTCCCGGCGGGCCGCTTTGACCAGCATCTTCTCCCCAAGCAGGTTTGGATTCGGCAGTGGGAGCAGTCTGATGAAGTCCGGCGAACATTCTGATCTCAGTACTGGGTATAATCAATTCAGTCCTAGACATGATCCGATCGACCCTTCGTCAATTCTCGGTACAGTGCGACGGGGCTCATTGTCACCAAGGCCATCGTCGACGTTTTCCTTTGAGAATCAACTTCCCCATCCATCCACAGACAATCAACATTTCGGCTGGCCGTCGGCAGAGAAACCGGGCCATAGAAGCCCTCTGGGATTCAGCTGGGCTTCACCATCGACTTGGTCAAGAGCCCATTCACGCCGTCAGTCCACCTCGTATGGCTCCTCCGGACACTTGCCTTTGGGACTCACAGGGGAGCCGGATTTCCTTGAAGACTCTTCTTTTGAAAGACAGGGTCGACCCTTGCAGGCACCCATTGGTACGAGACCATCATCTTCGCATCGTCCCATAACTCCGAAACTGAACCCTACTGCGCCCACTTTCAAAACTGTTTTTAGCAGGAGTTCGGAGAAGGGTAAGGATAAGGATGGGGAAATGGTGATAGACGATGGAGCAGATACATCTTTTGAGTTTCTTATGGAAGATGGATCTCCGTCTGAGCCACGTACCTCGAAGGAATCTTATTCCCGTTCACTGACTGCCTTTACTGGGGATTCATATGAGTCTCTCGAACAGATACATTCCGGGGCTTCTGCGGATAACAGTAGCTCGAAAGAGTCGTTCATCCGGAAGATCACGCGGAAGGGTAGCTCGGGCAAGTTTAGCTCGTGGAAAGACCGCTCAGGCCTGTTCTCCAAGAAGGGCGATACCTCCCAGGGTGATATCGAAGAAGACGGTAATGGTGAGTCACTGCTCGCAAAGAGCGTGGACAGCACTGTCTCCAGCGCTCCATCCGCGGACAGGTCAACCAGAAGCAGCCTTGGATTCTTCAGTCGCAAGTCTAAGAAGACGGATAAGGCGGCCAGTGAAACAAGTGAACGGCCCAGTGAACAAGCCAGCGAAACAGGCGGCGAGGAACATTCAGAGGATGTCCACACATGATGATACTACTTATTTCGCTTAGTACACTTATGGATTACTGGTTATTGAGAGTGTGGGGTTCCCCCAGTTGACAGTCTTCACACCGTCGTTGCATGATTTCTTTAGATATAAAACATAGGATATTAATCTTTCTTGGATGGCGCATGCATGATGCCCGGTTGTCTCTTCTTATATTTATTTCAGTCGTTCAAATTCTTACATCTCTTTCCGTCAACATACATTGAGTTACCAATCTTAGCACAATAAAGTAAAGACTTTGCGAAACTTGTCGTAAAGAAAGCTATTGTATAAGGATGCTTATATATATACCTAGTACTGTAATCTTAAATCTGGGGTTGGGTGCCACTCATACCCGTCGGTTAAAATGGCTTCCGCACAACTTCATTCGTCGCCTTTCTTTTCAGTTTTCTCTACTTCATCTCAGATTATTCGTACAAGCAGTTTTATAGTAAATCCAGATAAATGGCGAACTCAAAGTATGCCTTTCACCTGGGTCCTTTATTATTTTCCATCAATATAACATGGCTAATCTTAAATAACAGGTATGAGTACGTCAAAGCCTTCGAGCAACCGGACGTTTTACTCCCCAATACCTGGATTGTAGTTCGCATCGATGGCAGAGGTTTCCACAAGTTAGTAGCTGTTCTCCCCCCATTTCTTCCGATAAGACAGAAGAAAAGAGTTAAACCACAGACTGTGTTTGCCCTTTTCTCTCTGCAAATCCCCCTCTGGATTTTGATTCTGATTCCTTTTTGTCATGGGTCGCACTCATATACTCCGTTACTAAACTACCTTTAGACTTACCGGCCGTTATAACTTCAAAAAGCCGAACGACCGCCGCGCGCTCGATCTGATGAATGCCGCGGCCGTTGAGGTAATGAAAGATCTTCCAGATCTGTGCATTGCATATGGTGTCAGCGACGAGTTCAGGTCTGTCCCCTGGCCCATGCCGCACTCTACATAGAACAATACTAATTTATATCAGCTTCGTCTTCCATCCAAGCTGCCAGTTATTCGAGCGGCGGAGTGCGTAAGTTATGCAACCTTCCCGGTCAATTAAGTTTAGACTGACATGATAACAGCAAACTTGTAACAACTATCGTATCCACATTCACAGCTCATTATGTGTACCTGTGGGGGACATACTTCCCGGATAGCCCTCTTCAGCCTCCATATTTGCCTTCCTTTGATGGGAGAGCTGTCATGTATCCCGCTACGAGGAACTTGCGTGACTATATGAGTTGGAGGCAGGTGGATTGTGAGTTTGCCACATGCTCCTCATTTATGAAGATTTAGCTCACAGCCCTACTCGAAGGCCATATCAATAACCTTTATAACACAACTTTCTGGACCATGGTCCTGCAGGGTGGCATGAGCAACACGGATGCAGAACTAGAGTTGAAGGTGAGAAGTTCATGCTGTCTTTCTTCTCTTCGGGGACCTAATGTTTGGCTCCAACCATAGGGAACAGTATCGTCGGACAAGAATGAAATCCTCTTCAAGAGGTTCGGGATTAATTACAACAATGAGGAAGAGATATACAAGAAGGGAAGTGTAGTTTATCGTCAAGTAAGTTTGGTCAACATTTGTATATCAGAAACCGGTCCACTGATACAGCTTACAGTACCAATTAGAGGACATCAAGCCAAAGTCAGAGCCAAAGTCAGGAATGCTGGCAGAGGAGGAAGACGACTATGTCCAAGAAGCGAAGATTTCCAGGTCACAACAGGACAAGCTTCGTAAATTGCGCCGAAAGGCACAGGTTATCGTTGACCATGTCGACATCATCAAAGACGAATTTTGGGAGCGGAGGCCGTGGATTATATCAGGAAAGCCGGGCAAATTACCCACGGAGGCTTAAGTTACGATTTATGGTTAGAAAGGATATCAAATTCAGACGTGACACGATATATAATATAATCTTCATAAAGACCGCAGTAGCTGTAGCAAATGGGTATCTATCTATGTACGGCCGTAGGCAAAAAAATGATATCCTAAAAGAAAAAGCAAATCTACCTTCAATCAGCTCACTCCTTCCTCGACTATTTGGCATCCTTCGACTTCTTCGATTTTGATTTCGAGCCGTCTTCGAGTGTCGATTCGTCGCTCTTCTTCCTCTTCTTGCTTGCCTTATCCTTCTCTTTCTCCTTCTTTTCCTTTTTCTCTTTCTTCTTCGATTTCTCTACCGAGTCAGAGGACTCCTCACGTCCACTAGACTCTGTCTGGTCGTTCTCGATCGACATCGGGGTAGGATAGTCCTCTTCTGGATTATGTCCTTCCTTCGCCTTCTTGCTCTTGCGTGTAGCCTTTTCATTCTCATCAGTAGTACCGCCCTCCGCTTCTTTAGCCTTCTTCAGCTTCTTCTTCAGTTCCTTTGCTTCCTTCTTCCTCCTCTTCTCTTCCTTCCGTTGGCGCCTCTCCTCCTTACTCTCTTTCCGATCCTTAGAATCCCGATCACTGCGCGACACAGCAGAATCCTCCCCCTCCTCAACCCGACTCATCTTCTTCCTCTTACGCTCCTCCTTCCTCAATTTCTTGGCCTCCCGGTCCTCGTCCCCATCCACATCATCCTTCTTCCTCTTCTTGGATTCAACCTTAGCCTTCAACTTGGAGCCCTGCTCCTTCTCCTCTTTCGACCCAAGCGTCCCCGGAACAACCTCTCCCCTCACGAAATACCGATAAAGCTCACTAGTCAACGCATTCGGCTTCTTCTCCGCCCCAGGATTATTCTCGTCCCCAACGCCCTTCAGCGCATCCTCGAATCCGCGCAACCACCATTGATTCGTCGGGTCTTTGGTTGTCGTCTGGCCGACGCCGAGGTTGCCTTTGCGTCGGGAGACGAGAATCGGTTTCGTGAGACCGAGGCCGGAGTGTGTGCCTGGTCGGCGGTTGGGGTTGAGTGGGTTACCGGGGCCTGACCAGCCGTGGCGGATTAGGTAGGCTTGTGCGTCCATTATCCTTTTGTTTTCTTATTGCTGTGTGAGGACCGATGGCGGGGTTTGGGATTTGAGTAATTGGTGTGGTGTGGTGTAGTTTATATAGAGGGTTTGTGGGGGTGTAGATATAGTTTTGTTCCTGATGCGATGAGGCGCATATGATTTTTCAGGTATATTAAGGCGCTGGTTTGAGAGAACGACAGGGTAGTGAACTATGGGGTTTTAACCCGAGTCACGATATAAGTTTAATCCAAAATACACCCTAGTAAGAAAAAAAAGAAAAAACAAAGAGTAATAAAACGGAAAGGGGGGAGTAAAGATGACCACCAGAAGAAAAGAGAAACGAAAGACTTAAGAACAAGGAAAAAAAAATTCCTCCGCAGGAGATAAGGATTTCCGAACAGCGTATCTCACGGCCTGTATGTTTACGTGAAACATATTTTACTCCGGTCTTTAAAGATATCCAGTTGCGTGGTCTAATGGTTATGATTTCTCATTCACATTCGGTTGTTTACTGAGAAGGTTCCCGGTTCGATCCCGGGCGCGACTACTTCTTTTTTTGGTCTGTTTGTGCATTATTTTGTTCATCTACTATGCAAGTCACAAGTTTATATGGTTTACTCTGTTTAGTTACCCTTTTCTTTCCTTTTCTTTTCTTTAACCTCACTTTACTCACTGATAAGCAATGTCATCTGCATTGTTTACATTCAAAAATCCTACTAGTATATTACGACCCACCTTAAAACCTATGGAGTAAGTAGTGTGATACAAAGTCAGAGCTAGCCCTCGGAGTTTTGTTCCGCGCAGATATATATTCGCCAAAGCAATCCACATACCTAAACCCGCGGCCCCCACGCCTCTAAACCAAGCACAAACCAACGTAGCAATCGTAGTGGACATACCATCGGCTGATTGAACTCAATTCTGCTACCTAAGTGGTTCATCGGCTCTGACCGCATACTCAGAAATGTGGGCTGGTAAAGATTGGAAATTGCAAGCCTCGGAGACGACAGGCTGTCAGATGGAGAATGAAATTTTCCTCTTAAGGTACTGTTTTGCAGTGTATGGTACGTGCGTGAATTCTTTGCATACAGCGTCTGGACTAAATAGATTGCGACGGTTCAGCAGAAAGATCTGATATCTATCTATCTATATGGGATTCGATATAGGGCAAGGGTTGGGTGGAATATCGGGCCATCCCGCTTGTAGTAAAAGCTGAAATTATACTCAGTACTACCAGGAGTCCGATCCTGCGGATGACAGACTTGGAGGGGTGCAGGTCAGGGCCGTACTGATCCCTGCCCTGTGAAGAAGGGTGGATGAAATACGACTGTAAGACAAGTGGTTTGAAACATACGGGAAGGCCAGGACAGTATGACAGCATACGTATTTCCGAGGTCACGTATTTTACATTATATCATGGCGGTCAATGCTCTGGGCGTGGTAACGAAACAGACAAGGCCTAATTTAATAGGGTTTGAACCGTCCCTTATCCTTATTCTTTTTCGGCCGCGCAGTCTTGTTTGAGGAATCATCGCCCTGCACCTCTCCGGACTCCGGTTTCCATGCGCGGACGAATCCGTCTTCGCCGCAGGTAAATACCGATTGGGACTGCGATCAGCGTGGTTAGTTGTTGACTAGAGGAGTTGGCAAGGGGACACATACCTGTTCGTCCAGATAGATGGAACGTACAACCTCCTCGCCGTGAGCGCCAGGAAGCCGCCACAGGTTCTCCCGGTCAAATTGCCAAGATGGGTTTGAGGTAAGAGGGACCAAGTCCAGTCGTTTCTCACTGGGACATTTTAGCGCACGAAGCATACGAAGAAGACAATAAGTAGTAAACGCAGACTGAGAAAAAGGATAGAATAACAAAAAAAAAAAAAAAAAAAAAACCAACATTTTATGGCCAGCGGCGATATAGGGGCCCTGGCTGCCAATGCATAGCTGAGCAATGTATTCACAGCCTAGAGGCTGTCTCAAGTCTCCGAACTGCACAGGATTAGGCTCCTGTGCTTCCTCTTCTGGATCAGTAGCCGGATAAATCGAGAAGACTTCATCGTGGCTGAGAGCATAAATGGTCCTCTCGCTTAAGAAACCGGCGTGATGTACTGAGCCATGGTTGATAACTTGTACAAGAGCCTCATCTTCGTCTGTAATATCGGTGTTATAGATGTTGACTAGGCCATCCGTGCTTCCGGAAAGCACGATATTGTTCCTCGTTGGGTGATATTGGAGCTGCGATTCATCAAGAAAGTTTGTTAGGGGAAAGTATAACCAAGGTACAAGAGTAAGCCTACCTCAGTGACATCGTCATTGTGGCTTTCAATATACTGAAGTCGAGATTGACCCGGGGATCTGACATCCCTGTTACGTCAGTTAGCAGCTCGTGAATCGGGAATAGGCAAGTTGTCAACGAAAATGTGTGGCTAAACCCACATGGAATGCAATAGACTCACCAAAAAGCAACAACAGCCTGAGACGAAACAAGCTCAGTGCCGCCTACGAGGCTGTTTGTTGCAGGACAACAGGCTATAGATAGAACTGGTGCATCTCTCGCTGTTCGAGAAGGGGGGATTAGCAATCAGTCGACTGTACCAATGCATCATAAGCTCTGAATGGTTGGAGTTGGCCAACACATCAAAATATATCCATGTTTGTTGCAAGAAAACGTTCTCTTCAAAAAGCAGTGCGATGTATATCCGGGGCCATAACATGGCCAAGCCGTAGGTAGCAAGAAAAAGGAGGGGGGAAATGAAGAACAAGGGAGGGTGGGAAAGAAAGCAGGGAATCTTACATGTCTCCACCTCTACAACTGCCGACCTCTTGCCATTCCGCAGATCCCAGAGCTTCACCTTCCCGTCTCTCCCTCCAGTGGCAAGCAGTTGATGACCCGCATCGTACGATTTCAACGACGTAACTCCCTTGTGGGCGTCGGCAGCCACCACAGAGACATGGCCAAGGCTAGCGGCGTCAAATACACGCAGTGAGTCGTCCGAAGCAATGGCTGCGAATGAGCCTGGGCTTGATGAAGCAATGGAGTAGATGTAATTGTCCTGAGCGAGTGAGAGCGATGAAGACGCTGTGGCTTTGAGTGTATGCATGGTTGGACAATGATCGTGTAGTATAGCAAACCCTGGTGTCCTGTCTTAGGGCAATTTGCTACTTGACCAATCAAAGGCACTGAAGTCTCAGCCTCAGAGGGATAGATAAATAGCCCCGCAAAAGCAGAATGCAATGCGTGTTTTACTGACTTAGTTATCGGCCGAAGACTGTCTGTTACTTTCGTCCCACAGGTAGTAGGTGGCTGCCGGGGTCGCGATATCAAGCCAGACAGGAAAGTTCTTGCTAAAATCAACTTCTTTGTCTTTTCCTTGACGTGGCTTACTCTGATAGGAAATAAGCGACCGACCGAAGGGAGACTGGTGTTGGATATGACAGTTGATTCTTAGAATGGCCTGTTCTCTTTGCTTTTTTTTTTCTTTCCCGGATTCGCCAATGGTTACTTCGGGCCTTTTGGCGGAAGCTGCGCGAAAGCCAAGAAATTTCCTTTTTCGAGTCTGCTGTCGGGGAGGGGCCCTCGTTCGGATGCCTCACGTATGTGGCACCAAAGACTAGCACGGAGAAAAACCCAAACAAACAACTTCAATCATTGGTCACAAGGCCTAGTTAGGTACTCCGTACTTACTACCCATATCTAGTAGGAAGGAAACTGAACCACTACAGGTTATCAAAAACATTTTTTATATTTCTTTATTCACCGTTCCTGACAGATTGTGCTATCTGACTCACGAATCACATTTTTATTCAGTCCATTTATTTTTCGAGGAACGTTGACCATAGGTATTGTCTAGGATATATATACTAGACCACAAACTATAACAAGGATAGCGGCAATACCACCTGACATGATTAATGAAGCCGACTGCATGCCCAGGCTCTGGAACTGTGCCCCCATAGGGCTACCACAGTCGAGTCTACGCCCCCTAGACCTCTTTCCATACATCCCCGCTTTCTAACCTGAGACGGGCGGCTAGCCGCAGTAGAGATCAGGATACACAGCAGCCTGAGGCGTTGAACCCAGGCTCCAGAGTACTCCCATAAGTTCAACTTGACGCAGTAGCTCTGTGGTTTAACCCTAGGAGATTGAAACTCACCGGGGTGAGAGTTAATGGCGGCAATCCACTGTCCATATATGAAAATACCAAGCTAAATCCCGACGCACCTGGGTTCTCACTCAATACGATATATTTCATTATAAGACAGTATACTGAAAAAGTTATTCAGTGATCGCTATTCCACAAAAGGTGACGAGTTTTTCGATATTTGTCATGCTGGGAAGCTTGGAAGAACGGACTGAGTTAACGATGATCTACTGTACGGGTGCTGAGTCGGATGTTGACCGACCACAGAATGGAATAAGGGCTTTCGCCCGAGGTACTGTATGGTGCAGTGATATGAATCAATGAATGGTGGTAATGCCGACAGGATTGGACAATGCCCAGAGGAGCTTATTCGTTGTATTATAGCAGTGTGGAGCATTGGGGGGGCAGGAAAGACGAATCGTCCAGTTTCTGCTCAGGAGTGTTCCCTCCATTTCCGAAAACAGCGAATCCAGGAGTAGCTGCATATGCACTGCCGCAAAACAACCCCGAAGTGGTTTCAACATTCCTAAAAAGGTGTCCCTGCTTGGGGCATGAAGCATGAAGCAAACCGGGCCGGTGACTGACAGGACGATAATCTCTCCAGAACGTTGTAGAGATGAAACCATTGCATTCTTCACCTTAATTATTGGATAATCGTCGTTTATTCAACCCACTGTGACGCAGGTAGCCCATTTGGTGCCTCATGTAGTGACTTGAACGGGGTACTAGTACCCCTTCATGCCTGGCCCAAGGCAGTTAGTTGAGAGCCAACACACAGGGGGTTTTTAGTAAGGAAATTGGAAGATGTAGAACTTGAATATCTTTTTATGGTCGAGACGCTCTTTTCTACCATTTGGTTCGCAAAAGGGGAAAATGAAACGAGTAAAGCACTAAACCAGTCATGGCCAGGCCATTAACAAAGGGGCAGGAAATACTCTGTACCATCTATTTAGTAGTATCTGGAAAATATCCCATACTACCCTATTCAATTGGGGACAAAGAAGAGATTCTCATTGGTTACCAACTAAATGCGCATAAAATTGAAGGTCGAGACAACGCTGAGAATAGGCAATCCTCCGTTGGTGGTACCATTGGTGTGATTGGGAGTTGCGCATTTCTGCCCTGAAGTCGGTGAGTTGTCGCTCCAAATTTGAAATGACGCGCCTGATCTTCTGCGAAGTACTAAATGGGTCAAACACGAAACACAAGCCGCCCTGCGATAGACACGACTACACACGGAAAAGATAGAGTGGACTCTGACACCTGTTTACGGGGATTTTGAGGCCAGCCGGCAACCTGCTGACGCATTTGGGTTTTTGAAACCTAAGACGAAGAAAGACATGGTAGACGGCGCTTACAATCTGTGATATGGTACCGAAGATTAAAGTCACCAGTGGAGAAGAAAAGGATGGGATTTTTTTTTTTCTTTTTACCTGGTACTCATTATTTCCTTTTTTATTTCCCTGTTTCCAAATTTTTTTAGAGTTATGGCTATTTTTCACAAGACCGAAGTGGAAGGACGAATAGACACACAAAGCGCCCGGCAGATAAATTCAACGGATGCTGTACCGAAAACGGTAGTGTGGATACAAAATAAATGATACGATGGGAGAGAGAGCCTACTAACCACCCGGAGGGGCAAATCGGCGCAGGTCACTGAGCTGCAGTTTGAGAGGCTTGCGTTGTTCCACAGCCCAGAGGTGCCGAGAAAGAGCGACTGTGTCTCGCTTTTAGTTGCTGAAGCTTCTGGGAGACCAATAGTGTGGCCTACCCAAGAACTGGTTGGTCGCTGAAAATTATAATCTTCAACTAAGGTTCATTAGGCAAGAACTTTTATCCTTGTCCCTGGAAATGATGGTCGAGTAGTTCGCTTTTCGATGAAGGTGGGTGTAGTCCGTAGTGGAGGCCGTATCAAACGGGACTGTCAACGTTCCAGTCATTCTGAGACATAATTTCAATATGATACACGTTGGCGGTACATGTACATTATATGTGAATCCAGAGAGAAAGGAAATAAGAAGAGGAAATATCAATATAAAAAAAATTGAAAAGTGCGTGTGGGCAAATGAGCAGGTACCCAAGAGTTGGTTCTCCAAAAGTGCGTATGCACGATGACTTACAATGCAGGAGGCTCAGGTAATTCTCATCCATGCATCACCATCGTGGACCCGAGAGTCTGGGAAGCGGTGAGATGATCAACCGATCACACTTGTCTATTACTTACAAATCACATGGGCATGAACTCGGCGCATAAAAAACGTCGTACAGAGTGGGCACATACGGCCACGCGGTAAGTATGGGATGTGTACCCGGCGATGCATGGACTACTTGCATGCGTATGTACAGGAACCACGGCGCTTGGGGTAAAGTTACGGCGATGACTTCCAATGGTGTTAATGATCAGATTGACACGATCTGGATAATCCCTTTGTTACATTACTCTTAGCAATACCTAAGAAATGCTGCATATATGCCTAGCTCAAATTAAACGTCATGTGTGATGTCCACCTGGATGCAGATCGAGTATGGTGTGTACATAATAAGACCTTGATACGTAGTACAGATGGAGAAGGTAAGTATGTAACATTGTATTGTTATGTATAACTTAAGAGAGAGAGACGCTAGTACCAGGTAGAGTCGGTAAAGTGCTAAGGAAAATCCTGGGGGGAAGAGTAGGGGAAAATGCTAAATGGGGAAGAAAAATGAAAAACGAAAAAGAAAAAAAATTTCCTTGATTGCCTACTACTCGCAATCCGGCATAGTTTCGTACGAACTTCATGGTCGATCCGCGCCGGAGCGGCTGCACGCAATGCCGTGATTAGTGACCCTGCGGAAATGGAGGGCTGGGGCCAATTCTGGTTTGTTTTTTTTCGGGCGCTACTCGAAGGGGAGCCACGCCCGAAGCTTCGAATCCTGCAACCACAGTGCTGGTACCGCTGCCTGACACTTGTATGCCTGAAATTGAGGGCAGCGATTGTTCTGGTCACGGAGATGTTTTATCTTAGTGGCCCACGAGCAAACTTTCAGTCACCTCACTAAGTGTGGGAGGCGGTCCGCATCCCGCCCGGAAGTCACTTTTCGCTTCTCGGTTGGACCCATATATCTGCATTGCTCCAACTTACAAGGTAGCACTGAGTACTGACAATTGTGGTGGGAACCTTTTTCTCCCACCCCCGCCGACACAGTAGCAGTGCAGAGCAATGTGGAACAGCGCTTCTACACTGTACAAGACCTTTTGTATAGTATATATACCCACATCACCAATGTTATAAATTACCATGAGACTAGAGGGATATAAAACGATGCTTATGTGCCCTACAATATTCTCATATTCACCTATTTTATTGATTTATCCCACTTATTTATTTATCTGTTTGTTTATTTACTCGGGTTTTCTTAGGACGATGATTGTAGAAACAAATAGAGACTAAACACCCAGTTATCCTTCACGAAGTCCTTCGTATAATCCCTAACCAACTTATCACTATCAGCCTAAAAGAGTCGATCCAACCCTCTAGGTACTAGTACTACTTTACTCCGTATACGACAGAACCTTGCCGGCTCCTGTGACAAGACATAATCTAATCTAAGATTTAACCGTGGCTTCTGTACTTAATCGATGTATGTCTTTATGTATCTTGTTACTTACGGGTTTTTTTTGCTGATGGTTTAGACTACACCTTCAGCCGAGATACGGACAAATTTAGAGTGGGAGGACACACAGGAAGGGGCGAGAAGAATAAGAAAAAAAGAAAAAAAGAGAAATCTGTGGGCTAATGTGTGCCTAGACATCTATACCTTGTATGATGTATGTATAATGGGCAAACATAGCGGTACATACATATACCATACAAATCTCATGATACAACCATACAGGGTATCTTTACGCACCTCTTATGCGTACCTGTATGTATGTATGTATGTATGTATGTAAATTGGTATTCATGTATGTATATGAATACGAACATACCTAGATTATATCAAAATCGTGCAACCGGCTGGTCAAGACCCATGGATAGAATGAATGGGCGCTACCAGAGTCTTAGGCTAGTAACCACTAGAAGATAATCCATGTAGGGTTGCTGATGACGGACAGGTACTAATGAGGGGATATACCATGGTTTATGGAGGGGCGGTGTTAACCTCTCCAACCAATGATTCAGATGGGATACCAACCACAACACCGTCTGAAAGTCGACACTTTGTAGTCTCGTACATTCACTTAAGGCGACTAGTCCGCTAGAATATCAAATGACACATTCATAGAAGGTATGCTTATACAGCCCAGCGTTGCTCACGCCCATTTTTTGCTGGAAAATAGAGAGAGAGAGAGAGAGGTAAAGGAGTTAAAAAAAAGAGCGTTACATACCGAAGGATACAAGACAGTGCAAGGTGACAGCCTCAGGCTTCTTCCATAACTTAACCGCCCCGCCCTCCCACCCGTGGGCCCAACGGGGACAAGACAGCGGCTGCAACAACCTTAAAGGCAGGCTTTCCATTGCAGGGCTTCTTCTCGCTTCCCCCTCGTCCACCACTACCAAATCTCGCCCCCTCAGGGCTCCGCTCATTAATCTTCTCTTCCGTGGTATGGTGCTGGGTGAATCCGTCCCAATTGATGACCTTGGATCGACTACCCATCCATGGTTAGACGTGACAACTCCAGTCCGTTGTTGACAATTTGTGCCCAGTGACTGCTTGCGCCGTGACCGCTACTTCTGTGGATTTCCCGACTGGCATCGCGGGGAGACAGCACGGCGTTGTCTATTATTATTTCTTTGCCTGTCGGTACTTTTGGCTGGGTCACCTTCTTGGTTTTTCCGTTTCTGCCCTTCTGTGTTTAAGTGGATGTGACCATTGATTCTCTGCCTGGTCCTATCTGCAACTTTTCTGTTTTTCTATTTTTTCTATTTTTTATTTTTATTTCTATTTTCTTTTTCTTTTTTATTTATTTATTTATTCTTTTTTTATTTTTTTTTTATTTTCCCTCTTTACTTTTCTGATTCTCCCCCTGAATTCTCGTCTTTCTTTCTAATACTGCGAATGATATCTTGTGTTTCGCTTTTCACTCCCTTAAATTTATGAATGGACTTGCCGTCCATTCACTAGGCTCAGCCCCATTCTACTCTATGTTTTATTCGTCACTCAATATATATACCATATACACGATCTACAAGCGTCCACACTACTGACATCAGCCTCTCGCCATCGACGCCGGCGTTCTTCCCCTCGCCACCATATTAACCTACCAGACTTCTTGCCGACTCTTCACCACACGGGATGTTTGGAAACGGCCAGACTGGTCAGCGTCTTCCGGCGATGGCCTCACCACCATACGATCCGCACTACTCACAGTCGTTGGCATCTAGTCGATCAAGAAATAACTCGGATGCTATGGATATCCACGCCATTACAGACCGAGATCCCCCAGCACGAGAACCCTCTGGTTATAGCCAGTGGGACCGTAATGGTTCTCCAAGTTTGAATTCCATTCATAGCAAGTAATTCTTCCCCGTTTCATTAATCTTCTGTTGTTATTTCTGGGCTGCGTCAGTTATTCACTCTGCCGAAGCTGTTATCGTTGGACGACTAATGTTCTTCTTTGTTGTTACTGTTTTTCTCTAGGAGTTCTGAGAAACAGCCTTTCTATGAAGAAAACGGACGAATGTATCATGCGTACCGCAAAGGGGTATATATGCTACCATGCGATGAGCAGGAGCAAGATCGCCTTGATATCTTCCACAAATTATTCACGGTGGCAAGGGTATCGGATGGCCTAATGTACGCCCCGCATCCCAGAAACGGCCGATTTCTGGACTTGGGCTGCGGGACCGGGATATGGGCAATTGATGTTGCCAACAAATACCCAGACGCTTTCGTTGTTGGGGTCGACCTTGCTCCCATACAGCCCTCAAACCACCCAAAGAATTGCGAGTTTTACGCCCCGTTCGACTTCGAGAGTCCTTGGGCCATGGGTGAGGACTCTTGGGACCTGATTCACCTACAGATGGGATGTGGAAGTGTGATGGGGTGGCCCAACCTGTACCGGAGAATATTCGCCCACCTTCGACCTGGTGCTTGGTTTGAACAGGTGGAGATTGACTTTGAACCGCGTTGCGATGACCGTCCTCTTGAGGGACTAGCTATTCGACAGTGGTACCAACTCCTAAAGCAGGCTACACAAGATGCCATGCGACCTATAACCCACAATTCTCGTGATACAATCCGAGATCTGCAGGAGGCTGGTTTTACCGATATCGATCATCAAATGGTGGGGTTGCCCCTTAACCCATGGCATCAAGATGAGCACGAAAGAAAAGTTGCTCGCTGGTACAATTTGGCTGTCTCCGAGAGTATTGAATCACTCAGTATGGCGCCTTTCAGTCGTGTTTTCGGCTGGGATTTGGACCGAATCCTGCGCATTTCGTCAGAAGTCAAATCGGAGGCATTCAACAAAGAACTACACGCGTACAATATTCTTCATATATACCAAGCACGGAAGCCTTCTGCGAATTGATTCTTTCTACCAACTAGCGCACGATGGACATCCAAACATGCGCCAGCAGCGTTACTAGTGCCCAGTCTCCGAGTTATGGGATGGGCGAAACCACCGTCCATGCAGCCCCCTCTATCTGCGCTTTCATGAGCCCTCTCAATATGCTGTGGCTCAATGTGAATGTGTGGTGCCACTTTCTAGCTTGCACACAATGGTCCTGAGCCGCTATTTGCATACTGCAAAAGCAAATTCCAACTCAAATTGGGTTTGCAACCTCTATGTCTTTGGAAAATCCAGTGCGTCGTGAGAGCTCCATTACTGGGTCTTTGGTCGTAGACGTCCGGTTTATGTTGTTGGTAGAAGCAGCTACGAGCGATGCACTAAAATCCCCCATCACTCCAGCAACACTTAGAAGGTTGATGGAAATGCATGGAACTTGCTTTGATTATCATAACTCTCGCTTTGGGCTTGGGGATTCCCAAAACCAAGATCGATCTGAGCTTGAGGCCGGCGTGCGTCTTGCGAGTGAGTTTAAGCAAAACACCCAAGCCAAACAGGCAAGCCAAGAATCTTTTCATCCAAAAGATATAGTATGATACAGCTCTTCTCCCTATCGACAGACCAATGGGACTGCAGAATATTGGCAGGTCATTCATGGCATGGCACGGCCTATGCCTGCTCTTAATCTGGCTGTGGCTCATCCATCGCACTTTTCAGGGCCACATCAATCCCTGGCATTGCATGCTATCTCGCTTGCCAACTACAGCATACTCATGGCGTTTCGGGTGAGTGCATTGTTGATAGCTGTATACCCAGTTCATTTCAGTCTATCTGTGACGACATTATCCAATCATCGCCGTTGTTTTATTCGAGATTTGTAACATGATATCACATAAAAGACGATAAAAATTTATATAATACAATGGGAAGAATTTATCCATGTGATCTTTTGCAAGTCCTCATTACCAGCTAACATGATCCGAAAATGCAAGTGTGTGAGATACCAGTTTCTGGGTATTTCGCCAAACGCCTCGATAGCCTTCAAGACACCCACCCATCCACCCAATGACTCAAAAGACAAATGCTCCGGTAAATTATCTAATACTATAATGCGAACTCATGCTCATACGCGTGTTCATTTCAACGCCGGCGGCCCTTTTGTCCCCGGGAGGTACCGTTTCTACCTCCAGTAGTTTCTTTCTCCCCATCTCCGTTGGCCAAGTCACGGCCAGCGCCGGGGCTACGCCTCCGCATTGTGCCGGGACCCACGGCGACGATGTCCTCTTCACTTTCGCTGTCGGAAATATCTAGAAGAACAGGCATGCGGAAGGACTCCATCTCTTCATCTGTACCGCTTTTGTGGGGCTCGATGGTTAACACGTCGGGAACTTCGTCTTCCTGGTCAAGCCGACGTTGGTGAATTTCCTCCGCAGGGTGAACGTCGAATTCATCTTCGCGTTCAACATACTCAACGTTTTCTTCGACTTCGCCAAAATCAGGCGCTAGTGCGGACCATTTTTGAGGCGTCACAATCGACCATGTGTAGATGCATCCAGATTCCAAACCACAGGCGACTACCATAGGGCGGGAAGGGTGCCATTCCACAACGCCCAGTTCTTCTCGGGGACCCTCGAGGATCTTCACCAGGGAACCGTGACTCCGTTCCCAAACGTAAATGTCAGGATTCATGAAGGTGGATGCGGTGACGAATTCGCTCGTCGAAGAAAAGGTGATATGGTTCCAGCTTAGTCGATTAACCACGTCCTGGAACTTATGTTCGACCTGAAGCTTGATGTTGGTAGGTTCTAAATCAATACCTAGCTGGGAGAGGTCTGGCATGAGGATGGTGCGTATCACTCGGTCGGAGCTATTAACTAGCAGGTCTCGGCCGTTGCTGGCAAGGCGAAGTAGGATCACCACTCCATTGCAAAGACGAGTAGAATGAATTGTCGCGCATGTTTGTGTTTCAATTATGTTGATCCACCCTTTAGATGTGCCTGCTATAATGTGATTTCCTAAAGCAGTAAAGATGGTAACACATGTTGAGTGCTTCGCGTCTTGGGCTGCCTGCTTTGCGGCCACAGCGGGGTCAACTTCTTCGGATTTAGGTGGCGGGGGTCGAAATGGAGCGGAGGGAAGAATGCGCTTAATGGGCTTAGGGGATGAGACGTCAACCAAAACAGGCTGGTCCTCGAATAGGGAGGCAACAAAAAGTAAACTAGGTAGTCAAAAAGCTTTAGGAATGACACGTGAAGCAGTATTCAGAAGAAGAGACTCACTGATTATAAGGATGTAATTCAGCAATATATACAGGTGCTTCGAATCGGATCGTGCGTACTCGGGAACCATCTTTCAAGTCCCACAGGATACACTTCCAATCTTGTGATGAACTGAGTAGATAGCGGCCATTCCTTGACCAACTACATATCGATTTATAGTCAGTCGTTCCGATCGAGCGGTGTTTCGTAACATAGCGCACGTACCTCAGGGACTGGATTTGCCTGGTGTGACCTCGTAGTTTCCGTGCAACCCCGTTCGTCTCTAAATCAAATATGACCACTGTGCCATCAACCTGTAAGGGGGTCAATAGGATATCGCAACGATAGCGGTAGGTTGACTAACTCGTCCGGAGGCTAGATAATCTCCCTTGCGGTTGAATCGTAGACATGTCGCATGGCCGCTTCCTGCAACTGTCAGCGAAAGATCGTTGCTAAAAGTGGGTTCGACGTGGTATACTCAGTTTCTCTGTAAGTGTATCGGGATAGTCCTGCGCCAGGACAAAGGGATCGAGAAGAGACAAATTCATTGCGCTGAACCAATTATCGGCATGCGCTCAAGACAGAGTGGCAGGAAAAGTCAATGTAAGAGTAACGAGAGGTACGGAATGATCCCAGCCCAGACTAAAGGCCAGGAGGAATGGGTGAGAGCAATCATTCAGTGTTCATTTGGTGACCACTGAGACAGTCTCTACGCGGGGAGATTCACGGTAGATGAGCAAATGCTGAAGATTAGAAACAGGCTGGCGGGCGGTGAGAGGTCATCTAGAAAGCAAAGCGGATGGCCCACAATAACCTCAATCGTAGCTTAATGATTGGCCGTGATTGGAACAACACCGCCAATCTCTGCTGGGTACGAGTCTTAGCGTCACAGACTTTTAGTGAGTGCCACGCTAGCCGCAGGTTGCGGCTCAGAAAACTCGTGCCCCATCGGGGACGACCTGACGTCCAACCATCTCCCTTTCATCACCTCGACACACTGCTTTCCCATCCCCCAACGTCCCCGATCATCGCGTTTGGCATCGCGATATCGTTTTGCGAGTCGGAAAAGTCGCCAAGACCGACCGTGAATCTTTTTCCTCCGCCCTTTTTCGACTTTCGCGACGTCGGAGAACAAGGTCGCAGGCGCCCTCGTGGCAAGGGCTGCCAAAGGCCTCACCCGGCCAGCTGCTTGCAATTTCTTTCATCGTCGCTTCTGCACGCCTGACTATTGATAGAATAGAGCTATTCGAGACGTTTGTTAGCAATATTTCATCCTTAGATCTGTTCGATCCGTGATTCAGCCCCATCTCTCGAGTGACACGTCTCCGCGACAACAGCCATCATGTCGAACGTTTACTTTCCCTATTCCAAGGCGCCTTTGCGCACCATCAAGGAAATTCAGTTTGGTCTCTTCTCACCAGAAGAGATCAAACGAATGAGTGTGGTCCATGTGGAGTACCCGGAGACTATGGTTTGTTTTCCTAATCGCTTCTTCCTGACCGCCTAGTTATGATCGCCTCTGACTGGGTGTAAAATAGGATGAACAAAGACAACGACCGCGAACAAAAGGTCTGAACGATCCTCGCTTGGGAACCATCGATCGGCAATGGAACTGCGAGACTTGTGAGGAAGGCCAGAAGGAATGTCCGGGACATTTTGGACATATTGAGCTTGCCACTCCTGTTTTTCATATCGGTATGTTTATATATTTCGCTGTTGTATACTTTGAGGTTATTGCTAACGTCCACTTATAGGTTTCTTGACGAAAATCAAGAAGCTTCTTGAGACGGTCTGCCACAACTGTGGAAAGATCAAAGCCAACACGGTTAGTCATCCCTCACGGGATGGCAAATCTAATATGGCAGATTTGCTGACTTGAAACCAGTCTGATTCCAAGTTCCTTGAAGCCCTACGCATGAGAGACCCGAAGAGACGTTTCGACCACATCTGGCGACTATCGAAAGATGTCACGATATGTGAAGCTGACCCTCCTCCGGACGAGGACGAGCCGTATGCGAAAGAGAGCTCCAAACCAACGAGAATGCACGGTGGGTGCGGAAATGCCCAACCGACTATTCGCAAAGAGGGAATCACCTTGGTGGGGACATGGAAACCTAGCAAGAGCATGATGGACGAGATGGATATGCAGCAGCCAGAGAAGAAGACAATCACCCCCCAGATGGCTCTGAACATCTTCCGTAACATCTCTCACGAGGATGTTCGTATCATGGGGCTGAGTAATGACTATGCTCGTCCTGAGTGGATGGTTCTCACAGTCTTGCCGGTGCCGCCTCCCCCTGTCCGTCCAAGTGTGCTTGTGGGTGGTAGCACTAGTGGCCAGCGCGGTGAGGATGATCTGACATACAAGCTGGCTGAAATTGTTCGGGCAAACCAGAATGTCCAGCGTTGCGAACAGGAAGGCGCCCCAGAGCACGTGGTACGGGAGTTCGAGTCTCTATTACAGTATCATGTCGCCACATACATGGACAACGATATTGCTGGCCAGCCAAAGGCTATGCAGAAGTCAAACAGACCAGTGAAAGCTATTCGCAGTCGTTTGAAGGGTAAAGAAGGTCGTTTGCGACAGAACTTGATGGGTAAGCGTGTGGATTTCTCAGCTCGTACTGTCATTACAGGTGATCCCAACCTGTCTCTTGACGAGGTTGGTGTGCCAAAAAGTATCGCAAGGACTTTGACATACCCCGAAGTTGTTACGCCGTACAACATCGACAAATTGCAGCAGCTCGTCTCGAATGGTCCTAACGAGCACCCTGGAGCAAGGTATATTGTGAGAGATAACGGTGAACGTATCGACTTGCGCCATGCTAAAAGAGCCGGAGGCCAACAATTATTGTACGGATGGAAGGTAGAGCGTCACGTCATGGATGGCGATGTGATTCTTTTCAATCGACAGCCATCGCTTCACAAGGAATCTATGATGGGTCACCGTGTCCGCGTTATGCCGTACTCCACATTCCGGCTCAACTTGTCTGTGACAACTCCTTATAACGCCGATTTTGACGGTGATGAGATGAACTTGCATGTTCCTCAAAGTGAGGAGTCTCGCGCAGAACTACTCCAGCTTGCTCTGGTTCCTATGAACATTGTATCCCCTCAGCGAAACGGACCTCTTATGGGTATCGTACAGGATACGCTCTGCGGTATTTACAAGATTTGTCGGCGTGATACATTCTTGACAAAGGAACAAGTAATGAATCTTATGATGTGGGTTCCTGATTGGGACGGCGTGATTCCCCCGCCAGCTATCTTGAAGCCTAGGCCTAGATGGACTGGTAAGCAAATTATTAGCATGGCGCTTCCTTCGGGTCTCAATCTTCTCCGTGTGGATAAGGACAACTCAGCGCTCTCTGAGAAGTTTGCCCCTCTGAACGACGGTGGTCTTCTTATTCATGGTGGACAGTTGATGTATGGAATGTTCTCCAAGAAGACTGTTGGTGCCAGTGGTGGTGGTGTCATCCACACCATTTTCAATGAATATGGGCCAGGTACTGCTGTGGCCTTCTTCAACGGTGCACAGGCTATTGTTAACTATTGGCTACTCCACAATGGTTTCAGTATTGGTATTGGTGACACCATTCCAGACGCAGTCACTATCCAAAGAATTGAGAACTGCGTCCGGGAACGAAAGAAGGAGGTTGAAAGTATTACTGCTAGTGCTACGGACAATACCTTGGAGGCCTTGCCTGGTATGAACGTGCGAGAAACCTTTGAAAGTAAGGTTTCGCGTGCACTTAACAATGCTCGTGACGAAGCTGGCAGTGAAACTGAGAAGAGCTTAAAGGATCTGAACAATGCCATCCAGATGGCCCGTTCTGGATCAAAGGGATCGACCATCAACATATCCCAAATGACTGCTGTCGTGGGTCAACAATCCGTCGAGGGTAAACGTATCCCGTTCGGTTTCAAGTATCGTACTTTGCCCCATTTCACAAAGGATGATTACTCTCCAGAATCTCGTGGTTTTGTGGAGAACTCTTACTTGCGTGGGTTGACACCCACTGAGTTTTTCTTCCACGCCATGGCTGGTCGTGAGGGTCTTATCGATACAGCTGTCAAGACCGCAGAAACCGGTTATATTCAGCGAAAGCTGGTTAAGGCTCTGGAAGAAGTAATGGTTAAGTACGATGGCACTGTCCGTAACTCTTTGGGAGATATCATACAGTTTATTTACGGAGAAGACGGCCTTGACGGTGCCCATATTGAGAACCAACGAGTTGACATCATCAAATGCTCTGACGACAAGTTTAGAGATCGCTTCCGTGTCGATCTAATGGACCCTGAGCGCAGCTTAGGTCCAGAGGTCTTGGAACAGGCCAATGAAATTGCAGGCGACGTTGAAGTCCAGAGATACCTGGATGAAGAATGGGAGCAACTTCTCAAAGACCGTGCTTTCCTCCGTTCTGTGGCTAAGGAAGACGAGGAGATGATGCAGCTTCCAATCAACGTCCAGCGAATCCTCGAGATGGCTAGGACTACGTTCAGGATCCGCGAGGGAACAATTAGCGATTTGCACCCAGCAGAAGTTATTCCTCAGGTGCAAGCATTGCTTGATCGGCTACTTATTGTGCGCGGTGATGACGTGATTTCGCAGGAAGCCCAGGAGAACGCCACACTGTTGTTCAAGGCGCAACTTCGGAGTCGTCTAGCGTTCCGAAGACTGGTCACCGAGTATTCTATGAATAAACTTGCGTTCCAGCATGTTATCGGAGCTATCGAAAGTAGGTTCGCTAAAGCTAACGCTCCTGCTGGTGAGATGGTTGGTGTTCTCGCTGCCCAGTCTATCGGAGAGCCAGCTACACAGATGACTCTGAACACTTTCCATTTTGCTGGTGTCTCGTCCAAGAACGTCACACTTGGTGTGCCTCGTCTGAAGGAAATTCTCAACGTTGCAACCAATATCAAGACGCCTTCTATGACTGTTTACCAGGAACCTGGCAGAACTCATGACAAGGAGGGTGCGAAGCAATTGCGAAGCGTCGTTGAACATACTAGCTTGCGGTCCGTTACCGAGGCCACCGAGATCTACTACGATCCCGACATCCAGTCTACGGTTATTGAAAATGACCGAGACATGGTCGAGTCCTACTTCATTATTCCCGAAGATGTGGCGGATGATTCCTCTCGCCAGTCCAAATGGTTACTTCGTATCATTCTCAGTCGGCCGAAGCTTCTTGACAAGGGTCTTACAGTACAGGATGTTGCTACCAGAATCAAACAGGCGTATCCCAAGGATATCGCTGTTATCTTTAGCGACAACAACGCTGATGAGCAGGTTATTCGGATCCGACAGATCCAGGACCACAAGGAGGATGAAGACGATGACGATATTGAATATGACGTCACACTTAAGAAACTTGAGCAACATCTTCTGGATACTTTAACACTTCGCGGTGTCAACGGTGTCGAGCGAGCGTTTATCAACGAGAAGAGCAAAGTCCGAGTCCTCGAGGACGGCTCATTATTCACCAGCAAGGTTGATCCCCTTTGCAAGGAATGGGTTCTTGAGACAAGTGGCTCTGCCCTTGGCGAGGTTTTGGCTGTTCCTGGAGTTGATGCCAGCCGCACATATTCCAACCAGTTTATTGAGGTATTTGAGGTCTTTGGTATCGAAGCCGCCCGTACGGCTGTTCTTCGCGAATTGACACAGGTGCTTGCCTTTGATGGTTCTTACGTCAATCACCGTCATTTGGCTCTCCTGGTCGACGTTATGACTGTGCGTGGTTACCTGACGCCAGTCACACGGCATGGTATCAACCGTGCTGACAACGGTGCTCTTATGCGTTGTTCTTTCGAAGAGACGGTGGAAATCTTGTTGGAGGCCGCAGCCTTTGGAGAACTGGATGATTGCCGCGGCGTGTCTGAAAACCTGATTCTGGGACAGATGGCACCTGCCGGTACTGGAGAGTTTGACATTTACCTCGACCAGAACATGCTTAACACTGTGGTTTCGAATAATGCTCGCTTTGGCGTGATGGGAGCCATCGGCGCCAAGGATGCGATCATTTCTGACGGTGCCGCCACTCAATATGACACCGGTTCACCCATGCAGGATAACGCTTATATCGGTACACCTGATCCCGAATCGAACTTCTCTCCTATCCGCCAAGCTGGTGCTGAATCCCCGGGCGGCTTTACTGAGTATCAGCCGACCGGTGGCTTTGGAGGCGGGTTCAGCCCAGCGGCCACGAGTCCCGCTGGTTATTCTCCCAGCAGTCCATTCAGTGCCAACCCCACATCTCCTGGCTATTCCCCGTCATCGAGCTACTCACCAACGTCGCCTGGTATGGCAATTACCAGCCCTCGTTTCTCCATGACGTCTCCGGGTTTCTCTCCTGCCAGCCCGTCCTTCGCACCGACATCACCTGCTTACTCGCCAACATCACCGGCGTATGGCCAGGCTTCGCCGACCTCACCGTCGTACTCTCCTACCTCGCCCGGGTTTTCGCCGACCTCGCCAAACTACAGTCCTACATCGCCAAGCTTCAGTCCAGCTTCGCCTGCATTCAGCCCAACGTCGCCAAGCTACAGCCCAACCAGTCCCGCTATTGGTGGGGCCGCTCGGCACCTGTCGCCTACTTCACCAACCTCTCCAAAGTATACACCTACATCTCCTGGGTGGTCTCCCACGAGTCCCCAGACATACTCTCCTACCTCTCCTAATTTTGCCGGCTCGCCGACATCTCCCGGAGGACCTACCTCCCCTGGTTATAGTCCGACGTCGCCGGCGTTCAGCCCGTCGTAAGTCTTGTTTTCCACGCATCCTAGGCTTTACCTTTACTAACCCTTCTCGAAGGTCCCCTCGCCAGTGAAGTTTGCTCTAATGCGTATCTTCTCTGTATCATTGTATTATCACTTCATCGAACAGCCCTCGAAAAAGAAAACATTTTGCATTCTAAGTTGCGGAATTGGTTGGTTATTTTTTCCACAATTTGGGCGTCTGTAGCCTCGTTTCTCTTTTCCTTCCTGCATGTATGTTTTCTTTCATGCTTCGGCCCAATGAGTTTATTCCTTATTCGATAGCCTCGGAGCCAGCCCGCTCAAATTGCGAACGAGGTTTGTGGGTTGGCCAAGTCTGTTTCCTTTTCTTTTGAGCACTGAAATTACCAAGCGTCTTTTAGAATTGCCCCGGACTACAAGGTTCATCACTCTAAAAGTGATTTGATCCTCTTGCATGTTGCTGTTTCCCCTGGTTTGCATGGAAGAATATGATTTTGCTACGGAGTGTATTAATGATGCGGTCACAAATCTTTCTCTTTCTCCTGTACACAGCTTTTAGTGCGAATGGGGTTATGGATGCAAAGAAAAATTATATTAAAAAAAAACATTAAGAAAAACAAAAATAGCAGCTATTATGAGACCTATTTGAGGAAGAAGATCGGTAATGCTGAGCCTTATCAGTTTGTAGGACTATTTATGTAGTACTTGGTTTTTTTGTAGTGTCGGCGAAATGAACCTCCGCGTGGACAGGTGGCCCGTTCCGCATTAGAGCTCTTAGGAAGCATGTAATGCATGATTACTTTCCTAATCTTATCCGTCTGGATCTGGCGATGCTCTTCTAACCGGGGACAGTTCGCCATGTTCTTCTCACTGATCAGTATTAACAATTCCTTGTTGACAACATGAAAAACTTGTGGTTATGGCGTTTCTTGCCTTTGGCGTTTCGTGAGTGTTGGGTGCGGAGCTCAACGTACGATGGAAGCTGACATCTCTTGACTACGATCTAGTGCTACTGCAGGCGCTTGCAGTGGAATCCAAGGCGTCCACTGATGTCGCTCACGAAGCATATCAGCATCCAGACCAGTCTCCAGGTGGGACAGAGGGTTCTGGCGCTAGACCTGGAAGCCGTGAGTGTCCCCGTTCGGCTTAAGCTGTTGTCGCTCTAAGCACTAAGATGATAACGGTCTCTCTAGAACACGTTGATACCGCCCTCAAAATTCTCCGTAACTCAAAGATCCCGATCGTCACGTCCGAGAAACCGTCTGGCATATTGGGGAACACATTACATTACTTTAAAGAGGCGTTCCGCGTTCTGTTCCTGAATGGCCCGCCATCAGATAATGTTGAGCGGCAGAAGATCCACCCAAATGTCGCAAAGGCCGTGAACGAACTTAAGATCGCTGCGCAAAAAGATCAGAACCCCGATGCGATGTTCCTCTTAGCGGAGTTGAATTTCTACGGCAACTACACGCATCCACGCGACTTCAAGCAAGCGTTCCAGTGGTATCAGAGTCTTGCTTCGACCACTGGGAACCGTACAGCACAGTATATGGTGGGATTTATGTATGCGACAGGTATCGGAGGTGGAGTTGAGCGAGACCAGGCGAAGGCGCTATTATACCATACTTTCGCCGCGGAAGGGGGCAACACGAGGTCGGAGATGACGCTCGCTTACCGAAATCATGCTGGCATTGGGATGCCCAGAAATTGCGACCATGCAACGTATTACTATAAGAAGGTTGCAGACAAGGCTATTCAGTACTTCCGATCCGGACCACCTGGGGGACATAGTATGATTCGGGAATCATACCGTTGGGCTGACGAGGAGGGCGGCGTATATGGCGAAGGTGCCAGTGTATCCAGTTCGGGACCAAACGCCATGCGTGATGCAGCACATTCAAGCACCGAAGCCAGCTTGGAAGATGTCCTCGAGTACTTGGACCTTATGTCGAGAAAGGGCGAACTTAAGGCTACCTTCAGCCTAGGCAAGATGCACTACGAAGGCTCGCGAGGTCTGCCTAGAAATCTTCGAAAGGCCATGAAGTATTTCAAACAAATCACAAAACGCTATTGGAATAAGGACGGGTCTGTAAACCCGAATCATCCACTTGGAATTGAGAAATTAGCATCGAAAGCAGCGGGCCATATAGGGATGATGTATCTCCGTGGCGAAGGTGTAGAGCAAAACTTTGCCACTGCCCTCACCTGGTTCAGGCGTGGAGTGACCAATGGAGATTCGCTCTGCCAACATCAAATGGGACTGATGTATCTCCATGGATATGGCGTGCAGCAGGACGCTTTCAGGGCTGCATCGTATTTCAAGTCCGCATCTGAGCAAGATTTCCCCGCCGCAGAAACAAGACTGGGTGCTTTGTTCTTGGACCAAGGTGATGTCCCAACGGCTACCCGGTATTTTGAGCTAGCTGCCCGCTGGGGCTGGATGGAAGCCTTCTATTACCTGGCAGAATTGTCCAATAATGGTATTGGTAGGGAACGGCATTGTGGAATGGCTGCATCATACTACAAGATGGTCGCAGAACGAGCTGAAGTGATACATTCATCATTCGATGAGGCAAACACCGCGTATGAGAATGATGACAAAGAACGGGCTCTCGTTGCTGCCATGATGGCCGCGGAGCAAGGTTATGAGCATGCGCAGTCCAACGTAGCATTCCTGCTCGATGAGCAACGCTCTTTGATGTCCTTTGATCGTATCCTACCGGGAGCCAAGAAACCTCGACCGTCTCTGCTTCGGAATGCCGCGCTGGCCCTTATCTATTGGACTCGTTCCGCCAAACAGACAAACATTGATTCCTTAGTTAAGATGGGTGACTATTACCTGGGCGGTATTGGTATTGCTGCAGATGCTGAGAAAGCTTCCACTTGCTACCATAGTGCCGCTGAAGTGCATTATAGTGCACAAGCCTATTGGAATCTTGGCTGGATGCATGAGAATGGCATCGCTGTGGAACAAGATTTTCACATGGCCAAACGATACTATGATTTAGCACTCGAGACGAGTACTGAGGCCTATCTACCCGTAAAATTGAGCTTACTGAAGCTTCGTTTACGGAGCTATTGGAACAGAATCACGAACGGCAAGATCAACTCTATCCAAGACGAAGAAGGTATGGATGCCGCAGTCAACTTTAGTAATAGGCTTTCTGCTGACCCCGTTCTCAGAATCAAAGCCCCGGCGGACATTGAAAGAATGGATTGCAGCGTTCATTGAGAACGACGAAGAGGAGGAAGCCTATCGTGCGCAGATGTACAAGCGAGCCGAGGAAGAAGATGACCTGCTATCGGGTGGTTCAGATCGACACCATATGGATGACCGTCATGAAGATGGCTACTACGACGACCTGGAGCTCGATATCGATGAAAGTGTTTTAGAAGGCCTTATTATTGTTGCCTTAGCCGCGACTTTGCTAGTGCTTGTATACATGAGACAGCAACGGAACAGACAGAGACAAGATGGGAATGTCGGCGCGAATCCAGGAGCCCCGGGGAATGGAAATGAGGACCGAGGTTTTTTCCCTCGTCCTGGAGACCCGGAGTTCGCTCAATGGGTAGCAGGCGGCGTCGGGCATTGATGAGGAGCACTCATAGTCTGTATATCGTGCATTTAATGATCAGTGGAAGATTTTACAACTGTAGACGAATCTTTTCATTGGTGATATTGTTATATAAGTATTTAAACTGATCCCAGCATAGATTAACAAACAATTTTTATATTCTAAAAAGATATATACCAAGACGTCTAAAATCTCTTTGCTAGTTGTCAAAAGAGGATTTTCTATGTTGGTGTAAATGAAGAAAAAGTAGGTCCTGGAAGTCCTTGGCGCATGGCCTTTTAGGTGGGTCACTCCGTCTTCTCTTCAACTTGCATGAAAGCCGCTTCGATACAATGTAATTACTTCAAGTATTGCAGGACATTCAAAAAAAAAAAAATGTCGTCCGCCAACCTCAATAGAAAGCGTCGTCGTGTGGAAAATGCAGCTTCGGCGCTTTCCAAACCTTTCAAGTCTCCCCTCCGCCGACCATCGCAAGTCTCGGAGACCAAGCACGAGGCATTATCCAAAGAAGAAAGTAATGTTGACACCAATGATGCGCGCACTCCATCTGCGACCTCATCTTCCCCGTCGTCTGCGCGTCCCTCGAGCTTGGAGTCTCACAAAAGAAAAGCGCAAATAAACCATCTAGCTTCATCTAAAAAACCAGTATTCTCTGACCCAGTCATTCTTGATCTTCAGAAGCAAGAAAGGGCGCTGCAGTCACGACTTGCTATCCTGCGATCTGAACTTGACACTGCACAACAAGCTCTTCAGCTCGAGTCCTCGACCAGAGATGCAGACCTCCAATCGTTGATTACGAAGTGGAGATCTGTCAGCCAGAACGCAGCCGAAGAAGCTTTCTCTGGAGCTCAGGAACGTGTGGCGCGGATGGGGGGTATGAAGGCTTGGAGGGAGCGAATGAAGAATAACAATACGCAGTGGGAGCAAGAGGAGGTGGAGACCTGGTACGGCAGCGCAGAGGCTGAAAGGGTTGATGTGGATGAAGATGAGTTGGAGGCTCGGAAGGCTGAGATGCTAAGGGGTCGCAAGGAGAGTCACGATGAGGGCCAGGGAGACAAAGAGATTGAAGAAGAAGTTAGTTTTTTATTTCTATTAAGTCTTCCTATGGGTATAAGGATACTAATCTCAACTAACAGGAATTCACCATGGACTTCATGTTGAAGACGTTGAACATTGACCTGAAGGTCATCGGATATGATAAAACTCATCAGAGATGGATTAAGGAATAGTCTCCAACTCTGGCATACACGGGTCTGGCTTTCAGCTATGAATTAACTATGCATGATCTTCGTTACCTTTATTCTATCTTTCACCATGTATAGCTCTTGTCCTTCTTACGTAGTCCAAAGGGGTTCGGAGTAATCGCGTTTTCTAGGACACAAGGAGTAATTGCAAGTTACCTACACGTACACAACGGAGAAGGGGCAATGTTGTTCATTAAGGTTGCATATACTGCAGTTCTATCGACGACATGGTTGGCACAATTTCAAATTCCCCACATAATTAAATAAATGCGGAGTAAATTCAAATGAAGTGGGGGAACCGGACTGGTTCTTATCTTTCGTTGCTATTTAATTAAATCTAATCATTCACTCACTCACTCATTCATTTACCCTGTCCAGGACAGCCATTTTTCTTTTTCATAAATCCTTCGATGACTTATGCCGCGGACTGCAAATCATTTTAAGGTTCTCGCCTGCGCTCGTTGCTTTCGATTGAAGCGAAAATGTGACCATGTTAAACCAACCTGTGGAGAATGCAGACGAAGAGGTGCAGAATGTCTACCAGCGAACTCTTACAAAAATGGAGAAAACGTAACCGTTGCTGTGGAATATCTGAAATATCTAGAGGCCAGAGTTGCTGAGTTAGAACATGGGTCGCGCACCTCAACAACATCGCTGCAAACACGAGATTTTGGTGTCCAAACCGAGCCGACTGATCTGCTTACCTGCGATTCAATGTCTGATTGCTGTCCTGATACTCATAAGGACAACGATGCCAACGCATATCCGATATTTTGCGATCTTTTGGATTTCGACTTGCAACGAAAGCCTCCGGGGTCGAATACACATTCAGTCATCACATCGCTGGGGGATTCTACAAACTCTAGAGCAAGTGATGGATTCGACTCAAGAGATACGAATGTGGATGGCTCTAAACCAACAGAGGTTGGTTCTCTACATGACCTTGCCGTAGTGGGCGGTTATTCATTCTGGCTCGAAGAAGCCTACACCAACCTATACTTCTCGATTACACACTTCATGTGGCCATTATTTGATTGCAACGCTTGGGGTTCCTGGCGTCATGATTGGAGCCTAAATGCGAAGACAGAACCATGGAAAGGATTTTTTGTGCAGATGGTGTATGCCATTGGTTCCTTGTCATACAACGTTCTCCAGCCCGGGCAGAATCATTCAAATCGCGCGGCAGAGATGTATTCCTCGGCACTGTCGTACTACCCTTATGTTATGGCAGAAGCGTCCGCTACCCTTCAGATACAAGCGTCAATTCTCATGATTATCTACTCTCTTCACTGCCCTTCTTCAGGAGAAATATCCATGTCAGTTTCTTCCATCGTCCCGTTCTGTTCAGCTACTCTGGCCGAGATTCAGAAACGCATCTCTTCTGGTCCGGAGAGCATCCTGGGAGACATGACGGGAAGGAATGCCAACCTTAATGAGCTAATGTTCATCACTTGTTATATGTTGAATGAGATCATAGTGTCCGGGTGGGAAAGACCAGTTTCTGCGGCCTATAGGATTGTTGATGATGATGTACGGATACCTGAGCGCTATTTCAACTACTTCGTATCTTCGAAGCCTTGACTAACGGGGAAGTCATAGATTCATATGTTTAGCAATGCGATATTGGACGTCTCAAACACGAACACAGCGTTGCAACACTTGTTCCGATTGCGAAAAATCCAAGCCAATATCCGAAGATACTGGGATGAGCCAACTGATATCCAAAATTCGAATGACAGGTCGTTCAAGCTGGCGCTGGATGATTGGAGGAAACACATACCTCAATACTCTGTGGAAGAAGCGCAGAGGACCTATCTCGATCCTCTGTGGATGACAAAACTATATGACTACAGTATAATCATCCTTATGCAAGGAAAGCGAAAGCATCTCATGCGCGAAGATCTTGATGACATTCTTTCGGCTGGAGTTGAGGTATGTCTTAACTATAGACGTCTGCAGGAAGAAGGTCAAGTGATGTGCTTTACATGGTCCGCGGTGCGTCTACGCTAGCAAGTATCGTCTTTGGGGAATTCTTACTAACGTATATGCTATAGCTTGTGTTTCAGTTCCGGACTGGGATTTTACTTCTCTATATATGTCAGTCCGCGAGCCTGGGACTCGATTATATACAGCAGGCTTTTGAGGCCGTATGTGCCTGTGCAGACAGCCTTACCTGTTTTGCCACCCGTTGGCCGGATGCCACTCCTTACGCTAAAGTATTTTACTTCCTTCTTTACTCTGCCTCTTGGCTCCCAGGAGATCTTCCCGAACGGCTGCGGTGTGTATGTTCTTTTAGTGAATTGGAAGCCTACTTGAAACAACTAAAGAAACAGTACTTGCACAAAGAGGTTCTCGCAATGATTGAGGATATGGTAGAACCTCCCATTTCCGATATACGCTAGCAAATACAAGAGACTATGCCTGCCTGTCGCATCCTCTTTCATGGTCTTGATGAGATAGTGAACCAGAGAGTCTGCATGATGTACATATTTTATTTGGTATATACAAATTGAGAATATGATAAATCATAGCAATAACAATTTACCAGCTGTTTGACCAGTGTTCGTATGAGCCACAATCACAACAATTGTCTGGACTAAAGCAGGGCTTGTCCATCGGGACCACGTGCCGTCACGAGCTGAGACGGGATATGTCGCAGTCAAACTCCATCCGTTGCCATCAAGCCGAGGATCAATTAGTTCACCGTTGATATAGCATACCAACTGTTTCAACTGCGCGCCGCGGCTACATTGCAGACTTCCTTTGACCTCAACATACACGGTCGAATCCTTGATGCACTTGGACTGATCTGTGATAGTGACTTTAGGCAGTTCTACCTGACCTTGAATAGAAGAGGACTGTCGGTTTTTTGTCATATGAACGATATCAGAGTCCAACCCAGGCACACGAGGCGGCACTTGGCGATAATGTGTAGATTCTTCAAATGCATACGCATAACGCAGCAGCTTGGTGTCATCGTATGCCTTTCCCACGAACGTTAAATTTATTGGCATTTTTGTGTCCTCCATCACGCCCATCGGGACAGAAACGGTGGGAATACCAAGATGACGGATCTCCCGGTTTCCATTAGAGTACTTCACACCATTTTTCCAAGCGTACAGAGAAGCCTCCGGATCCACATCTGCGTTTGCGCGGCCAATATCGCCATTAGCGGGGAAGACCACTACATCAAGGCCCTGACTGTCCATCCATCGTTCGAAGGTTTCCTTCCGTGCGTTTTCCAGGGCTTTAATAGCCTGCTCTAGGTTCGAAATATCGAAGATCGAATTGGGCTTGTTCTTCGGATATTCGACCATCTTGTGCCATCTAAGCTGGTTTGCGGCATCCGGGGTTCCGCGAAGAGAGCCGGGTGCAAGAGGAAAGATAGTCTTGGGGTCTACACAGGCAAGCGAATCAAGTCCAGGCTGGCCGTTGGCGGCTAGGAAGTCATCCCAGGAGTGAGCCACAAGTTGACATCTTTCCACTGAGTGCCAGCCTTCTGGAAGGCCTTGGACACTCACCAGTTCTCCCAGGCTTGCTCTAGCTTCGTAAGTGGTTACCATTGGAAAGTCGATCTCCACGACTGTAGCACCACACGCGTCCAAAGCGCCTTTTGTTCTTTCCCAAAGCTTGAGCACAGAAGGTCTCGTGCAAACTTTATCTGGGAGAGGGTCCTTGCCACCGATGTACATAGAAGGCACACCGATCCGTTTCCCACGAAGCGCAGAGCTCTCCTTTAGCTCATCGAACAATTGAGGCCGGATTGTGTCCACTGAGGGTAGAGGGACAATCTTCTGCTCATTCCAGAAGTCTCCTAAAGGTGTTTTGTCGACAACAGCAAGAACATCAAGGACCTTGAAGAGGTCCGACATGGTGCGAGTATGGGGTACTAAAACGTCGCATGTGGGATATAAAGGCCACACTCCACGGAGAGGCAACAGACCCTTTGATGGGGTATAGGCGATAATGGAATTATTGGAAGCAGGAGATCTGCCCGAGGACACAGTCTCAGAGCCTAAGCTGAACGCACAGAAATTTGATGTGGTAGCTGTTGCAGATCCGTTAGAAGAACCCGACGCGTATGCTGCGGTCAAGTACTCCGGATTATATGGACTCTCCGAGCGGCCGTACGAGCCTCTCTGCATGCCTCCGTATGCCATCGCAGGCATATTAGTCCTTCCCAAGAGAACCGCGCCAGATTCCCGCAGAAGCTGGACGCATGCAGCATCTTCTGTAGCGACAAGGTTCTCGAATGCGGGCGAACCGCTGGCAACTGTCATACCCTTGACTTTGATACTGTCCTTGACGAGGTAAGGGATGCCTTCGAGGGGTCGCGGGGGAAGACCAGCAGCTCGACGGGCATCAGAAGCTGCGGCTTCATCGAAAACAGCGGGGTTGAGAATAGGAATGGCACTTAGTTCAACGCCAGCTGCATCATACACACTGATACGCCGGAGATATCTAGCTACCAGATCCACACTTGTGACCCATCCTACGCTCAAGGCATGCTCGAGCTCTGAGATGGTGGCATCGACAAGACTGAACGTTTCAGCAGTCTGGTACTCATCAGCATAATATGACCTGAGTATATTGGTCGTTGACCCTTACCGGCTCCATGACAGACAAGAAGCTTACTAGCTCTGGTGATGGAAGGGTTCACCCGAGGTATATCCACGAACCGCACAAATGAAAGGAATTGATCAGAACTTAAGAGGTTTATCATGGAAACTGCTGTTATTGGGGCTAACTATTGGAGTTTCCCACTATTATATACATACAGCTTTGGGCGCGCATTTTCGAAACAAGTTCCACTTATGCTTCCCTCCGTTTCTATCGGAAGTTGGCTTCGCCCTCCGGCTACAGCAGGAGCGGACAATTGTCCGCTCTGTTAGTCAGATGGTTTAGATAGCGTGGATACGGCGAACTAAATCGAAGTTCCGGACAATAGACATTTCTGACCGAAACCTTGGCGTTTTACACTCGGCCACGTCCTGGCTTTTACTTCCACTTCTACAGATGCTTAGAATTGGGTCATCTCTACTAGTATTCTCTAAGGGGGCAGGGTAAATTATCAGTGTACACTTCAGAATTGGGTAATCAAGTAGACTCTTAGTCTTTAGATTGATTTTAAAGAGATAAACTATGATCACTAAGCGATCTATATTATACGCTATTAGGTACAATACCGGTTCTATACTCCGTTTCATCAGGTCCCTCATTGCATAAATCAATTCCATAGTTTCCGTCAGCTCTCATCCTCGTATTCTCCGTTTGTATATTGCCTTCATTAAACCAATTATCTGCTGGTGTTGGAAGCAAACTAAGAATTGGCAGTTCTCCTGACCCTATATGAGCTTTGATTCTATCACGTAGTCGTAGGTAGATCTGTTCATGCACTCGAGAGCCATCAGAGAAGATAGATGAACTTTTAACTATATCATCGTTACAGCCGAGCTGCTTTAGTTGCTCTGTACACCAATTTAGTGTAGCCTCTGGCAGATATCGATCAATATCTTAAAGAGATTATCTATCAGTATACTAAATTAAACAGCAAGCTAGTATTAGAAGCAAACAGTTACCATATCCTGTATTCTTTGTCTTTATATCCTCAAGTAATTGAGTATCTGGCTCTATACCGTGGTCTTGTATATCGTTAGACGGCCAGAAATATAGCTTCACTGGTTTCCCTGAAATACTATGGGGACGGTTTCTCTGGCGTCGGATGGAATGAAGATTCCATAGACGAGCAAATTCATGGATACTATAGCGGATAATAGGTATATAAACTGCAAGTATTGCAATTTTATCGGCATCAACATCATTTTCATAATTACCAACCGTATTTAAACCTTGAAAATATTCCTATATAGATTTGAGAATCAGTAATAATTAGATATTAAGATATTATAGAGTAGTAATACCTGCCAACGGTAGATTGAGCTTTTTGTTAACTGACCCCACCAAGCTTCAATTCTTTGATTCGCAGTGCTTGTCCCATATTGAAAACACTCATTAAATTGGATCTCAGGCTGAGCTTTCTGACTGAGCTGAGAATGTATAGCAGCCATCAGTGGTGTTTCAACTCCTCGATCTGAACGTATTATTTGAGGTAAAAGATTCTGTGTTTTAACTGTCTGAAGATACTGCTGAGCAATACTTACAGCAGTCTGATTAGAAACACCAACGTATATCCAGACAATATAACGAGAGTAGGCATCAATTACAGCATATATCTCAATGCCCCAATATTGTAATTTACAATATCCATCAACTGACCATAGATAATTCGGACCTGGGATAATATATGCCCCTTTATACTGTTGAAGATTATATAATCGACGGGTAACATCTGTAGAGTCTAACTTTCGGATAGCAGCAAATAGACGATCTCTAATAATATAATTAGTATCAATTAAAAACAGCTCTTTTACAAGATTTAACTATACCGTGCAATATTATGCCCATGCATCCGGAAGTATGTATATAGATAACCACGTCCCAGACCTTCAATATCACCTTTGTCTAACTCTTGTTGGACAGTTTCAATAAGAGCCTTATCGGCTTCTTCTCTGCTTAACAGATCGACCTTTTTTAATCCCATCTTTCGACGTAGAAAAATGAGATTGTGGGGGGTAATAGAATAACCCTCTTTCTCCAAAGCATCAAGAATATCTTTGTCAGAGAAACAGAAGTTATAGTATAATCCAGCAATATAGATACGGAGTTTAGGAGTATCCACCAAAGGAGTACGCCGACTTATTCCCCATTCAATAAGGCGTCGTCGGATCGTTTTTTCAGCTACTTTTACCTGATGGGTTAATAAGAGATACTCTGCGATAGATTCTGCAGATATATGATTTTGAAACTGAGAAATAATAGTTTCTTTATAGCGGGACAGATCAATAGCTGAAGGCATTCTGAATATAGGTCTTTGATAGAGGTAATGATAGATTGTAATAATAAATTGAGAAGCTGAGATTGTTGTCACACGGTTTTTTGATTATATAATAATGAGATCGAGTTATGATTGGACAGTGAGACTATCCCCCAATCAGAACAGAATTCAGTAAATTTAGATACAGAATGCAATCATATAAACAAATAAATCAAAACTTTTGTTATATATATTCAATATATAGAGCTCAGTAATATACCATGGCCCAAAGTATAATCAACAATTTAACATCGACTAGCTCTATAGCGTGTTCGAGTAGTCAGACCATCGGTTTCTTCTCCAACTTGGTTCTCTCCTTGTAGTTCATCTGCCTGTGATTTATCTGCCTGTGGTTTATCTACCTGTCTTATCTGCCTTTCCAGCCTTCTAGTCCTTGAGCTTTGTAGTTCAGCGTCTTCTTTATTTAAACGCTTTGTTGGAATTGATGACAACCCTCGAATAGATAATAACCGGTTGGATAGATTAGAAAAAGGATTAGGACTGCCGAAGGAGACTGAGATAGTATAATATCTATTAAAAAGATCTGATAGAGTAAATTTAATACAATCTGAGATAGACAGGCTATCTGAGATCGATATCGTTAGTTCAATTAGAGAATTCTCGCGAGTTAATATATTAGGCACACCTGATTCTGTTTTGATAGTCGGCTCATCGGGCACAATAATTGGTAACAGTTGCTGAGAAGATACTGGGGTTATATATCTTAACTACCCTAGTAACCCTATACAAAGATAGACTTTCTATTTACCTAAATCTCTATTGGGTCTGAAATAATTCCTTAGAATATTTTCAAGAAATTTACTATAGGCATCACCCACAAGACATACAGATTCGCCTTTTGGCTTCCTGTAAGAAGCAACAAAAATATTATCAGGTTAATAATTCTGTATATATTGTTCCACTCAGCCTGCATCCCTGCTGTGCCCCAGTTAAGAAAGCCTTACTTATTGTCGACAAATGAAACACGCTACCTACTAACTGTAAAAGTTCGGGATCCTCTGGGGTAGGGTGCTGGCTATATACAGCAGTGCCAGTATTGGGTTATATCTTATTTATATATCTCGGAGTGCAGATACCCCGGCGTATATAACCAGCCATTCTTGTGGTCTATTGTAAATCGGGGGTCGGAAATAGATTGACAGATATAGATCTATTACGGTACTTATTAAGTTATTATTATTAAGCTCTATAATCTTACAAGGCGATTTGTCTGTTTCTGAAAAGTTTGGATTGGCTTGACCGCAATGTCTACAGGATTTTTCAGAGGGAGACATATTCTGATTATACTTATAGTTCACTTCTCTTGTATAGTAAGGTGTTATCCAGTGTCTAGGTATTCTGATCGGAATAAAGTAATTGAAAGAGATAAATCAGAGATTTGAAGTATTAGAAAGAGGGAAAGAGAACAAGACAGAAGAAATTAGATTATAATCAATTTTAAATATAATTTTTTGTATGTATATATATACGTATATATAGATTTAACTTTGAGAACTCGGTTGTCCAAATATTTGAACACTGATATATAGAGCCTGAACCCCACTTTTTATAGGGTTATAGTCTTGTAGGTCTTTCTATAGCCTCATATACAGTCCTATATATTTATACATAATCCTACAAGATCGTACATTACCCTACAACCTCGCTGACCAATAAGAAAATTGAATTTTATATGTACAGCGTAGCTTGTGTAGGTGGATTGTAAGTGAAGTGCCAGTGACTACTAGGTAACTCAGCCAACCAGAAACAAGTAAATTGTAGATACAGATTTCTCTGTTTATATTTTTGTATTTTTCCATTCTCTTCTGTTTACTAGATATTCAGATATATTTCTTGCAATAACTTACTAACCAACTACTATTTAAGTACTTGGGCACCCTGTCATTATTATCCTGAACAAGGCAGATATTGAAAGACTTGCCTTTATTATTTCTCAATATCAGCTTTGCTCGGGGCAAATAAGAAATCAATTACCGTAAGCCTAAGCAATTCCTATTACTCTGTTAATTTAGATATTTTGAGCTTTAACTAATTTATATATAAGAAATAGATCTCCAGAGCCTTCTCCAGCCCTATTAAAATTAGAGTTATATACTGAGAATAATAACGAGAAATTATTATTTATTAATAATAAGGAAAGTGGCAATAACAAGGAAGATAGTAATTTAGGTCTCCCACTGAAAACTTTTATTCCCCGAGACTCCTGCGCCCTGTCCAGAGCAGTCAGCTCCATACACTTCTCCTATACAGAAAACTGTTGAGGAGACCCCTGCTACTACTTCCTCCCAAGGTCCATCTACGTTGTACCATATGTTTCTGGATGCGCAGACAGCAAATCAGCTATACTTACCTTAGGACTAGATTTTATAGGGAAAGTCAAAAGCACCATACACACCTGCTGTTACAGAGAAGTGGTAGTCAATTTCGCAGGAGAAACTTGCTCAACTCAAGTCAGATAAACAAAGTGATCAAGGCTATATCAGTCGTATCATAAAAACTGAACTCGGGGAGCAGCTCTATGGGGAGGCCCGGTATACTGCCTATAGTGTCTATAGTATTGAATACTGGGTCTACTCTAGAGAAGAATCTCAGCAAGTGATATTTCCCGGTAATTCTTGTATACACTGCTGTTGGGCCTCCTATAAAGAGAGATATAGTCTATCAAAATAGAAGAAATATATAAAGATTACTGAGCCGCCTACCTGTCCCTATCGGCAGTTATTATCTAAAGAGGCCAGTCCTTCTTCCCCTGGAGCCAGTAGAGTAAGTGGTATTTCGGTCTAAGTCTTTATCAGATTCTGACTATTATATTGATAGAGTAATAAATAATAATTGTGATTTTACAAATTGTATACTATTATCTATATCTTAATCTGATTGAGAGAAAGATACAAGTATATAGAATATCTCAAGAATATCTATCTGATTTCTAACTATAATAAACTTTGTTATCTATATTTCGAGCTTACCTATAACAATTAGTAGGCCCTGTCTAAAAGAGTCATATATATCTTGTAAGGGTATAGACACAAGTTTTTCCAGAAATAATAAACTATAATCAGATAGTTTTACCGGGATAATTACACCCGATAGAGATAAGAAGGAAGGATACTAAAGTCGGACTCTGTGTCTCTATGTGGTAGTATCTGGGTAATACAAGCTTATATTGTAGCTAGAGTAGAGACACGTATTATTGAAGCTATTTAGATAGTGTGTACCAGAGCTCTGAATCTTATAAATTGTCTGTGAGATTGTTATATCTATTTCTCAGTCATTATATTGCTGTGTTACTGATCTATTCTACTACCAGGATCCGGTTTATTCTACTATATTCCGCCCACTGCATCGCCCATTGCACTGTCGTATTGCCTGCCCGCTGAGCTCAACGCATTGCATCGCCCATTGCGTCGCCGTGTTGCGTCGTCCTGGTCCGGAGCCTTCTGCAGCGTTCTGCCCATTGCATCGCCATTGCATCGTCGATTGCATTGTGTTGTATCGTCCTGACCTAGCTGCTTTCAGACTAGCTCAGTTCCAAAATGAAGGCATATGAAGGGCTGCTCGCTCCCATCTGCTTCCTCCTTTCTTTCTATCTCTGACTGCCTGCTACTGCTCCAGTGCCAGTGCTAGCTCCTACTCCTGCTGCTCCTACTTCTGCTCCTCTATCTGTTTCAACCATCCTGCCACCATGCCCGCGATGCCCGCGATGCCGGGGTTTGTTAAAAAGACCACTTGTTTCCTGGGGCTCCTGCCCGGCCTTTTGGCCGATGTCGATAATGTTCTCGTCAACGTGCTGAAGATTGTCACCGCTGTCAGAGATATCTTGAAGGTCGTCAAAGATATCTCTGTGATCGTCAGAGAGATAAGGAATACTTGGGCTACTCAATGGGGCCTTCCAGTGAGTCCTAAGCCCCCCTTTACTACTATATTGATATAGTATACTAACTTGACTTCTAGATTCAAAGATATTCTGCCTTTCAGTGTTGCTTTGTTTTACTTTCTACTATCGGTTTCCGAGTAAGTACTTACCCTGGATATATACATACTACACAAAGCTAATATCTACTTAGGAGACGGTGGTTAGGGGGTCTGGTTGGGGTTCAGGGCATTTTCTTGAAGTAATAGTTGATAAAATCGAGTTTCCTATACTACGTGACACTGTAAATCTCTAGGCTCTGATTGGCCAGCTAGCGCGTAGCATCGCGTAGGATACTATTATATAAGCCGAAAAACGGCAAGGTGCGTTGGTGTTTGTAAACTTGGTAATATTTTACATTGTCCGGAACTTCGATTTAGTCCGTAGTGGGGAAAAGCGAAGAGGTGCGTGCGCCAAGTCTCAGTATGAACTTATCAGTGAGTCTCCGCATCTTATCTACAGATAAGGTTAGTTGTTAGTGGCCTAGCGAGCGGGGAAGGTTCAGGGTTAAGGATAACATGCAGGATCTTAACATTGAAAGCGCAAAGCTTCACAGCCCTAAAAAGGAAAGTCCTTCACAGCCGAGGTCACTAGGCTATCTCTCGCTATCTCCTCTCAACCATTGGTTTGCTTCTTTCCAGGCAGTGGGTCTGCTTTGCAACCATGCATTAAGTCCCATGCGGGGATATACGGTCAACCATTCGATAAGCCAGTTGAGATGAGCGCCAAGTGATAACATACGTTGTCTTTTATCAGTTGCAATCCTCTGAGCCCAATTGATTCACAGATATAAATCAGCCCGAAGAAACACCCCAAGCTATGAAAGACAAATCCGACAACGACTTCAGTGCTATTGATCGACGTGGACTGCTTTACTCATCTTTGCCCTTATGATTGACGCCACTAATGACACGAAAGCTGATGTGCGGAGCTCCGCCAGTGTTGAAAAACATGGTGACCTTATATCGGGTGAAATCCGCGACATAGGAGCGGATCTCTATGCTGAAGTCGGTCAACTATCGCCTGAAGAGCTCGAACGCGAAGGCGCTGAAGTGCGCAAGTTCCTAGACTGGCGAATTTTACCCATGGTAGCTTTGCTCACTTAAGATGCCGCTTAATGTCTTCACAATCTTCTGACAAGCTCCGTATTTAGTTATATGTGACATATGTTATCCAATATTTAGGTGAGTATATCGTCATACGTTACTCTAGTGCCAACCTGACTAAGTTGTGCTGAATAGACAAACTATCACTCAATTATGCCTCCGCTTATTCGTTCATACCAGACCTCGGCTTAGAGGGCCAAAGGTACTCGTGGGTGGCAGCGATATTCAATTTCGGATATCTTTTTTGGGCTATTGTGCGTGCGATCAATGTTGGGCTATTAAAATGAGAAGGCTAATAAACCGGATCTAGCCATCCAATTTGATGATCCAACGTTTGCCACTCGCGAAGTACATGGGAACCGTTCTAATTATCTGGGCTGGCCTTGTCATTGCACATATTGGAGCCAAAAACTACGCGGGGATACTGGTACTCAGATTTCTGCTGGGTATGGCGGAGGCTGGCGTCAGCCCGTGCAGTAAGTATATACCGACTAGGGACTATCGCATATGCAATTGTCTAATGACAAGTAGTGATGAACTTCACCTCGATGTTCTACAAACGAGCCGAGCAGCCTCTCCGGATGGCCATCTGGCTCTCTGGGAATGGAATGGCAACGATGGTCGGCGCTCTCTTGGGATTTGGACTAGGCCATTCACACAATACTAGCCTGCGGAGCTGGCAGCTGATCTTCTTGACGATTGGATTACTCAACTTCGTTACCGGATGCTTCTTTCTCTGGCTCATGCCCGACTCCCCGAGTACCGCGAAATTCCTGTCCCACAGACAGCGCGTTGTGGCAGTTCACAGAGTTTCGGAGAATATGATCGGGGTCAAGACTAAGGAAATCAAGCTGCATCAAGCATTGGAGATTTTTCACGACGTCAAAGTGCTCTGCTGTATCGGCATCGGCATCGCTTGCGGCGTTATTAATGGCGGTGTATCCAATTTCTCATCATCTTTGATCAAAGGGTATGGGTTCAGTGGCATTTATGCAACGCTCTTGCAACTGCCAACTGGAGCTATCGAAGCTGTGATAGTCCCTATTTGTGGCTTAATATCGACATACGTGCGGGACTCGCGCTGTATAGTGTTGGCTGTCGTGTGTTTGATTCCATTCGGTGGCCTCCTCGGCATTCGTTTCACGGACCTCGACCATCGCTGGACATTGGTAGGCTGTACATGGCTTCAATACATCATCGGTGCTCCTGTCATTATATCCTGGAACCTTCTCTCCACCAATGTGGCCGGCCATACAAAACGCTCCTTCGCCAACGGGCTCTGGTTCACGGTATACGCGAGCGGAAACGTTGCGGGGGCCAACATCTTCTTTGCTCGCGAAGCTCCACGGTATTATTCGGCATTGACTGGCCTTCTTGTCTGCTACGCGGGGATGATTGTTCTGTGTGCTGTTGGGTATATGGCCATGAAGTGGGAAAATCTGCGGAGAGATCGCAGTATGTCATCAGAGGAAGGTGCAGAACGTCGCGAGGAAGCTGCTGTTCTCGATGGCTTTAAGGATATGACCGACATGGAGTCTAAGCACTTCAGATATGCGCTCTGATTAGGAATAATGAGCATTACAGTATATAGTGGCTTCTAATGATGTGATGGTTTCTTGTGCATTATTTTCAACATCAGTTTTCCTTTCGTATCGATGCTAGGTAAGAAAATTTAGAACGAAGACGTAATACTGAACTTGCCCAAGTCATGCTCCTCTCCTTTCCCTAGACTTGTGACTCGAGTGTCAGCTTACTATCATTTGATAGATACTTACCCCATTCTACTATCTTATAGCTATCGCAAGAGTCAAACATCTCATACATATCATCCCGCAGGAACAGACACAAACATGGCGCAATAACGATAGCAACCTGATTCTAAAGTAATCCTTCTCCCAGGTCAGGTATCCAAGCGACATGACTTTCCTTCCCCAGAGCCATTCTCAAGGCGCTGTACATAAAGTGCTGGGTAATGAGTCATTTTGTGCTCTTCGTAGACATTTACATTCTTCATTTCGGAAGATATATGTTGTATGATAATGATATTTGGGTCTTCATCGGAATATCTTATAGGGGTAGAAAACGAATCAATAATTCCCGTTAGTAGTACCCGAGTATTCCATATCTCGATCGATGTATCATTTTGGTATTGTCCTGAGTATGGGGTTGTAAATTGCGAAGGATAAGCAATGCTTAGGCATAGCTACCCTTAGATGATTCGATTATGATGGTCTTTGTTCGGGTATTCTCTTGTCTTTTCCTGGGGATATAGCCTGTTGCCATGGGTACCCTGAGAAGGAGTCTAGGGTTTAGTGGAAGAGGAGATTGTGGGTGGGGGTTGGTTTAATAGATCGAGGGGGAGTAACAGGAATTATTGGATTGTACTTTCCTGGTGGGGAGAGTGTTTTAACTGTATTTGACACGGAGGGTGACGGGTCCACGCTCCGTGTCCATGATGCCCTTTTTGGCTTAATATACTCTTTCATCTTTTGTGGGGAGTTAATGTGGGGGCGGGGATATTTTTTAATGGTTTTTGTGACAAGGACTTGTTGATGGGGATTTCTTTAGGTGTGTATTATTCCTCAAGTTGTTTATATCTTTTAAAGTAGGAGCGTACTGCATGAATACTAAGATGCCTACAGGTGAACAAGGGACTCAGTGGTTTAGTCTGCATGTTATATTTATTTATTCAACTATGGACCTCCATACTAAGCCTTCTCGATGTATTGGTTAAATACTTCACCAATAGCTTTGGCGCTTTGTTTGGGGATTCTCTTCTGGTTATTCTCGTAGTCGACGTAAGTCACCCCGAATCGTGTCTCGTAGCCCTCGGCCCATTCGAAGTTACTGCAATAATTATTAGCTATTGGTTGGACTTGCGAGACATCTACTGCGCTGGTTTTCTCGAGCGGAGGGACTTACTCCATCAAACTCCATGCCATGTAGGCCCTGACATTGACCCCATCCAGAGTGTAGGCATCCGCCATAGCGCCAATGTAATCCCGGAAATACTGCGTCCGGAATTCGTCCTGGAGTAGCTGGTCCAGCGGCAAGTCGTTCTCGCCCTTCAAACTGGTGCCGTTCTCCGTCACGTAGATCTTGGGGTAATTGTATCGCTCACTGAGCCATTTCAACAGCTTCCGGAACCCTATCGCGGAGGGTCGCAGCCAGGGAGACTGCGTCTCGGGTCCGACCCATTCACCCTTCTTATTTTGCAACAGAATCTCCAGGTTGCCGGCGGTGTCATTGGGATCCGCTTCGCTAGTCTTAGCTTTGATGAAGTTGGCACAGTAATGGTTCATGCCATAGAAGTCGTTACTACCATGGACGAGCGCAATGTCCTCTGGCGTCCACTTCGGCAGTCGGTCACCCAACTGCTTCACCATGCTGTCTGGATACTTCCCGTGATAGATGGGGTCCGCGAACCAGGAAATTGCGAACTCAATTTTTCTATCACAAGCTTCAACGTCTGCCGGGTTCTCGGGATCCCATGGCTCGGCCCAATCGCCTAGAAGAAACGTTAGACATCTTAGTACATGTGCTCAGATGGATAAATACCGACCATTAAGAGTGATGCCAATCTCTCCACCATCGCTTGCCTTGAACTCATCTCGGTAGATCTTCACTGCTGCCCCATGGGCAACAAGAAGACTGTGACCCACGATCCAACACTCCCGGGAACTATCACCAACCGGACTCTTGGACCGGTCACTTGTTCTCCCTGGGGCAAACTGACCGACGTTATACCCAAGCACACTGCTACACCATGGCTCGTTGAACGTGATCCAATGTTTGACTTTCGAGCCGAAAGCCTTGAAAACTATGCGTGCGTAGTGGGCAAAGTCTGCGACGAACTCTTCCTTGTTGAGAAGACCACCATAGCGTTTATCGAGCTCATCGGGAAGATCCCAGTGAAACAAAGTGACGAGAGGAGTGATACCAGCAGCATGCAGGTCGTCGACGAGCTTTATATAATATTGCAAGCCTTTCTCATTGACAGGGTCGTTTCGGCCACCGAGTGGAATAATGCGAGACCTAAGATGAATCCATAAGCGGATGAGGAGCATACGTAGAGATTGGAACGGCTTTTTACCAAGAGAGTGAGAAGCGGTATGCCTTGGCACCGCAATTCTTGAGCAAGGCAATATCCTCGTGTGTGCGATGGTATGAGTCGCAAGCCACATCACCATTGGCGCCTCCGGCAATTTTGCCGGGGATCTTGCAAAATGTATCCCAGATGGATGGACCTCGTCCGTCCTCGTTTACGGCTCCTTCAATCTGGTAACTGTTCAAAATTGAACATCAGGTATTAGTCAATGTTAAATAGCTTGTCGATGATTGTACGGGGACAGAATCGAGTCACCTCGCGGTTGCGAATCCCCATAGGAAGTCGGGTGGAAGAGTCGATGTTGAAGTGGAACCCATACTGATGGTTACTTTTATACTTGTAATAAGTGTTTTGGACACCCAGGATCTCTCTCTCTCGTTAAGTTGTCCCAACGAACATTTGAAGGGAGTGAGGGATGTGTTTAAATATATTGTCCACCCACACTAGTATATTTCTGGAGAATAACCAAGTATGCCACAGTGGGCAGAGTTAAGGAGGGGGAAAGCGGGGATGTTGAAAAGTACATTTAATACATTTCGTTGGCAGTTTCCGGATAATATCATGTAATTAAAGAAGAAAGTAAAAACCAAAGCGGCTCCACGGACCGTATCCCGAGGGCCTGGAATAGGTATAGTCGAAACTACAAGAAGTAATCAAATCCTCATTTGATTCGACGTACTAATACTAAATAGTAAAAACAAACAAAACACCATGGTTAAATCATGCAATAATACCAAACACCAAATGCAATGTAATGTAATCCTTGTCTCGCAACTCCTCGCTTGATCATAATCCATACCTCGTTACCTATATCAATCATGTCATGAAGGTTAGTGAGCATGCAAAGGGTATGAGGGAAATCCCCCCCCCAAAACCGCTATTTCTTAGGCACCGACTTGTAGCTCGAAGCGGCGGTGTAACCCAATGGTATCACGACATTTCCATCCCTTCCATTTCCTCACCATCGAGGTCATCGACATCGTCAGCCATGGTGCCGCCGAGAGCCAGCTGTGACCGCTTAGGATCTCTGCCGGAGCCAAATCCCTCTGCGGAAAGCGCTCCAACCATCTCCAATTCAGGTCCTGCAACAACGCGGCCTTCCATGTCAACCACCTCACATAATTCAATCAAACTCTGCCTGCTCAGAGACTTGAAGCCATCAGTGCGCACTACTCGGCCCCAGTTGCTGAGACAGAACTGGGCTGCACGGCGCATCAGCCATTCTTCATTCGTCCGGCCGGCTCGCTCCCAGATGATGGCTGCATTCTCGACGTCCAGCTCGCGGCTTAACCGGTTAACACATAACACTCGTAACTTAGGCATGTCGTACAGGTTGGCCATAACGAGCATGCCCGCCACATCGACAATGTCAGAACAATATTCTGGGTGACCTGAGATGCTATCAGTATACAGGTAGTAGACGAATGCACGAACGACCGAGTAAGGCTCGGGAATATGCATCTTCTTCGAATGATATTCGACCATTTGAGCAGAATACAGCCTTTTGAAATGGGGCCATCTTAGTTGTAATATAATCCGATGCACATGGATGGGTGGGGAAGTGGTCGCGTTAGGAGGTAGAAACGCAGGCTGAGCTTGGGAAGAAGCATCCTCTCCAAGCTCATCTTCGTTTACCTGATCGTCTGCGTTGGCCGTGATAATAAAGTCGGCACCACTACCTGTCTCAGGCGCTTGATCAAAGACCGCCGACAGGTCCGCACCAAGCCCAGATAAGGGCGATACCCCCGATCGCTCCGAAAGTAGTGCTCTGCCTTGGTCGGGCGAGGCGGCCGTTATCTCATTGCCAAGTAAGCCGTACCTTTCCAGGTCAATACAGAGAACTTCGCTCATGTGGTTCTCATCAGCGGTTCCAGGAGTGGCGCCGGAATCCGAACTGCTGCCTAATAGCCACGCCTTGGTGCCGCTCGCATCGACTGTACAGTAATGCCATCTATAACCCGATTTGAATATTTCCTGTCCATCGGCTAGTCTCTGCCAGCGTAGCGAGTCAAGTTCCAACGACGACAGATTACAGTCAAAAATACGCACGGTCTCCGATGGAGTGATCAAGTCGAGCAGAACACCAGACGCATAGGCTTGGAAGTGGGTACCAGAGAACAGCGCAGGTACGTGAGGACCGGATTTGAACTGAAGACACGAGATGGCACCTGGAGCGATCGGCTTCCGTCGATTTGAATTGCGAACTTGGACACTCCCCGAGTTTGCTGCGTAGCTACCGGACCGTCCCGAGAGCTGTTGTGTTGGACTATTGAACATTGTGTCTGGGCTATGAGTACTCCTGCCGATTGTCGCGGGGGTGTCTACGGTACCTTGCGATGTTGTCATTCCAAGAGATTGGATGTCTTTGAGATCAAGCCACCAGATATCCGTCGTACGTTCCATACCCGGGTCAAGGCCTCCAAAAGTCCACAAGCGACCGCCCCAAACCCAGGCCGTATGATCGAAGCGGGCCGTAAATCTCCAGGTCCGAGACCATGTCCACGTTTTCAGATCGAGATAAGACAAGTCATCAAGGATTTTGTTATCTCCAGTTACACCTCCTAGGACAAAAAGCTTGTCATCGTAAATGACGGCAGCATGGCGGGCCCTTCCTCGCGGTATTGGTCCACGGATTTCCGGTTGAGTCCAAGTGGAAGTGGTGATATCGAGAATGACCACATCGGAAAGATATTCGCGATGCTCATTCTCTCCGCCGAAGACGATCAATTTAGTCCCTTGATAGAGAGTGGCAGTATGTCCTAGTCATTTAGCACGGCTCAGTTAGTTCGATTCTCCATAAATAGCTGGATGCTGATGTAGTCAGGTTCTAAATACCCATGCGAACTCCTGGGATATCGCCATAGTTGTCCACAAGTTCCCAGCGAAGATCTTTAAGGTTCAGCCTCAGAACGTGGTTGTACACTAGTGCATTGATATGATTAGTTAGTATAAGATGCGACTGATGCATATCAGATGATAGGGTCTTTTATAAACCTTCATCAGTATACTGATCGAACCCGCCAAAGGCGTAGATCTGATCGTTGTTGCAATACGTCACAGATGCATTGACCAGACATGCTGGAATATGACCTTGAGCCTTTTTTATGCTTGGGCGGTAGTCAGTGCTGCCGCGGCGACCGCCAGCTACACTAGGGGGCATGAGGAATGCGTGGTGCGGTGTGTGATGATCAGAGGACAGGGAAGTCATCGGAAATGAGACTCTAGGCGCCCCGGTCCAGGGTTGTGGGTCTCCGTGGGACTGCGTGAACGCCGCGGATGCAAAGGAAGCGTTACTATTCCGAGGAGTGGAGAGCGGTTGCCGCGCCATCAGAGCCACCCAAGAAAGGAGAGAGTTGTGGCACCGCTCCACAGATGTGAGAAAGAGCGTGTAATGGAGTTCTTGACTGTGTTCGAATTCAAACAATAAGACCTTTGTTACATGTTATACCAAATAATGCCAAGGAGTACAAAAAGACTTGACATCGGGATGAGAGAATGTGACTAAAAATTCTAAAAAAGAAAAAAAGGTGGAAAAAGTGAAAGCCGCCAAGACGATCGTCACGAGAGCCGCATGGCAGACGCGACTAGCCGGACTAGGCTTAGTGCACCCGTACCTCAGGTAACCGTTGCCATGGGAGAAAAGAACTATACGCTCTATTTATTCCCCTATCCCTCAAGTCTTCCAATTCAGATTCCTTCTTCTCCTCCCATCTTCTTCGGTTTCCTTGCTATCTCATATTTATTGCATAGTATATTGCTCATACTTGCTGTTTTTCAGTACTTTACTGTACATCTTAAGCCATAATCCCGGCTGAAGGTCATTGTATGACCGCATTGCCTTGACCTTACTTCTTCAGGGTTACTTCTTCGGTGCCCCGGTGGCATAATCCTATTCGAATATGGCTACTCCTACGGTGTCGACCCCGGTCAAAACTCACCATGGAATCTTCTCTTCAAAGACCGCTGGAGGTCGCATGCCTCTCACACCTTCTCCACGCATGCGAGCGGGAAGCATGACATCGAATCACTCTTCACCATTCACTCCTCCTCGTCAGCAGGAAGGCGCCAAGGACCATGGAAAGTCTGTCTACGGAGGGAACTTGTCCTCATACTTTGCCAAGTCCATGTCCAGGGCAACCCGGAACTACCGCGAGTCTCCCAAGTCTAACATTGCTCGGACTCGCAAGTCGCCTAAGCACCTAGAGATGGGTGTCTCTGAGTGGGCTTTAGCCGGTACTGGTCCCTCATCATCACAGTCTCCGACATCCAAGGAGCGAGTCCGGAAAGAGGTCCCGACACGTACGACGAGATCTGGGAAGACCACTGTTCGCATTGCACACAATGCTGGTGACAGATTCATTCCCAACCGGACCGCCAGTGAGGGACTGGCAACTGCTGGCACTGCAAAGCCCGAGGAGAGTCAACGATCCAAGTCTAATGGCAATGAGGGCTCTACCGTCCTTGCAAGTGCCGCGAGCGCGTTCGACATCGGTGGTCGAGGAACGGAAGACGATATCACCGCGGCTCTTGAGAACCTCGGCCTCGAGGATAGCGAGACTTCCTCAACATCATCGTCTTCATCGTATACCAGACCCGCCCCAGATGCTGTTGCCTACGAATCGTCGTTGGCTGATGCGTGCGGTGTAAACCTGAATACTCGAATTCTTGCTTTCAAGCCACCGCCTCCGGAATCGTCCAAGCCAATTGACTTGCGTGCTCAGTACAATCGTCCTCTCAGGCCTGCTAAGTCTAAGTCTGCACAGTTTCGCAGAAGGGTTCAAACTGCCCCCGAGCGTGTTCTGGATGCACCTGGACTTCTGGATGACTACTATCTTAATCTCCTGGATTGGAGCTCTGGTAACCAGGTTGCCATCGGCCTTGAGCGTAATGTTTACGTGTGGTCGGCAGATACAGGATCCGTTAGCTGCTTACTGGAGTCATCTCCGGATACTTATATCAGTAGTGTCAAGTGGAGTGGCGATGGGGCCTATGTTGGTGTGGGCTTGGGCACCGGCGAGGTTCAGATCTGGGATGTCGAGGAGGGTACTAAGCTGCGAAGTATGTTCGGCCATGACTCTCGTGTTGGTGTCATGGGCTGGTCTAAGCACACCTTGTCTACCGGCGCTCGCAGCGGTCTGGTGTTCAACCACGATGTCCGCATCGCTCAGCACAAGGTAGCCGAGCTTGTATCTCATACCTCTGAAGTCTGTGGCCTCGAGTGGAGACCCGATGGTGCTCAGCTGGCTACCGGCGGCAATGACAACTTGGTGAACATCTGGGATGCTCGGTCTCTCAGTGCACCCAAGTTCACCAAGACCAACCACCGGGCAGCCGTTAAAGCTCTCAGCTGGTGTCCTTGGCAACTGAATTTGCTTGCCACCGGTGGTGGATCATACGATCGCCATATTCACTTCTGGAACACCACGACAGGTGCCCGTACCAACAGCATTGATACGGGTTCCCAGGTCACCAGCCTGCGGTGGAGCAACCACTACCGGGAGATTGTTAGCTCCAGTGGTTTTCCCGATAACTCTCTGAGCATCTGGAGTTACCCCACTCTGGTCCGCAACATTGAGATCCCGGCACACGAGACTCGTGTTCTGCACAGTTGTTTGAGTCCTGATGGTCAACTTCTAGCCACCGCGGCAGCGGACGAGAGCTTGAAGTTCTGGAAGGTCTTTGAACGCAAACCAGGAACTAGTGCATCGGCATCGCGTGAGGGCGGAGTTGGAAGCAAGGCTCAAATGACCAAGTCCATGACCATCCGCTAATTTTGTCACGTTCTTCTCTTGTATATCTGTTTCGGTTTTCATTGGGTTGGGTATATCACTGGGGAGTTGGATCACACTTGGTTGGCGTTACTTAGTTGGAGGAGTACTGTATTTAGGCGAGACGGTATATTTGGGTTAAGCTTCTTGTATAGCACATTCTTAGAATTGATGACAAACTATCATTTAATACCCTCTTAACATTGGACGATTGGTTGATTGTAGGACAGACGGTCAATCGATAGGGACAGCTTTAGGTACTACTTAGTACTTACGATAAACGCAAAAATCGTGACTCCGTCCTTGAAAGATAAGCTCCAAAAGGGCCGATGGCGCTAACTTAGTGAGGGTGCGGGTGGTGACTAAGCAGGACGAGGACGGATTTCGCCCGAAGACTACGACTTTCACCTCATTCAATTCCCTCTCAGGCACGCCTGTCCCTGCGCTCCTTGCCAACAACCTTCGTTTTCCTCGGCGGTTTGACGAAAGATCTTAGGTATCACATAGCTAGGTCGCATACGATTGTCGGTCAGGTCCTGAGCTATCGAAGCAGGTCCGAACTTGACTGTTGGAGGTTACCGTCGCATTAGTCCGTGGCAACCGACCGCTGCGACGGAAACACCCTGCCTTGGTGATAAGCCAACGACAACACATCCACCTTACCCGCCGGACGTGATAGGCCCGCACGTTTGCTTTTTCGTCGAGAAAGGAGAGACCGTGTTGATTACCTGATTTGACAAGGCTTGTCTACGAAGTTCTGTCCCAGCGACTATGTCCAATCAGCAGGTGGTGAGTGCTATCTGACAGAGCCCTACCTTGCCTGAGCTGGGAGACCCTAGAAAGGATTAGCAGATAATTTCTCTTTTCGTTGGCTAGCTTCCCCCAGCGAGGGTCTGTATCTGTAAAAGGATATTGGCTTATACCAAATGATTGATAGGGCACGGTGTTCGATCGTGTCATCCAAGAAGTCTGCGATGGTTCTCAGGTAGATTTCGAGGAGAGCGGAGTGGACCAGCAGACATTGCTAGATTTGAGGAAGGTGAGTTAGACAGAAATTCGATAATCTGAGATGTTTTTGATGGATTTCCTGGTGAAAATGCCAACGAAGGGGCAACCGATGTTGGCTTCGATGGCCCTCGGCCAAACGCGGGGTCCGAGAGTTGCGGGAGGCGGCAAAGCCTCTGGGGGAGCGCCAGCCTTTTGAGTCCCTTTATACTCCTCCCCTTTTGCCCGCGGGAGCCTAAGGCTGCCAAGCCCTCCCTCATCGTCCGTCTCATCTATCTGAGGATCAATATAGTTCGGGTTTACCCTTTGTCTACCTTCGCCTCATTTCACATGGGCTTATTTATACTTTATTTTTTTTTTCTTATTTCCTCACTCAACTCAGAAGCTTTCTGTTCCCTGTTCAACGATCTAACTAAATCTTTAACTTCGACAGAGCTGGCAGAAAAAACTCTCGTCCCTGGGTGTCGCTCATTTCCCTTGGGACCCTCCACCACCTCAACCAGCCCCTCCTCAGCCTCAGAACCAGAATCAAATCCTTCCCCCTAATGCGACTGTACCCTCTAATGCTCCTCGACCCGCTCCTCCTCAAACCCCTCAACAACATGTTCCCCCTCCGCAGTCAATGCCTCAGTCAATGCCTGGCACCGCGCCTCCGTTACAAGTCCCCACACCGGTCGGGGCAGCACCTAATGCCATGGGCCAAGCGCCACACATCAAGACGGAGCCTGGAATGAATGGCCAAACCAGCTTGCCCCCTATGAGTAACATGATACCTACGAACACTCCAAATGCCCAGTCGGCGCGAGAACGTGCTGCCAACATGTTACACCAGAGATACGGCGCGGCCGCTGCCAACTCGGTCAGTCAGTTGCAAGCCCAGTCGCAAGCTGCCATGGCAATGCCAGGACAGGCCCGTCCCCCAAATTTACCGCATGTACCAAATGGACAGGCGCCACATATAAAGCAAGAACCAGGTTACCCTCCTGTTTCTCAACCCCCCATGAATAACACACAAACAGACGGTGCCAGTGACGATGCACTGTCAGCATGGAAGGCAGAGGTTGCGCGAAGGCGTGAGGCTGCTGAACGTCAGAATGGGGAAGGGGACAGGGTTCTCCGTGAGCATCTGAAACAGCGCATGCTTCAGCTTGAGGGAGGAGGCCTTCTGTTGCCATTAGAGGAGCGCCAGGGCTCATCAAGTGCACCTACCCGTGAACTTGCGACAGACGCCGCGGTTCCTTCGGACCCAAGCATCTCGGTACCGTCTTCCTCTAAAGTAATCCGAGCTCAATATGACGGCCCGGGAGGTGATGATGAGAGAGATGAAGACGATGAAGATGCCATCAACTCCGACCTCGATGATCCGGATGATCTCGTTGCTGATGACCATGAAGCGGAAGATGCCGTCGGCCAAGTCATGCTCTGCACGTACGACAAGGTCCAGAGGGTGAAGAACAAGTGGAAGTGTACCTTGAAGGACGGTATTCTGACGACTGGTGGCAAAGAGTAAGTTCCATAGAAGCACTCGAAATAATGCGACAAGCTTGCTGACTTTAATAGATATGTCTTCCACAAAGGTCAGGGCGAATTCGAGTGGTAGGTCCCCAGTGTTCCTGTCCACCCATAGCCACACGGTCTGAAAATCCGGTTTCCCTTTTCTTTCTTTTCATTTGTCTTAGCCATGTTCATTCATCTTCCCAATCTGTAAAAATCTTCTCCTATTTGTCTACCATTTTCAACCAAGGCAAATCACAGTACGGACACACGATGACACCCAAGGGTAGTCGGTGCAAACGGAAATAACTCTCTCAATGATTCTTTTTTATGAAGTACATCAGGACGTTTGCGGCACGAGACTTCATTCTTCTTCATGTTACCCTTAGTTTGGATGCACATGGCGCTTTATGCAGGGGATGGCTATTTTCTTTTCTTCTTTGGTGTACTAGAATAATTCTACTTTCAAATGGGATTTTCGCTTTGTTGTCGCTACATCGTGACCAGGTCAGCTGAGCTATGGAATACATGCTTCGTCCTTACCTCACTATTGAACCTTGCATGGAACAAGTAGGGAATGATGTAGATCCTCCTCCAGCGTAAAATTTATTTCTCTATAAGTACATTTCAATATGTGAATGCATGTTGATTACCGTGACGGTATCATATTCGAAATCAAATGGGACAGGTGGTTTTTTAATGCGATTCACCCCAGCCAGTAAGTATTATTCATTATATTCAGCCGATAGCGGAGTATGCAACCATTAAAATACTAGTAGTCAGGAAATGAGACCGATCTCGCCAGGAATGTTATTGGCTTTCGGCCCTTGGCTAAGCATTCGTATACTACGATGGGCTTTATCGTGTCGAAGCAAGCATCAGAACATCCTTCAAAGTACAAGCAGGATGAGTAGAGATTAATGCTTTTACTTGAACACAAATTGATGAAGGGAGAAAGAGTAACTTCAATTCGAAGGGAGTATAGTTTATCATTTGACAAGCGTGACAAGGCAGCCCAAAGCAATATTTTCCAAACTTTTTTCCTTTTCGCAGAACAAAACGAAGCCATGGGAATCAAGCAAATCAACAAGACTCTATCAAGAAAGAACAAGCCAAAAGGGGTCAGCGCATATCAAGGAAAAGTTATAGCCCCAATTTCTCCGTAAACACCACCAGCACAGGTAAAATCAACAAGAAAGCAAGATCTGGTCTGGAACCATTATCTACAGGATCGACGCCGGTATGCCATTTTCTTTTCTTTTCTTCTCTTTTTTTCCCCCCTTCTTTCTCCCACAGTGCTCGGGAGATGGCGAAGGACACATTAAGACCGGCCGTGTACCAACGTTGTTTAATCCCCGTATTTGCCTTGTTTTGCGAGCAAAAACGCAACCTCGCCAAGTATACGAAGCCAAGGATCGACAAAGTCCATTAAATAATGAGAATCAGGGGGGAAAGGGGACGAAAGGTAATTGAGACACCGGATTCTGCTTCCCAAAGCTCAACCATAAAAAAAAAAAAGAGAGAGAGAGGCACGAAAACGACAAAAGCCGAAAATCATACACCGACAAGCGTACCGGGAACTCATAAATGTATCTCAACGGAGGTCTTTCGAGGGCACCAAAAGGACTGACTATTCATTATCCGATCGAATCGCGGCTGCCCCAGAGAACCGCGATCGACAGGACGTTCATACCAAACGTAACTCCAAGCCACCGAACCGGTCATAAAGTCGTATGTCACGCGACGAAGCCGTCAAAATCGCCGAATTGAATTATGTGAAATTGAAGATAAGAACAAAGCATTATCTTTCAAGCTTTGTAAAATCAAGCGAGACCTTCTATAGAAGACCCTCCTCACCAATACCAGGTAGACCAGCCCCGGCAACATTAATATTTTGTCCCTGCATGACTCCTCCGCCGAAAGCCAGGTTGCGGCCAGCGGCAAGTTGGAAGTCGGGGTTGCATGGTGGAGAATGCGATTTGTGATACTTGAGACCATTCAAGTTCTTATAACGTTTGCCACACACTTCGCAACGGTACGGCTTTTCTTTCTCCATGCCGAGTGTTCCAGGATACGGCGTTGAGGTTTCTGGGTTAACAATGGAAAATGTACCATCTGCATTATCATGTAATTGTTGGTTGTTATGGCCGTGCTGCGATGTTATGTCAATTATAGTCCATGGAGAGTTCTATCCTGTAACAGAACACTTACAGCTTTGTGATATTTCAAACCATTTTGGTTTTTGTAAGCCTTCTCGCAACCAATAACAGGGCAACGGAAAGGCTTTGGTTCTTCATTTGGAAGCAAAGCAGTGGTATCGGGAACGCCGGCCAGCAGTTGCTGCTCTCTAATTCTGCGTGCAATTTCACTATTTGGACCGTACTGTGCCCCACTGAGCTTGAAATGAGCATTGGGTGTGTTGATCCCCCCGGTTGGGCTGAATAAACGTTTCGCCGGCTCGTCAATACAGAGATCCACCATGTCGTTGTTGGCAGCAAAGCGAGCGAATTGCTCCTGGCCTTGCATCATGTTGTTGGCCTGCATCCCCATGTCACCGAAGCCGCCAAGCACGCTCTCGTCGAGTTCGGCTGGGGTTCCCGGTGTGGATGAGTCGGGCGTTGACCGGAATTGAGAGTTCTGAAGTGGATTCGACATCAAAGTTGGCGTGTTCACCGAGGAAACAGTGGGGTTATTCTGCAACGACAGGGGGCGACCGGAGGCCACAGGCGTGCCGGGTTGAGAACCTTTGAACCCCTGATGTCCTGGAAGCATCGACAGATTCAAATGTGGCACCCTTTGATTGGAATGGCCGAACCCCCCTTGATTGCCATTTTGTGGCTGGGGCGAAAACAGCTGCGACGACGCATCATGATCACCCATTGGCTCGTCCAGCTCCATATCATCGATAGCATCAATATCGGAGTGCTGCTGAGGCGGTTGGCTTTGGTTTAATTTCCGCTGTGTGCTCTCGGGCTGCAATCCACGGTTCTGATTGTTGTTTTGCTGGTTCTGTTGGTGTGCCATCGCAGCCGCAGCCAAAGCAGCCCTGCCGTCAGCTTGGCTTGGGCGATGTCCCTGGTGTGGAGACTTAGTGGCATGGGCTTCTTCATAGTGCTGTAGGAGATCGTGAAGAGTAGGTAATGTCACACCACAGCAAGAAAAGTCTCGCATGAAGTTGGCTTCCAGCTTTGGGAGATAAGATGACGAGTGGAACGAAGGTGACTGGAAAGTAAATGGGGATGTGCCGGTCATTAAAATACTAGATCATTTAAAATTAGCCTCTGGCCGTTGAAACTCGAGTCAGGCGCATTTGTGGGGGTGCCAATCATGAATCCAAGTGGGATATCAATCGCGCGCCCATAAAAACTTACTCGTCGCGTATCCAACTGCCGACAGAAACACCACCCCAGCTCATACCACCAACCAAGCTCCCGGCCAATGACTCACGGCGCTGTTTATCACGGTTGGATCCGGACATGGAAATCGGTTTGGAGCCATTACCCCATTGTGCGGTCGCTGCACCGATGGAGTCTTTACGAGGTGGTGGCGCTTTGAATATATTGATTCCAACGCCGCCCGCGTGAGATATGCTACCGGTCCGCTCGCCATTTCCAGCTCTCTGGAGAGCAGAGGTCAAGTTCGACGCCTGTTGCCCCGGGGGAGAGACCGAGGCCTGACGAGTGGCGATATCAATTGGAGCTGCTGTATTGTTCATCGTGCCCGATGTGAAAGGGGGCGAGGGGAAAAGAGGGAAATCGTAGTCTTCTTGAGGTTGCGAATATAACTTCGTCGGATCGAGAAATGATGGATGGTTGTCGAGGAGACCAAATGAGTTTCGAGGCCACGAACGATCAGAGACCTTTACCCTGCGCGACGGTACGCCAAACCCGAGTGGAGTGGTGACAGGGGTCGAGTCCCGAGAGGAAGTGTGATCGTGATCCCCGACGGAAGGAGAGTAATGTAGAGGAGGAGGACTGAGCGTCTCTGCCGACCCAAGCATGAAGGAATGAATCCTCGAAAGCGGCTTTGGGCGGGATCACACAAGGAGTGAGTGTCCACCCTCGGATGCTGTCCCGCTTTGGAATTGTCTGCGGAACCGTAACGGATTCGGGAACAGTGGCGGCACCGTAACAATAAGTTAGTAATACTGCCGATGGAGAACTCAGCGATATGGTTCTTTCTAATGGGGAGGAAGATGTATGAAGAATAACTTTAGACGGATGAGACGATAAGTAGAAGAACAATACACCACGATAAGTCGATAACACCAGGGAAAAGAGCGGACGGAGATGGAGGGGGGGGTAGACTGGGCAAACTGGCGGAAATCGAGTCATGGAAGGATGAGTGGAAGGACTTCCAGCATCTAGTAATAATAACCTACCTTACCGGAGGCGACTAACTTCCTTCACGGCCTTACGGGGACAGGTAACTGTTGGTAGGGTACCTACAAGCGCATCCATGGGTAACCGATGTCTTTACTGGTTTGTATTACGTTGTATTACACGGAGACATTGGATATTGCCAGACAAATCTGAAACCAGATGGACGAATTAGTCATACACCTTTGTCATCCTAGTGACGCCGTGACTCTGTATTCAATGGCAAAAACTTACAGTAGTCGTAGTCGGCTTCATTACACAGTACGTATGGTTGTCCTAAAGAATTCCATGGGTTCATGGATAGCTAGTCTATCTACTAGAGACAACTAAACTAGGAGTCCGGCGTTCAACCGGTGCAATCGCTAAAGAATGGTGGGTTCATAGCTGACACCGCTTGCAGCCCACGACCACTCACGAGCTAGTACTAAAGAAGTAGTCTTCCTCAGAAGTCAATGACGATGGCGGTGGGATCAGAGTTCCATTTCTAAGGTACAGTGCTAATTAGTGGGATGGAGTACCATTTGTTAGCATTCGGACTAGTAAAATACTCGTCACATCTCCATAGGTCTGTAATTTCAATCTAACCATCTTTGGGGGAATGAGGGAGAGGCTAAATTATTGACCCTCCCGAGTTAGCCTGTAGTTCGACATCGTATGTACATTACGTTGCCCTTGCAACATTGACACATCAAAACCAAATCCACCACGAACGATCATTCGTCAAAGCAACCCTCCCGGGGATTGTGAACGATTGGTTCATAATCATTCGAGAGACTTTCAGCAGAGTCATGTTGTTCGAACTTCGTACATATTACATAGCCAATATGTAGGTGTAGGTG